GTCTAGTCAGTTCTTGGCGGTGAGGTTTTTTGTTTTTGCGCCCCATGCTCTCTGCTTTGGGGGTGTCTCTTTTTCTTGTGTTGATCTGTAATTTGTTTCAGTGGCTTGTGTCTCTATTCCCTTGGCCGTTGCGGAGCTCCTAGGGAAGAATTCCATTCAGTATCGTGGTCAGCCACGCCCCCTCTATTGGGCTGTTATTTTGAAGGGTAGTATATTGTGGATTTGTGCTTGCCTATGGGTTGTTCCATCTCATGTGCCTTCTTTCTGGAGTGGGTGGTCCAGGTGAAGGCGGGCACTAAATTCATAGTCCACTATCTCAATGGCTTTCTTTGGGTCGTGCCAGCGGGTTCAGATGTTTGCCGGGCGGGATTGCGAACTCTGGAATGGGTCGCGTAAAAATTTGGCATGCAGTTGGCGGGGGATAAGACTGTGGGTCCCACAACTTGTTTATCCTTTTGGGCTTGGAGATTGATTCGGTGCAGGGGGTGGTCACTTGCCAGAGGACAAGCTGATTGCTCTTCTGCAGGCGGTATCCAAGGTCTGCGGGTGTAGGAAGGTTACGTTGCGGGCTCTGCAGTCTTTGATTCCTGTGGTAGGTTTTCTGGCTAGGGCTACGAGTGGTGTTTTGTTCCCTCACCATTTTATTCGGGTCTCGGCTTCCATGAAGGCCGATTTGGAGGTGTTGTTGGTTTTTCTGCAGGACTTCAACAGTCTGGTGTTTTTTTGGGAGGTGTCGGTTGCTTCCCCGGATTTGGAATTGTTTACAGATGCATCAAGGAGTGTGGGGTTTGGGGCTTATTTTGCTGGGCAATGGTGTGCGAAACCTTGGCCGGAGGCGTGGAAGGCCAGCCCGCTCTTTCACAACTTGGCATTTCTAGAATTTTTTCCTTTGGTGGTGGCTTTGGCATTGTGGGGTCAGCAGTTGCAGAACACAAAAATGATATTTTTCTCTGACAACATGTCAGTAGTGGGCACTGGTAACGGTTTATCTGTTTCCTCTATTCCTGTTATTCTGCTACTTCGCTGTTTTGTCTTATAGTGCATGAAATTTAATGTTGTCTTGAATGTTGTTGCTGATTCGCTTTCTCATTTTCAGTGGGCGAGGTTTTGTTCGGCGGCTCCGGGTGCGCAGGAAGAGGGGGTTTCTTGTCTGGTGGAGGTGTGACAACTCGGTACATCTTGTTTGATGGACTCATAAGAGGGTCGTTGGCGTCGTCGACATGGGCGGCCTACATCAAGATTTGGCAGGATTGAGACATGGCAGTGTCTTGTGCATGGGGGTCACGACTCTGCTGAGGCTCGATTTGATACACTTTTATGGTTCATGTATAGGCTGTTGCTTCGGTTGTGGGGCGGAACGTGACAGCGCTAGCATTCTTATTCAAACTTAATGGTTGGGAGGACATGACTAAGCATTTAATTGTCTGTCAAACACTTAAGGGGTACTGTAAGGGGCAGAGATTATGGGATGCGCGGCGACAGGTATCGTTTGAGGTCCTGCAAGGTTTGATTGTCGCGCTCCCTGAGGTTTGTTTCGGAGTATGAAGTTCTTTTGTTTTCCGTGGCATTTAGTTGGGCACTTTTCAGGGCGGTTCGAGTGAACTGGTCAGCAGCAATCAATTTGGTGGTGGAGGTTTGCAGCATTCTGAATTGTGGGAAGATCGTGTAGTATTACATTTAAGTCGTTTTAAGACTGATGTCTTCGGTAAGGGTTGCTCGTTGTGCTATTTTCATTGCCAAGTCTGTCTAGTCTATTCGACTTTTGCTTTTAGGGCAATACGTGGCAACTAAGATGGAGGTGGCTCACTCTATACTGACTGCCAGGTGTAAAGGGCGGAGCTTATAACAATGATTGACAGGGAGCTAAGATGGAGGCGGCTCTCTCTATACTGACTGCCAGGTGTAAAGGGCTGAGCTTATAACAATGATTGACAGGGAGCTAAGATGGAGGCGGCTCTCTCTATACTGACTGCCAGGTGTAAAGGGCCGAGCTTATAACAATGATTGACAGGGAGCTAAGATGGAGGCGGCTCTCTCTATACTGACTGCCAGGTGTAAAGGGCGGAGCTTATAACAATGATTGACAGGGAGCTAAGATGGAGGTGGCTCTCTCTATACTGACTGCCAGGTGTAAAGGGCGGAGCTTATAACAATGATTGACAGGGAGCTAAGATGGAGGTGGCTCTCTCTATACTGACTGCCAGGTGTAAAGGGCAGAGCTTATAACAATGATTGACAGGAAGCTAAGATGGAGGTGGCTCTCTCCATACTGACTGCCAGGTGTAATGGGCGGAGCTTATAACAATGATTGACAGGAAGTTAAGATGGAGGCGGCTCTCTCTATACTGACTGCCAGGTGTAAAGGGCGGAGCTTATAACAATGATTGACAGGAAGTTAAGATGGAGGCGCACTGTTACAGAATAAAGAGCTGTGGATTTCTACATTTAATTTTATTCCATTCCTCACAAATATATAATTGTAAAATATGGGGTTAAATAAACATAGTATTTTATTTAGTAAATTTTTGGGAAGAAACCATTCCTTTTTAATACTTTGTGACTAACTCGCTTAATTTTGCATCCCTTGCAGAGAAAACGCACACAATATTTATAGGGCAAGTCATTTTTAGATTTGGCTTTCATGTTGAGCCCTAGTGTCTCTGTAACATCGCATTAACTAGAGTAAGGTCGCAGTACTTACAAAACCTCCTGTATCAGATTATATCTGTCTGTCAACGTTTTGTCATTCTTCAGATTTGGGGAATTTTATGTGTCCCGCAATCTGTGCGTAGAAAAGGTTTATTATAAACGAAGGCCTCGGTTTTACGGAGTCTCTTCCAAATGATAGAGTCAGCTGTCTGTCACTTGATAACCCGCTATTAACATGCCTCACCACTGTGCCCTGGCTATTCTCTTCCTCTGACATCAGGAGCCTGAGTCACAGTCTGTGACAACAAACTGGCCATCGATGTCATTTACCAGCCTTGGCCATTGACACTGCAATCATATCTGATCATATCTTTAATCCTTCGTTTCAATGCAGGCCTCAACACACAGCCATCTGATTTCTGGGATGACATCACATTTTAAATAGAAAAATGTTTATTCATATTCCAAATAATATTCTCTTTATTCAGCTTTATTTTTAAAGGATTGAACTGTTTATTCACCCTGCACTGTTTATTCACACAGCCATTCCTCCTTAACAGACCTTCCCGCTGAAACTGTCTGCATCGTTCTCCAACCCCCCCATCGCCCCCAAACTCAGAACCATCTTCTCCTACCTCAAAGTCCATCTAATAAATTGTTAAACATATTATTCTACTCATCCCAAAACCCATCATCCCATAATAAACCTAATCCATGCTGCAGTCCGGGTTTGGGCTTAGCTTGATGGAAGTTGTTGGATCCATATAATTTAATAATCTTTCTGAACTTTTCCCTTTATTGTTTATACCTATGACCGCCTCCATTATACAGACTAAAACCTGGCTAGTGTGGTAGGAGAAAGAGGCTATACTGCATCATGGACGTAAAAACCCAAGGGCAGAGTACAGAATATTTGATAGAGTTCTAACCTCAACATATGAGGAAAAGGATTTAGGGGTGATTATTTCTGATGACTTAAAGGTAGGCAGACAATGTAATAGAGCAGCAGGAAATGCTAGCAGAATGCTTGGTTGTATAGGGAGAGGTATTAGCAGTAGAAAGAGGGAAGTGCTCATGCCATTGTACAGAACACTGGTGAGACCTCACTTGGAGTATTGTACACAGTACTGGAGACCGTATCTTCAGAAGGATATTGATACCTTAGAGAGGGTTCAGAGAAGGGCTATTAAACTGGTTCATGGATTGCGGGATAAAACTTACCAGGAAAGGTTAAAGGATCTTAACATGTATAGCTTGGAGGAAAGACGAGACAGGGGGGATATGATAGAAACATTTAAATATATAAAGGGAATCAACACAGTAAAGGAGGAGACTATATTTAAAAGAAGAAAAACTACCACAACAAGAGGACATAGTCTTAAATTAGAGGGACAAAGATTTAAAAATAATATCAGGAAGTATTACTTTACTGAGAGGGCAGTGGATGCATGGAATAGCCTTCCAGCTGAAGTGGTAGAGGTTAACACAGTAAAGGAGTTTAAGCATGCGTGGGATAGGCATAAGGCTATCCTAACTATAAGGTAAGGCCAGGGACTAATGAAAGTATTTAGAAATTTGGGCAGACTAGATGGGCCGAATGGTTCTTATCTGCCGTCACATTCTATGTTTCTATACTGAAAGCAATCACTGCAGAAACACAAGGGATCATTCATTTATCACTTCCCCACAATTTATCGGTTTTGGATTAGTTTGGAATGTATCTCGATTTTATACAGTGAATGCAATGAATGCAGAACAGGAGAGCAGCAGTGAATCCAGTGTCTGGGGACTAGCAGTGAATCCAGTGTCTGGGGACTAGCAGTGAATCCAGTGTCTGGGGACTAGCAGTGAATCCAGTGTCTGGGGACTAGCAGTGAATGCAGTGTCTGGGAGCAGCAGTGAATGCAGTGTGTGGGAAGCAGCAGCGAATGCAGTCTCTGTGGACTAGCAGTGAATGCAGTGTTTTTTAAGACATTGACTGACAATTTTAGTGCCAAATAATGTTTTTAACGAGTTTTATATTATTATTATTATCATTATTTTGTATGAAATATTCCAAACACTTATCTGATATTAAGATGGTGAGTTGCTGGTAATTGAGCTAGAATACAGAAGCTGAGACTAAAAACAATAAATGACACCTCCATGGGTTTCTTGGCTTTGTACATAGTGTCAGCTGGACACGTGTCCCTGGAATGTGACCAGCTTTGATCACAATGTCTCAGAGTTAAGGATAACTTCATGAGTGCATTTTAAGATGTTACTGTATTAAATTGTGTTGGACACGTGTGACCTCACTTTCCTTTTTAGAAAGCAGCATCATGAAACTGTTCTTCTCTGCTCCCCTCGAACACTGACCAACCCACTCTTTCCGTCACTCCTGATATGTGCAGAAATAGCATTGCTTCATAGCTGCCAGATTTAAAAGTCAACTCTCTCTCTCTGACCAAGGTCAGTCACCAGAGACGAGCTGGATCTGAGAACAGGACTTTACGTGGACTGGTGGGACTCAACTGTCAGTACTACTGGGCTAGAAATTTACCAAACCCTGCGGCTTTCCAACGCGACCAACCACCGCACCTTGACTTATTATATTCTATCTCCCATCCACGATGAACGTGGCACCTTGTTCTCGCTGTGGTTTTGGAGTATATCCTGCTGAGAAGATAAACTGTATAGACCAGGTCAGTGAAAATAAAACCAAATTCAATTTTACCAAATCCTGTAAAAATAAGTGCAAGTAAGGCATTTTTCTGGTACTGGAATAGTCGCAAAATGACATAGGAATAAACGATTTGTTTTTTAATGTGCTGGTTGATCAACGAACTGGGTAAAATAGAAGTCTAATTGTTTGTCTTGTTATTTTTCTGTAACATTTTATTGTGTAGTGAGGATACATACAGAATAACACAAATACACATTTTAAAAATAATGAGGAACCAAACAATACGATATCTGTAAATAAAATCAGCAATTAAAACCCAGATAGTCAGCCTGTGTGATGGTGGTGAGAGTAAAGTGATTGTATTCTGAGACCAGAGTAAAAATCTTGTTGGATCCAGTATCGGTTACAGATCTAGAGAGAGAAAGCTATAAGTGAACTGACTCTCCAACAAACACTCTGGGAGCTGTGCCTGAGGGATTAGAGCTGATCGTCTGATGAGTAAATATAGAATATTTCCAGTATTTTAACCCCTTAAGAACCAAACTTCTGGAATAAACGGGAATCATGACATGTCACACATGTCATGTGTCCTTAAGGGGTTAAAGGGGCTCGAATGTTAGTGTTGTGGCCCCTTAGAGATCCTAAAGTTTGCATAAATCTAAGGATCACTGAAGACAACATTGCGTCCATTATTATCCTTCAATGGCATGGACTGGTGGTTCTTTGGAGCTTCATGAACGTCATCTTTAGCTTCTCTTTTTCGAACGTAAAAGAACGTAATTTGGCCATTGTTCGGTGCCTCAGTTGGAGTCTTGGAAGATTGTGGAACTCGGAAGCTGAGATCGAGGGTTTGGGTAGAAGGCAGATATAGTGAGGGAGACCCTCTATAGAAATATTCTTTGGAATGCCTCTGGATCTTAAATTCCCCAAATGCTGCTACCAGCCAGAAGGTACACAAGGGCTAGGGGCTGTGCCCGTCATATCTGCAGCTGGTAGAATCTTGGCCGAGTGGTTTGTTCTTCATTGCTGCAATGCTGCCAGTTGTTGTCACCACTTCCTCTCAGCCTTCAAGAGGTTGACCAGTTCCTTGATATCTGCTTAGATGGAAGAAATTATTTTGTCATTGGAGATAAAAGTCCAGTTAAATGGATTCACTGTGAATGAATGTACAAGGAAGTATGAACATACAGAATGTGAAAAAGATTGAGCATAAAATAATGTAAAGGATACAAATATGTTTACGTGTAATTCTAAATGTGTCTTCATCACCTTTTTGCATTTTGTTACTACATACGAAACCAGTAGGAGTGGGTTTTTTGCCCGGAACGCATTCTTCGCCATTTCTGCTATTCTAATATTTGAATGTTTCCAAATGAGGATGGAATAGATCGTAAAGGAACTCAAGTCATTCGAAGACTTCTTGGACTTTATTTTATTGTATTCTACTTCATTTTATTTTACATATTGTATAATATCTACTTTTTGCTCCCTTTTATACTAAGTAATTTGTTGTATTAGTCTTTTCTATTTTGGCGGCGGAACCTGTTTTTTGGGGCGTAGGTGGGTCCCCAGTTTCAGAGTTTGTCCCCTTGGTCTGCCTGCTCTATCACTTCCAGTGGTTGACCTTTGTTTTACTAGTAACGAGAAACATGGAGGAGTAATGTTCATTGTGGACGCTTGTCTCATTGGTTGATTTTTTTTAGGGATCTTCCAGGCATAACGATTACTAATATTTTCAAAGTAGACGTTTTGTGGTTTTATTTGAATTAATACAATACTTCATTAAAATCAGAACATATGTTATTTTAATTGTAAATGTCCTGTTACATGTACTGTTTTATATGTATCACTAAGGCAATTAAATTACAGTTTTTTTATCCACTGGATATTCTATCTAATGTCTATGTTTAGTTAAAATGTTAGTTATAATTGTTTAAAGGAACAGTATAGCATTAGACAGACAAACAGAGAGATTTGCTTTCCTTTCGTCCCTCGCTGCAGTCATGCCCTTCCTCCCGGGCAGAGTTCTTTAATTGTGATGATCTTATCCAATCAAATGCTTTCCAATAACGGAAATACTAAGAAACTTGTATGCACGCATTGCAAATCACTGTGCTGCTCCAATCAGCATCTCTACAAGGGAACATTCAGTATCTCCTTGCAGAATGTTGGTTTGATACGGGAGGGCTTGCAAAGGCTGCAAACAAGAGATCTGCAGCTTTTGCAAGTTGATTCTAGATATAGCCCCAATGATTTCAAACATATATATATATACAGTTAAATGAATGTGTATTTTCATTGGGGGTATATGTGCCAAACCGTTGGGTGTCAATTCAAGCTGTAGTGGGTCTAGAATCGATAGTGTCCATTGAGCTTCTCTTCTTTGCTGATGTTGGCATGTGTAACTTGACAGAACCCTGAGTAACAAACCTGTTCATACAGAAATAGAAGTTAGACGCAAGGTAACTTCTGGCAGCAAAATCACACGTTTTCACATTATTTAAGGTCTTGTTTTTAAGAATGGAAATACGTTTTTAGACATAGCTGGAGGATTAAAGAATGAGTTGGGGAACTGCAATCTATACATTCAATAAATATTTTCTATCTTTGATATTGGTACAATGTGCTTATTAGAACTGGAATTGTCAGTTTCACAGACGAATCACGAAATTAAAAAAGCAAACAATAGACAAAACTATTTCATTTGTTTTATTCTATCCGTGGCACCAAAAATACGAAAATTGCTATAAAAATAGAGATGGTTAATATAAAAATATGATTGATTAATATAAAAATAGAGATGATTTATGAAAAAAAAACATGATTAGGGGACAGTCACTAAATATATTGATAGATCAAGTGAGAAGCAGTCAATAGTGAGAAAGGAGGAGGAGTCATAAAATAAACCTGTGGTTATATAAAATATACTCTATGTTTAATAAATATATCATCTATAAATAAAAAATGTTTGTTTCTTCCTTTTTTTCCTCTGTTGGTTACGTTTTATCACTTGATCTGTGAACCACAAGGAGCGAAAACATCTGTGTGTATTGCAAGATATATACATAATATTTATATTAGTATTGTTTATATTTATATTATTAATATGGATATTAGTATTATTTATGTTAGTATTATTAATATTGTGCAGTGCACTAATTGGCCATTTTCATTTATCTGAATAGTTTTCCCTGAAACTATTATGTCCAAACTTGAACTTGTCCAAACCAAACTCGACAGGGAAGAATCCAGAATTGACGGAAACAATAATTATTTTTTCTTCAGACTAATTGAATCTAACTAATCCATGTTTTCCGCTGTACACTGTTTATTTATGTAGCGGAAGGCTGTGTGGCTGGAGTTGTGGGAGGGGTTATCAACTCCCCACCCCACTTACCGCTGGGCGTTTTGCGTTCTTATGTATCAACACTGAACACATTTGTACATATTTCTAAATTCATGAAACTGGACCAGTCTACACTGTGGTCACTGTAGCAGAGGATCTTGGTTAATGTAGTTTATAAATGCCCTTATGGACAGGTTAAGCCTTCACTGTGGGTATCCTCCAATCAATATACAGTTAGGTCCGTAAATATTTAGACACTGACACACATTTTGTTATTTTGGCTGTTTACCAAAATACATTCAAGATGTTAATGAATATAGGCTTAAATTTCAGTCTCACAGCTTTAATTTGAGAGTATTTACATCCGAATTGGAGGAAGGGTTTAGGAATTACAGCTCTTTAATATATAGTCAATATGTAACCCCCTCGTTTTAAAGAGACCAAAAGTAATTGGACAATTGTGCTGTTTCATGGATAGGTGTTGGCTATTCCTTCATTGTTTATTCATCAATGAAGCAGGTATACGGTCAGAGTTAATCCCAGGTGTGGTAATCATTTGGAAGCTGTTGCTTTGATCCCACAACATGCGGTTTAAAGTAGCTCTCAATAAAGGTAAAACAGGCCATTCTTAGGCTGCAAAAAAAAAAAGAAGAAAATAAAAATCCATCATAGAGTTAGCAGGAACATTACTGGTGGCCAAATCAACAATTTGGTACATTCTGAGATAAAAAGCACTGGGGAGCTCTGCAATTCAAAAAGGCCTGGACGTCCACTGAAGTCCACGGAAGACAACAGTGGTAGATAATCGTAGGATCCTTTTCATGCTAAGAAAAACCCCTTCCAAACATCCAGCCAAGTGAAGAACACTCTCCAGGAGGTAGGTTTATCATTATCCAAGTCTACCATAAAGATAGTACCTCATGAGAGCAAACACAGAGGGTTCACCACAAGGTGCAAACCATTCATAAGCCTCAAAAATAGAAAGGCCATATCAGACTTTGCCAAAAAACATTAGAAGAAACTAAAATCAAGCTGAACCAGAATGATGAAAGAAAAAATGATGGAGAAGGCTTGGAATGGCTCATGATCTGAATCATATCATGGCCCAAGACATGCTGGACCCAGGAGTATTTAAAGGCAAATAAGTGGAATATTCGTTAATTGCCGCGTCAATCACCTGATCTGAACATGATCGAGCATGCATTTCACTTGCTGAAGACAAAACATAATGCAGAAAGACCCACGAACAAGCAACAACTAAAGACAGCTGCAGTAAAGGTCAAAGCATCACAAAGGAGGAAACCCAGCGTTTGGTGATGGCAATGCGTTCCAGACCTCCAACAGTCACTGTCTGCAAAGGTTTCTCGACAAAGTATTAAAAATTAACATTTTATTTATGTTTGTGTTAATTTGTCCAATTCCATTTGAGCACCTTAAATAAAGGACCACTATAGTGCCAGGAAAACATACTCATTTTCCTGACACTATAGTGCCCTGGGGGTGCCCCCACCCTCAGGGCCCCCCTCCCGCCTGGCTCTAGGGGGTGGAAGGGGTTAAATTTGCCTCTTTTTCCAGCACCGGGCGGGGGACTCTCCTCCTCCTCCTTGTCGTCGTCATCGGCTGAATGCGCATTCTCATTGCTTTCCTATGGACGCTGGCGTCTTCTCACTGTGATATTCACAATGAGAAGTGCGGAAGCGCCTCTAGCGGCTGTCAATGAGACAGCCACTAGAGGCTGGATTAACCCTATTATAAACATAGCAGTTTCTCTGAAACTGCTATGTTTACAGCAGGCAGGGTGAACCCTAGCTAGACCTGGCACCCAGACCACTTCATTAAGCTGAAGTGGTCTGGGTGCCTATAGTGGTCCTTTAAGGGAACTGTGACGGAACGCTGGCGCTCCGACTGAGTACCTCCGCCAATCGATGCTCCTAGTGCTCGCTGAGGACTCCAAGCACTCCAACCGACACCATCAGCACTGCAGACCCCACTTCCAGCGATGCAACTGCGCCGGGGTCTCTGCTGTTTCCACCCACCCTGGACCCAAGGCCAGGATCCAGCTTCCAGTGGGTGAACCTCTCTTTCCCCAGAGAGCAGGAACAGGAACAAATCAAGCTATTGCAAGAGCTTCCTCTGGGGAGTAAGTGATTATAGCAATCCCCAGAGTGTAGGTATCCCTTCCCCCAAACATGAGCCAAGGCTTAATGCTGGAACAAGACTAATTTACTGGCACACAGAACTCACAATTTATGCAACACAAAACTCCTCCTCTGGGCCAGGCTAGATAATTGAGTTTCTACAATACACAAAGCTCAATTATCTGCTGGCCAGAAATTATACAGTTTCATAAAACACACAGGGACCCCAAAACATGCAATAACCCCATAAAAGTATATCCTTGGAACCGGGGGATCTGGGTGAACCACATATCCAAAATTCACCCAGATCCGTTCAGTACTTTGGAAAATACAGTTTAATGCAGATTCTGCAGAACATATACAGGCTAAATGAAAAACAATCACTTTATAATGTGTCCCCTGCTGTATAGTCCAAAACCACTGCACGATGTCTCTGTGCACCAAATACTGGCAAGATGGCACCGTGTTGAAAAGTCCAAACAGTGTCTGTGAGTTAAAATGGCCGCCATCCATTGCTCACCATGTGCATCCATTGTTCTCACCATGTGCTTCTGATACAGGAAATGGTGGCCACCCAGTAACTCCACAGTATGTCCCCAGATGGTTCTTAAAGGGCCAGCAGCAGCACAACACAAATCCATTATGCCCAAATCATGTCTTTAAAGGGGAATACATCCCAGGGGCCATAGTCACAGGGCAAGAGGCGGGCAAGCAGTCCTCTCCAGGCACAAGTGGCGAAGGGCACTTCGTCACAGGAACTATGGCTGCAATTCCTATAAAATTAAAAAGTATTTCATGCAATATTTTTGTTCAACCCCTTGGGTTAAAGCTCTAAGTTTGCACTTGAATTGCATCCTGGTTGCTACATTTCAAATCCATTGTTGCGGCTTACAAAGTCAAAATTATGAAAATGGTGTCAGTGTACAAAGATGTCCGAACCTAACTCTACCTCCTATAAATCCACACATAGTCTGCAAACATACAGAGGTTTTTTTTGTCGATTATTTCCACACTGTTCCAATGCTGAATTTGATGCTGATTTTACACAAGACAATGAATAAATCTGCCCTGATTCAGTCAGAATAAACATTTTCTACCAGATTTGGTTTTAGTAAATATGAGAATTGCAAATTTGGTCAGTATCCGTATTTTTTTTTTTTAACTGAATCCACTCACTGCAGACGATGTTTACTAAAAATAACCTTGTTAGCATTGTGTTCTGCGTGATGCTTGTGAGTGGAGCATTACAATCTACATTCCGAGCTAACGTGTATTGCGGAAGCCATCTTGTGGTAGGAGCAAGTGAATCTAATTTAGTATATCTTCTTTACCATTACCTTTGCTGCGCTTTTTACGAGCACAATGAAAATATTTCAAACATAAAAAGAATATCGCATAGTTTGCAGATAAACGTTCCACTATATAGTAATAAAATAACAATAATACAGTGATTTGTTTTTCCGCATAACAGCACAAAACAGAGCATAAAGTGTCAATCAAACACAACGTTCCCTCTAATGTTTTCCCATTCCAGAATTTTGTGCACTGAATGATTGGGCGAATGTAAATCTGACATTGATTCTCGATAATAATTCCTGATATTATTTTTAAACCTTTGCCCCTCTAATTTAAGACTATGTCCTCTTGTTGTGGTAGTTTTTCTTCTTTTAAATATAGTCTCCTCCTTTACTGTGTTGATTCCCTTTATGTATTTAAATGTTTCTATCATATCCCCCCTGTCTCGTCTTTCCTCCAAGCTATTCATGTTAAGATCCTTTATCAAGGAAAAAGCTTCTTTAATTCTGAACAAATGTGTTTAAAATATTAAAACACTAAACCAAATAAACAAAGAACAAGTAGCATATATAAAAGCCAAAAGTCAGTGTGTAAACTTGCAGAGGTTGCAGCCAAATCCCATAGAGGAGTCTTTTCGCCCTTGTTTATAGGGATACCAGATCAAACGTTTTTTGGGAACCGTATAGATATCCAAAATAAAACAAAGAAGAAAGCCAATATGTATACAGGGAGTGCAGAATTATTAGGCAAATGAGTATTTTGACCACATCATCCTCTTTATGCATGTTGTCTTACTCCAAGCTGTATAGGCTCGAAAGCCTACTACCAATTAAGCATATTAGGGGATGTGCATCTCTGTAATGAGAAGGGGTGTGGTCTAATGACATCAACACCCTATATCAGGTGTGCATAATTATTAGGCAACTTCCTTTCCTTTGGCAAAATGGGTCAAAAGAAGGACTTGACAGGCTCAGAAAAGTCAAAAATAGTGAGATATCTTGCAGAGGGATGCAGCACTCTTAAAATTGCAAAGCTTCTGAAGCGTGATCATCGAACAATCAAGCGTTTCATTCAAAATAGTCAACAGGGTCGCAAGAAGCGTGTGGAAAAACCAAGGCGCAAAATAACTGCCCATGAACTGAGAAAAGTCAAGCGTGCAGCTGCCACGATGCCACTTGCCACCAGTTTGACATATTTCAGAGCTGCAACATCACTGGAGTGCCCAAAAGCACAAGGTGTGCAATACTCAGAGACATGGCCAAGGTAAGAAAGGCTGAAAGACGACCACCACTGAACAAGACACACAAGCTGAAACGTCAAGACTGGGCCAAGAAATATCTCAAGACTGATTTTTCTAAGGTTTTATGGACTGATGAAATGAGAGTGAGTCTTGATGGGCCAGATGGATGGGCCGTGGCTGGATTGGTAAAGGGCAGAGAGCTCCAGTCCGACTCAGACGCCAGCAAGGTGGAGGTGGAGTACTGGTTTGGGCTGGTATCATCAAAGATGAGCTTGTGGGGCCTTTTCGGGTTGAGGATGGAGTCAAGCTCAACTCCCAGTCCTACTGCCAGTTCCTGGAAGACACCTTCTTCAAGCAGTGGTACAGGAAGAAGTCTGCATCCTTCAAGAAAAACATGATTTTCATGCAGGACAATGCTCCATCACACGCGTCCAAGTACTCCACAGCGTGGCTGGCAAGAAAGGGTATAAAAGAAGAAAATCTAATGACATGGCCTCCTTGTTCACCTGATCTGAACCCCATTGAGAACCTGTGGTCCATCATCAAATGTGAGATTTACAAGGAGGGAAAACAGTACACCTCTCTGAACAGTGTCTGGGAGGCTGTGGTTGCTGCTGCACGCAATGTTGATGGTGAACAGATCAAAACACTGACAGAATCCATGGATGGCAGGCTTTTGAGTGTCCTTGCAAAGAAAGGTGGCTATATTGGTCACTGATTTGTTTTTGTTTTGTTTTTGAATGTCAGAAATGTATATTTGTGAATGTTGAGATGTTATATTGGTTTCACTGGTAATAATAAATAATTGAAATGGGTATATATTTGTTTTTGTTAAGTTGCCTAATAATTATGCACAGTAATAGTCACCTGCACACACAGATATCCCCCTAACATAGCTATAACTAAAAACAAACTAAAAACTACTTCCAAAAATATTCAGCTTTGATATTAATGAGTTTTTTGGGTTCATTGAGAACATGGTTGTTGTTCAATAATAAAATTAATCCTCAAAAATACAACTTGCCTAATAATTCTGCACTCCCTGTAAGTGCAATATGTTCCAATATTTTGTGGTACTTTTTAAGTGCAAGTCTTATATGTTCCTACTCACGTTTTATAGAGCTAAGACCAGCTCTAGTATGATGAGCGTACAGTGGTAGAATCCCCACTTGTAGAATACTCGTAGTAGTGTAGTGCAATTTTCACAGCGGTATAGGCACCATGATCCCAAAAATGACCAAAAATTACAACAATAGTGCTCATTGTGCACTCTAAACCAGGAGTAATAAATTTAAATACATGTACTCACATTTAATTGAGCAGACACACCGCTCAATGAATAAGGCGTGAGTGGTATAATCCCCACCTAGAATTATTTTGTGAGATCCTCTTTGGAGTCATGAACAGGATGCCAGCCAAAAATAAAAAAGCAATAGAAAAGGAAAATGGCACAATCACAGTATAAAAGTAGCAAACAAATCCACAGCATGTTTCACCACATAGGGCTTTATCAAGTGGGAACCATAGAAAGCAATATGGAGCCACTGGGCAGACAAGGGAACACACAATTAACATTTTACCAGAAACTATTTCCAGCTTGTTGCCTATAAACTTCGCCATAATGTTTCAACCCCACCTTCACCACACTAAATGGCAATTATTCCATAAAACACAGCCAAATGATAATATTGGTAGCTTGTTGACTGTATTTGGGCAAGCATGTTCATTCTCCAACTTGGGCAGAAACAGTGCATAAAGTGCAATAAATGGTGATATACGCATAATAGATGCATCTTACACATACATCATATTCAGCTGAAACAATTATAACAAACATTATATGGAGAGGAGGAGAGATCTCTTGTCACCATAGAATTTACCTAATAAATGGTGATACATTCATGCCACTTAAACACAAAAATGAATCTTGATAAGATGGGAAATGTCCAAAGCATGCAGGAGAAACAAACAAGTCAATTCGGCAGACACCAATAGAATGTATTATTTGGAGAAATGCCACCCATAGATTTTTCAAGAGGAACTCTTTGCCAAATAAATGGTGGTTTATACATTAATGCATCTTAAACACACAGATTCACACTCTCAATGATAAACACACAATCTCATTGATTTGAAACACACACACTGACATACACATTCACTGACAGAAATACATATTGACAGGCAACTTCACTGACAGAAACATGCACTGACAGACACATTCACTGACAGAAACACATAATGACAGACACCTTTATTGACATACACACTTACTGACAAACACACTGGCAGACAGATTCACAGACAGAAACATACACTGACAGAAACACATATTGACAGACAACTTCACTGACAGAAACATACACTGACAGACACACACTCACTGACTGATACACACTGACAGACAGAAACACTGACTGACAAACACACTCACACACTCTCAATGACACACAGTTTCACTGATTTGAGACACATACACTGACAGACACATTCACTGAAAGAAACACACATTGATAGACACATTGATACAGCGCTGCAGGATATGTTGGCGCTTTATAAATAATAATAGACACATTCACAGGCAGACACACATTTACTGACTGACATGCAATGACAGATACACTTACTGACAAACACACTGGCATACACACTTTCAATTACAGACACACAATCTCACTGATTTGAAACACTCACTGACAGACACACTTACTGTAATCCCCCCCATTGTGCCCCTCATAAAGATGTGGTGGCTTTGGCGGTGGTTGAAAACTGTAAAAAAATAATACTTTTTGAAATAAAACATTTTTTTATAAACATATTGAAAAACTGTGTGTGCTACACATTTGTCTGTGTGTGCTCCCTCAAAAATGTGTGTGAGCACTCATGTGCGCACAGTAGGAACAGTGATCAAGCACAATACCCACTGCAGTCCACAGACCATCTCAGCCAATTAATTTTGTGCAAAGTTGGGCAGAACTGTTTTTGCTAATGGGGGTCCACTTTAGTGATATTTGAATAGGGAGCTGGACATTGGGCAGCTAGAGGATCCAGATAAATGTCAAACCATTTGAAAATGTGGTAGTGGTTATGGTCTATAGAAAACACCTTTTATTAATATAAAACTAATAAAATAAAATAAAAATTTTGTTTTAACATTTTACTCTTTGAAGCAAGAAGAGATAACCATAAAAATTGTCAAATTTAAACAGTCCTGATATTTTTAAATTAACCATAAAATGGGATATCAAGTAAAATGTAACAAACTATTTGAAAAACATATCATAGACACTGAGGACAAACCTGAGGATTTTTCCCTTAAGTTACAGACACGAGAAGTGAGAGGGGATCATTGGGTCCGAGGTTTCACAGACAAACAATGTCTCTTACTAATAATGCTGTAACTATGGTGTTTAATTTTCCATGTAACTAAATGGATCCTATCTCCCTGCTTTAGATATGGCACAAGGCTTGCTTCCACTGCGAAATTTGCAAGATGATCCTCACAGTCAATAACTTTGTGAGCTTCCAGAAGAGGCCGTACTGCCAGGCGTAAGTATTAATGCAAGGTGTTCCAGGTGATGGGTTCATTGAAATGTTCCCTATTTGATGTGGTGCCTTTCTGGGGATTGAAACTGGAGAAAACCTCAGCTTTTATCCCTAGTTTTGGGTAAAAAAAGATTTTCTGCCATAATATTCTCATTAATTGTGGCCAATCGAGATATTCACCTTATTCCCAAGAAATATCTCTCCTTATTGCCAATAATGTTTCTGAAACTTCGCTAGGGTCAGTTGATTTATTGGGGAAAAACAGAGGCTTGCATGCATAGACCGTCTACAAGACGATCTCAGATTAAAAAGATAGCTGGACCAATGAGAGCGTGATGTGGTATTTAGTGACCACGATAGCTACTATCTTGGAAGGGTGAATCATTATAAGAGACCTTCATTCATTTTCCATTGTCAGCATTAACGAGCCCCTTAAAGAAGTAGGATGCTTGGACTGGCCGACAAGGAAAATTTGTTTCAAGTTAAATCACCATACGAAATCTATCTTGTGGTGTCTCTCCGGACCTCCGAATGGTTATCTCAATACTCAGAGTGCACGGAGCAATGAGGCTAATGTCATTAAACCAAATCATGATTATGATTTAATAAAATTAAATAATTTCTATGATCAATAGTTAGTTTCCTAGATTTAAAAGTAATATTTAAAAGTCTGGCACACAAATTCTGAGTGAGTAAGATAAATGATTTCCTAATTTAAGACATTAGGCAGGCTGCGGCAGGTCACTAGAGCCTAACTCTCTGCTGCTGCTCAGTGCGTCGGAATGTTGCCATGGTAACCTTTAGCAATGCTCTGAATCAGGCAGAAGCGCCAGGTTGTGATAGAGAGGTGCGAATACATGCGCCGGTTATTCTTCAGCAGGTACTCCAGATCAGAAATGGTACCATTTGGTTCTGGCAGTCTCACATGGCATGCGGAGGCACCTGGCATGCTATCGATTTCCCACCCTGCAATTGAAAGTCTTAGTTACTGTTTGTCGCTATAATCTGGATTTATGATTTGATCAAAACATTATGGATAAATGTAATCAAAGTCCTGCGCTATTTTTTTAATCTTGAAGGCCAGTAGCTAAAATGGTGGTAACGCATCATTAAATCTGCAGGGTCCAAGCAGCTGACCTTGTAGATATTTCTCTAGCCACTCAGAGAACCCAATGAAGCCACCAGGAGACCTTGTGCAAGTTACCAATGGTTTCAGCAGAACTCGGTACCCACCAGCTGTCCTTAGACTATGAAAGAAGTGCCTTGTAATGAATCATTTACTATCATTTTCTTTACTTTGTAGACACAACCCAAAGAACAACGTATTTACCAGTGTGTACGAGACACCAGTAAATATTCATGTCAAGAAACAGACACAAGCGCTCAGTGAGGTAAGTTCTTTTACTGTGCACACAGTCTCTCTGTTATGAAGGTAGGTACCAGGATTAATTAATGGGAAGGCAATTACCATCACTGATTAATAAGAAGGTAATTATCAGGTGTAATTAATGGGGAGGCAATTATCCAGACTAATTAATTGGAAGGAAATTACCATCACAAATTAATGGTAAGGTAATTATCAAGACTAATTAATGGGAAGGCAGTTATTAGGACTAATTAATGGGAAGGCAGTTATTAGGACCAATTAATGGGAAGGCAGTTATTAGGACTAATTAATGGGAAGGCAGTTATTAGGACCAATTAATGGGAAGGCAGTTATTAGGACCAATTAATGGGAAGGTAGTTATTAGGACTAATTAATGGGAAGGTGGTTATCATGAATAATTAATGAGAAAGCAATTATTAGGACTAATTAATGAACATAGTTATTAGGACTAATTAATAAGAACATAGTTATTAGGACTAATTAATGAGAAGGTATAGGGGGAGTAGGCTCGCCACAAGCTTATAAAAATGTATCATTTATTTATTATTCATTTCTTTCTTTTACTGAATGGGTGGTGACAGTGCAGACTGAGCGTCATGAGAATGTCATTCCAGAGCAGCCAGAATGCCATTGGTTGCCCATTCCAGAGCTGTCGGCTGTTCCGGTATCCCATCCGGTTCTTTAGACAGCTGAAATGTTGCCCTTTAGACCATAAGCTTAGACATAATAAAATAACTGAGTTTAAACAACATCCCAGCCCTCGAGCCCCCAATCTGGGGAACAACCGTGTTCCAGTACATTCTGGATATTAGCACGCATTCTATTTCTGTTTCATGGCTGCGGACCTTGTTATTTGGAGACATGAGACTCGATGCCTCTGAAACAGATTATCTTCCTCTCTGACTATTGCACCTGTTACTTCCATCAGCTGTCAGACACATAGTTACACAACATCTCCTCTGTACCCGATAAACATGTCACCGTTTTATACAATATGGAACATATACCCTGAAACAAGACCGCTTCTCCCCCTCCATGGGGTGCAGGGGTTAGTGTTATTTAAATAAGGCCCTGGAGGTGCCCTGAATCCTAGGCCATAAAGGGCAACCAGAAGGGCCATTTAAGTTTAATCACATAATCCATTAAACCAATAGTAAGGGGTCTGTAAATCTCAAGCTCTCCTCCTTCTCCCCCCAATATGATCCCATCTACCCCCTCACACTAATTGATAGGGGGGGGGGGGTTCCCGTTAATCAAAAATGAAATTTAATAAACTGTAAAAATAATTTATTCTAAGGAATTGATAGAGATTTCCTTTTATTCATGTCTTTCTTATACAAACTGCATTATACTCTGACATGACTTATTAAATCAAAAATACTAAATAATTGCACAAAGCCAATGGAAGTAATTACATTTTTTTGGAAAAAAGTGTTTTTAATCTTCGCCCACCAGCCTTAGTGGATGGAGTGTCCTCGCAGGCCAGCGCAGTGTCTAAGGTGCCCAGGAACATGTACAGTGATTTCCAAATTAAAAATCCTGTACATGTGCAATATTATCTATTGGTTACTATGGAAACACAACCCTTTACTAACTGAAACGGCAGCAAAGTTATAGCCGTTAGTAAATAGCTTAACTTGTGCCACTCAGTTTTAGCTAAGCATAGTCTATCACATTTTGAGTAAAACTATAGCTGATTTGGGGAATTTTTGCAATTCAGCTAATTTAATCTGAATTTCCTACCAATTGCACTTTATTGAATAAGCTCGTTTGATTTCAATCCGACATGTCTTTACAGATCAAGTATCGAGAAGAGGGGGAAAGGTTCAAATCAGTTTTTAATTGGGAAATGAAGCCCAGAGAGATCGAGCATGACAGCAAAGTAGAAAAAATCCTCAGCCAGGTAATTTTCTTCACTGTCTGCCACTAGCTGCCACAAATTACTAAAAACTAACTTCCACTAACTGCCACAAATTACTACAAATGGCCACAAACTAACTTCCACTAGCTGCCACAAATTACTAAAAACTAACTTCCACTAACTGCCACAAATTACTAAAAACTAACTTCCATTAGCTGCCAGGAATTATGTAATGTTCCCCTTTTAGTAATATCCTATTATTTTATTAAACGCATGTAATAATTCCCATTTAATAAAGCCATTCTATTTTCCTACAGATACAATCTATTTTGTATGTTTATACCCACGCAGCTTGCCATGTTTATGTTATATTGCCCACCGCATTTCACTGCCTAAAGGTTGTGTGTCTTTGTAGAAAGCTTTCGAAGATGTCAAATCTTGGTACTCTCAGACGGACCGAGAATTGGTACAAGTGTCTCAGACTGAAAAGTCCCTCAGTGATGTAAGAACTTCAATATGTTTATATTGTTTTTATTTCAAATCACACTTTTATTTTTCCTCGTCTTTGTTAGATTTGCTATTCTAGAACCTTCCCAAAGCGAATCTCATTCCCATGAGTCCCGGCGGTGACGGCACAATGTTAACATGTTGTGTGTGTTTTGCTTGTATCGTCTTTTAGATGAAATACACCGAAGAATATGAAGAGCAGATAAGGAAAGGCAGCTTCCCTGCTATGATCACACCTGCTTACCAAACCGCAAGAAAAGCCAATAACCTGGCAAGCACGGTAAGTTATTCGCACACATGGCGTGGGACGACAAATTCGCACAGAGAACTCGACAAAGGACTTCATCACTTAGACTGCTGAAAAATCACTAAACTTATTTTATTTCTTTAATTGAAGCAAACGTTTATTTATCTGAAATCCAGACCTTTATTTTGGTTTCATTAGATAAAGTCCTTGGTTCTATCCATTAGACTGGGGATCCATTCCTCCATGGTAAAGGTAGCTCAGTGATAGTCAGACATTTTAATATAATAATTATTCAAATATATTCTAAAAAAGAAACAGGTTTGAGTTTATCCTTCAGGCACTCGGATAATCTCTAGTCCGGACATACAGAGGCATCAATACTGGCTTTGTTACATAATTTCCGTTAGTACAAAAACTTCTTACTGAAAAAGGGCAATATAATAGGATACCATCTTTATTATTATTCTGCATTTAATTTAACAACCTGTTATGTGACCTGTGTCCTAATAGGTGGGGTACAAGCGAGGACACGAGGAGCGCCTCTCACAATATACCAGCGTTGTGGACACTAAAGATATTTTACACGCCAAGGCAGGAGCGCAGCTTCACAGTGATGTAAGTAGGAAAATGATGTCATACTATACGCGCAATCTGTTTACCAGGGGTCCCAAGCACCCCTCGTATCTGTTTCCTAGTTTATTGAACCCACAGATTACCACGGTCTCGAAATAACATTACCAAACAACAGCGATAATCATTACTTAATATAAGGAAACATTATTTAACAATTTCAATAAAGTTACCAAGTCGAGGAATACATTTACTTCACAATTGAGCAAAAATGATATTCCAGGTATCAACTACACTTTCTATATCGCTGTTAGCCTTTACTGCTCCCACTGGAAGGCTATTCCAGGTATCTACTACCCTTTCTATACCACTGTTACTGCTTCCACTGGAAGGCTATTCCAGGTATCTACTACCCTTTCTATATCACTGTTACTGCTCCCACTGGAAGGCTATTCCAGGTATCTACTACCCTTTCTATATCACTGTTACTGCTCCCACTGGAAGGCTATTCCAGGTATCTACTATCCTTTCTATATCACTGTTACTGCTCCCACTGGAAGGCTATTCCAGATATCTACCACCCTTTTTATATCACTGTTACTGCTCCCACTGGAAGGCTATTTCAGGTATCTACCACCCTCTCTACATAACTGTTACTGCTCCCAGGCTATTCCAGGTATCTACTACCCTTTCTATATCACTGTTACTGCTCCCACTGGAAGGCTATTCCAGGTATCTACTACCCTTTCTATATCACTGTTACTGCTCCCACTGGAAGGCTATTCCAGGTATCTACTACCCTTTCTATATCACTGTTACTGCTCCCACTGGAAGGCTATTCCAGGTATCTACTACCCTTTCTATATCACTGTTACTGCTCCCACTGGAAGGCTATTCCAGGTATCTACTACCCTTTCTATATCACTGTTACTGCTCCTACTGGAAGGCTATTCCAGGTATCTACTACCCTTTCTATATCACTGTTACTGCTCCCACTGGAAGGCTATTCCAGGTATCTACTACCCTTTCTATATCACTGTTACTGCTCCCACTGGAAGGATTCCAGGTATCTACTACCCTTTCTATATCACTGTTGCTCCCACTGGAAGGCTATTCCAGGTATCTACTATCCTTTCTATATCACTGTTACTGCTCCCACTGGAAGGCTATTCCAGGTATCTACTACCCTTTCTATATCACTGTTACTGCTCCCACTGGAAGGCTATTCCAGGTATCTACTACCCTTTCTATATCACTGTTACTGCTCCCACTGGAAGGCTATTCCAGGTATCTACTACCCTTTCTATATCACTGTTACTGCTCCCACTGGAAGGCTATTCCAGGTATCTACTACCCTTTCTATATCACTGCTACTGCTCCCACTGGAAAGCTATTCCGGGTATCTACTACCCTTTCTATATCACTGTTACTGCTCCCACTGGAAGGCTATTCCAGGTATCTACTACCCTTTCTATATCACTGTTACTGCTCCCACTGGAAGGCTATTCCAGGTATCTACTACCCTTTCTATATCACTGTTACTGCTCCCACTGGAAGGCTATTCTGGGTATCTACTACCCTTTCTATATCACTGTTACTGCTCCCACTGGAAGGCTATTCCAGATATCTACTACCCTTTTTATATCACTGTTACTGCTCCCACTGGAAGGCTATTCCAGGTATCTACTACCCTTTCTATATCACTGTTACTGCTCCCACTGGAAGGCTATTCCAGGTATCTACTACCCTTTCTATATCACTGTTACTGCTCCCACTGGAAGGCTATTCCAGGTATCTACTACCCTTTCTATATCACTGTTACTGCTCCCACTGGAAGGCTATTCCAGGTATCTACTACCCTTTCTATATGACTGCTACTGCTCCCACTGGAAAGCTATTCCGGGCATCTACTACTTTTCTGTCAAGTAGTATTTCCTGTCCTGGCGCCCTCTATCTTCAATCCATGTACAATGAAGTGTCTCCTTGCCACATTGAGTCCTGTGTCATTGATACGATGTATCGGTTTTATAGCTGGGAAGCGGGTGATCGGATACTTGTTTTGTGAAGGGATTTGAGGAGCACTGCTTCTAGTAAATCTCTATTTCTGGGTGTTTCTATGCAGCCCGCACTCCGAATCTTCACACTCACTGATTAATGATCTCCTAATCCCACTAATTGTCTCTATTTTCAGGTGAAATACACAGAGGATTATGAAGAGCAGCGAGGCAAAGGCAGCTTCCCAGCTATGGTCACCCCGGGCTATCAAATCGCTAAGAGGGCTAATGAGCTGGCTAGCGATGTAAGTCTAAACTGCCAACAGTGGGCATAGTCAAATGTCCTATACCAAGTTATTTACTAACGTGACACTTTGCAGAGAATTCAAAGTGTATTCAAAGTCAATTTAAAAATTAAGGCGAAAATAGCTGCATTTGAAAAATTCTCCAAGTTATCTGAGCTTCCAGTTCGCCTAATTTGGTCTAAAATTTGAAATCACTTTGAATTCCTGATGATTCTCACTTTAGTGAATAATGTATAAAATAGCACATAATTCACAAGATACTTTAAACTGGTGCATGCCATTATGTCATTACAGTTTGGGGTATGTTGGTGTACCCCATACTGTAGGCTTGCTCATACAATGGTATGCACTATAACTCCCACAACACACAGCCAGCTTGCGTCTGACTGACGGACATCTTATTGTAGTTGCTGATCTCCAAGCTGTCATGCTTAGTACCCCTAAATACCAGTTCCATGAACCCCAATATAAATTTGCATATCTCCCTCACATTTAATTGAAAGTTCCCTGGAGTTTGTGCTGACTGAAGGGGCAGCTGAACTCAACAGCGACCCCCTGGGGCGAGTGATGTCTCCTACATCCCCAATCTTTGGCTGCAGAGTCAGGAACAACAAAATAACTCTGTCTGGGTCAGTTTCTAAAGGGAGAATGGACATGTTTTGTCTCTGGTTCCTGGCACACCATCAAAGTGTAAATATTCAATTATTTAAAGGTCCCCTCCATGCAAACGGTGTGTTTATTGTAAAAATAACCTTTTATCTGATAACCAGTTAACATAAAATTAACAGGGCACTAAATGTAAACTTTTAAAGAGCAGTGGGATCCCACCCGTACCTTATCCCCTCTGTATTGTATACAGCATGGGTCCTCAAACTCCGGCCCCCCAGATGTTGCTGAACTACAACTCCAATGATTCTTTGAATTACATAGATAGCCAAATAATCATGGGAGTTGTAGTTCAGCAACACCTGGGGGGCCGGAGTTTGAGGACCCCTGGTATACAGGATAAGACTGGGGAAGGGAATCACTGAGAGCCTGGGTTAGACCAGTCTGGGTGTTTCCTGGAATCATGTTACCAGCGCTCTAACTGTGATGGCATTTAATGTTACTGCTCCTAAAGGGTTAAAAAAGTCACACTGTTACACGGCATTCTTTTTGTTAATCATATAATTTATTGAAACAAGGGAGGAATCGGCAATTAAATACTGAATAAACCTCTTATACATCCTGCATTCAGCGAGCGTTAAACAAACAATTATATAAAATGTTCACACTGTGGTATTGACAGATTCTGCGATGTTGGTATTGAGGCAGAAATACCGTTTTGTATGACAAATATATGTAAAACTGTGTCTGTGGTGCCGTGACGTGTAAGTCCAGCTTTTACTAGACACTTTACTACACAAGCCAATAGCAGCCTACAGACAGGCTCTGTCCCATATTATTATTATTATATTTATACGAATGGGATCCCTTGTATACACAGGTCGGGAGTGAAGGTGTTAATTTGTCATAGACAGACAATTATCTGGTACTAGCAGTATGGACGGAGCAGGTAGGTGTCTCTTACTGTGCTCCTGGGAAAGTATTTTAGGCAGTCGCTTAGTGACCTTATATAAACTTCGATCTTGATTAGCACACAAACGCTGAGTATATACAATATGGTGGATCCAAACCGGTTTCTTTTGCTCCGATCCTATTTACTATGCATCTCTCGTATGGCCAGGGTCCCCGTTAGTAAGATTTTTCTGTAATCCCCCTTCACATGTTAAATTGATTCACACAGAGCGGCGCTTGCAGACAAGTAATTATTACAGCGATATAAAGAGACGCTCTATAGGAATATGTACACTGACTGTGCTCTGAAGCCAATTAGCTGAGGATTGGAAGTGGGTTGCAAGGACACTATTTAATTCTAGTTCTGCTAATAACGAGGGGCAGACTCTGCTTTGTTATCACCATTATTTTTAGCAGGTTGCCTTTAGAGAACAGAGTTTATCATGTTGACTCCCAGGGAGAGAGCCGTCTAACAGATTTCTTACATTTTTAATTTTATATATGACGGCAACTAGCCGCGTTTATCAAGCCTGAAAAGTTTCAAAGAGCTTGTCTAATTTCCCAGTGCCCTGTGCTCCGCAATTAATAGAATCCCCCAAATACCTTCCCTTAGGGTACAACATCTGGCTTGATATTATGTTCCAAACTAACGCGCCATCAATGAGACCAACACAACACAGATTTATCTGATACACATCATGAAAATGAATTCTAAATGTTTAACTATTCAGGCACCTGACAGTCAGGCATTGCTTGTTGTCCTTAGGTACATGATAAGTTAATAAAGAAATCCACTATATGACTTTAAATGTACACTTTAAATAAAAAATACAGCTTAACTCCGAAAACCGTGATATATATATATATATATAAACAAGACAGCAAAGAGGAGTGTGGTGACTACACGAAGGAGTTGAGTATAATGCACTAAACGGAGTAAAAAACTAGTTAGATAAAAAATAAAAGGTTTATTCTGTCTATTAAAAATGTTACACATTGTGTCTGGAAGCTGCATGCCCCCACCATTTAATGTGCCAAGAGCCACCGGGCCACTGGCCACAATAGGTTTACTTACTATAGAAGCACTGCTTACCTCCTTGCAATGGCCTACCCTGACACTTGGAAGAATCTAAAGGAGTTGTTTTGCAATATTTATTTTAAGGTTAATTATCTGACTCGCAAATAATTTATTTCTGAGTTAATCTTCTTGAAATAGAATGGGTGGACAAGCAAATGCATGCAATTTGTATAAAAATTGCCTCTTTGTAAAAAAAATTCCAAAAATCTATAAAATGTCAATAATACTTTATTATTCAATATTTCTTAAAAAAAAGATCAGTTTTATATGCACTTTATAAAATATACAAATCTGGCATGACATGTTTTAAGTGTAAATGATTGTTCTCATTATATTTCAAATATGGAATGCTGTCATTTCTTTCGATATACTAGGAATGTTACTCAGCTTATAAACAAATTCTTTCACAAATTAATTACTGTTCGATTCATCCATTTGTACCAAGTGTCTGATACTCGAGAGGTGGAATCACTCATTGTGCCAATGATGTTTCTCCAGGTTAAATATCACCGTCATTACGAGAAGCAGATAAAGGGGAGAGCGAGCCAGACAGCTGGGACAGATGTGACACACGTCAAACAGACAGATCATTTAAGCCCGGTATGTAGAGAAGCCGAGGAGGGACTGTGTTGCCATTTTCATTAAGCATCATGTCCTGTCTGTCAAACTGAGAAAGGTAATTCCCATCCTGATTCTACCTTAACTTTGCATAAATCAGAACAAAAAAAATAGCAAGGAGAAAAATGCACCTTTGATAGCATCTTCTGAAAAATAAGAACTTGAGGAGATCAGACCGTTCCCTTTATTAATGTTTCTGGGGACATTTAATGATGGTGCACCCAAGTTTAAGTAACACCGGATCTGTTCTTGACCCAATAAAACTCAGCTGTTCTAGCCGGTGCCAAGAGTCCCTGGGAGCGCAGAATTTTATTACAATAGCTGGCGATTTCTACAGCTGCGGAATCTGTTGGCGCTAGGTGTCACAATGTCACAGAGCCCAGTCTAGAATGCCCAGTCTAGGAGTCACAGTGCCCAGTATAGAATGCCCAGTCTAGGAGTCACAGTGCCCAGGAAGGAATGGCCAGTCTAGGTGTCAAAATGTCACAGCGCCCAGTCTAGAACGCCCAATCTAGGAGTCACAGTATCACAGTGCCCAGTCTAGAACGCCCAGTCTAGGAGTCACAGTGTCACAGCGCCCAGTCTAGAATGGCCAATCTAGGAGTCACAGTGCCCAGTCTAACATGCCCAGTCTAGGAGTCACAGTGCCCAGTCTAGAATGGCCAGTCTAGTTGTCACAATGTCACAGCGCCCAGTCTAGAACGCCCAATCTAGGAGTCACAGTGCCTAGTCTAGAATGCCCAGTCTAGGTGTCACAGTGCCCAGTCTAGAACGCCCAATCTAGGAGTCACAGTGTCACAGTGTCCAGTCTAGAACACCCAGTCTAGGAGTCACAGAGCCCAGTCTAACATGCCCAGTCTAGGAGTCACAGTGTCACAGTGCCCAGTCTAGAACGCCCAATCTAGGAGTCACAGTGTCCAGTCTAACATGCCCAGTCTAGGAGTCACAGTGTCACAGTGCCCAGTGTAGAATGGCCAGTCTAGGTGTCACAATGTCACAGCGCCCAGTCTAGAACGCCCAATCTAGGAGTCACAATGTCACAGTCCCCAGTCTAGAATGCTTAGTCTAGGTGTCACACAAAGCAGCAAATGAAATTAAGACAAAACAGGTCTTTTGGGCATCGATTGCTCACATTAAATATTCTTTAGAAAGTAAGACGGTGAAAGTATTATTTGTTTCTGCAGGATTACTTAGAGGAAGAGGAAGAGTACCGAGGGAAAGGAAGCTTCCCTGCGCTGATTACACCTGCGTATCTTCATGCAAAAAAAGCCAATGAAATAGCAAGTGATGTAAGTAGACGCTGCCTAAGAAACCCACCATGTCCAAGCTACAAGAAGAAATAGAGACAAACAACATTAATTTACTTTGTAGCCCTCAGGGTTATAAATTAAATCTTACAGGCTTATTGGGAATTCAAAGTGACTTTTAAATTTAATTTAGAGGAACTCTATAGTGTGAGGATCACAAGCGTCTATTCCTGATGCTATAGTGCTGACGTGTCAGTTTAGTCCTCTGGCCCCCCTCAGATTGTAGTGAAAAAAAAAATCGCCATGCTGGTCTCGACACGGCTTACCTCGCCTCCAGAGCTGAGATCATCAGTCTTGATGATCTCAGACAATCCAATGCTTTCCCATAGAAAAGCATTGTGGGGCTATTGCACTGCACCAATCAGCATTTCCTCATATAGATTAATGAAATCAATGCAAATCTATTAAGACTATTCAGAGCCTTCATGCAGAGGGTGGAGACATTGAATGTAGGCAGCACTGGACATGGAAACACCTCTAGTGGCCGTCTGAGTGACTGCACCTACAGGAGTTACTAGTAGGCAATGTAAACGCTGCCTTTTCTCTGAGTGAATGAACAGGTTCTCAGCATCTCAGAGTGAATGAACAGATTCTCAGGGTCTCAGAGCGAATTAGTAGATTCTCAGAGTGAATGGTCAGATTCTCTGGGTCTCAGTGTGAATAAACATATTCTCAGGATCACAGAGAGAATGAGCAGATTGTCAGCTTCTCAGAGTGAATTAGCAGCTTCTCAGCTTCTCACAGTGAATGAGCAGATTCTCAGCTTCTCAGAATGAATGACCAGATTCCCTGAGTCTCTGAGTAAATGAGCAGGTTCTCAGAATCTCTGTGTCAATGAATATATTATCTGGGTTTCTTTGTGTGAATGATCAGATTCTCAGGGTCTCTGTGTGAATAAACAGATTTACAGGGTCTCAGTCTGAATGAACAGATTCTCAGGATCTCAGTGTGAATGAGCAGATTCTCTGGGTGTCTGTGTTAATGAGCAGATTCCAGGGTCTCATTGTGAATGCCCAGATTTTCCAGCACGCAGAGTGTGGATGAATTTGGGATATTTGTAAGGCCCACTCCCTGTTTATTTTTAACGCCAGGTTTCTGGTGTTAATGATCAATTAATTAATATAACTCTGCTATTGGAAAGCAGCCAATTAGCATCCAGACTGTGGTTGTGAGAAAGGACAGATGTATTGATTGATATGATTTACTTAATTTATTTAATATGTTGTTTATATGATTTGAGAGTCAGCCAATATAGGAATTTACCGCCCTCCTTCCAGCAGACTTTGTGATAATTGTATCTCCGCGAAGATCAAGCTTTTATTATCATGTATTTTAGATCAAATATAAAAAAGATTTTTCAAAGATGAAAGGGGCCGCTCATTACCATACTCTGGCCACGGAGGACAACATGACCATGAAACAAGCCCAGAACGTGAATAAGCTGGTCAGCGAGGTGAGACGCCATAAAATAACCCCAGTGCGAGCTCCCGCTGTGTATTAATTGTGGTTAGCTGTATTGTGACCAATGACCCCAGAATCAAAATGTATTAATATTAATATTGTGTAGCCACCCTTCATGATGTGCGATGATTTCTGCTTTTTACACATAGAATGGCAGACATGCTGACAGTTACATCATGTTTTAATTTCTCTGCTTTTAAGTATAATTTTATATATATATATATATATATATATATATATATATATATATATATATATATAGTATCATGAGTAAAAACTATTAATTATAGCGAGGGTCTCCTAAAAGTTTTTGAATTATGAAAAGGACTGAATACATGTAGACAAAGCCCACTGAGTGTGGAGAACTGGTGGTAAAAATGTATTAGGTATTAAATATGAATTTTTTTAATCTCATCAAACGTTATAAAAATTATATATATATCTTTGACTGTATCTAACTGTCTTTTTCAGCCAGTCTCATTGTATTTGCGTCTCTGTTTTTGTCTGTCATTTTCAGGATGTCTTTTTCTCTTTCTCTGTGCCTCTCTTTATCAGTATTTGTATATCAGGCTGTCCATCTGCCTTTGTCTTTCTGTCTGTCTGTCTTTCTCTCTCGTTCTGTGTTTGTCTTTCTACCTTTGTCTCTCTGTCTGTGTTTATATGTCTGTGTTTGTCTGTCTCTATGTCTGTTTGTGTGTGTTTGTCTGCCTTCCTTTGCCTGTCTCTCTGTCTGTTTGTCTTTGTCTTTCTGTCTGTGTTTTTCTCTGTCTGTGTTTGTCTTTCTACCTTTGTCTCTGTCTGTGTTTGTCTGTCTCTATGTCTGTTTGTCTGTCTACCTTTGTCTCTCTGTCTGTTTGTGTTTGTCTGCCTGCCTTTGTCTGTCACTCTGTTTTTTTGTCTGTCTGCTGAGCTGTCCTTGGTATAACTCAGCTTACCTTGTGTTTAACAGGTGGAGTACAAGAAAGATTGGGAGCACAGTAAAGGACACAGCATTAACTACTGTGAAACGCCTCAGTTTAGGAATGTCAGCAACATCTCAAAATTCACTAGTGATGTAAGTACTGTCCCAATGCACAACTGAGCCAGCGGTCCTTTCCATCCCATCTCGATGTTTGTCTCCTACCCTTTCTTTTCCTTTATTTAACCCCTGGCACGGGAACACTGAGTGGAGGATGTATGTTTATTCCTGATAAGCTCTAATTAATGCCCCTTCTCTATATAAAACAAATTTCGCTCCATTTTGCAGAATGGCTTATGGCTGTCCTAATGGACTGAGCCGCTATAGTGATTTACTTTATCTCGTATTTGCATTTCTTAATTAATGTTAAGTAGTGGCTCCTAATCCCGGAGGACTCGTTTTGGGAAGCATTACAGAGCTAATCTTCGCTAATTGACTCAGTACTGAAACCAAGTTATTTTCTAACTGTTATAACAATTTCTCACTTCAGATATGTTATTATTCTCGCTCTCATTTTTCGTTTCTGGCGTTCTTTTTACAGCATTCGATTGTTAACCAGTCACAACTGTATAAATAATCATAACAATGACTTGCGTGTTAAAAACCTGTAATAATGATAGTTTCTTCTTTTATTTCCTTTTTAAAAATTTCTTACAAATAAATTCTTCCAAAAATCAATTCAGGAAATAGAATTTCAACACCACGGAAAATGTCAAATTATACTGTGTGCAGAATGAGCGCGTTTCAAAGAGATTTACTTTTATAAATGTTGCCACTTTAAGAAGTGCGTTAGTATTGTAACAAAACATTTTGCGATATCAGTCTATCATGTCACATGGCCAGTAAACAGAATAAATGAGACATGGAGGTAACAATCATTCTGGAAATACTTGGGCTTGATTCGTTTTACTGATGCAGTTCCAAATACTCTTTTTTTTTTTTTTTTTTATGTTTATTATTTGAGAGAGGTGAGACAGGATCTCTCCCTAATCAATGGGTCACGTGATCTGATTCTGTGATTCTCATTCCTTTATTATCCCTTACTAACCCTTACGGTGCGCCAAGTACCATTTAGGGACGCTATATGTTTTCCCCACCTTTATTTATGGTTATTTGTGTTCCCAGAAATATTAGAATCTGTACTCCATGAAAAAATAAGGAATTTACTAGCTGAACATAAATTAAAATATGTCCATTAGCACCTCGGTTATTTACTAAAAAAAGATATCGAACATTAAATACATTATGTTAGAGGAATTTAGGGAAATTAAAATGATATATATATAAAATGTATAGTTAATGGCTCCTGATGAGTCATCACCAGAGCTCATGAAATCATAATCCCGCTGGTTGGATACTTTCCAGCAAAAATGTTACCGTTATGAGATCGTTGAGAAATGACCGTATGTCTCACTGGTTAATCAAAGCCCAAATAATCACTGTAAATAAAATACGTTTTAGTTAAATTAGTGATAACTTCATAAATAGTTACATGTGTGCATAATGTCCAATTACAGAAACATTAAAGACACATATGTACTGCAATGTCCGTGTGGAAGACAATACGTTAACGGCGCACCTGTCACCTGATCACATCAACAATGGGCCTCGCTGCCATAACCGTCATATCGTCACGCAGTCATATTGTACAGCGCTGCGGGATTTGTTGGTGCTTTAGAAATAATAATAATGTACTCGTAGGCGCCAATTTATAATTTTTCTGTGTCAGCCTGTGATATTGGTCTAACAATCTCGACATTGTAGTTAAAAATAAAATGGTTTAGAGACGGTTTAAATAGGTAACATTTTGTAAATCCAGATTATCACTTGGAGTAAGTGAAATCTGTATTGTGATTTCCTTGATATCTGTTTCACGATAGCGTCTGAAAATCAGACAGTGTTATCAATCGTTTCTCAGCGCTGGATTGTAACGCAGATAATTTCCGTCTTTACATTTCCTTTGGTTTATTCCTAATGTTAATATAGGACGTGTCTTTTAATCCAGGGCCATTACGGCCCCATTTCACCTATTCAGGAATTTAAATGATGAAGATAAACAGAGTGGAATTAACTTTAAGCAGATATTAACATCAATGTGCAAATGTATTTGATTTAGTTTTTTTACTTTTTTAACAATTCTATTTCAGTTTATTTTATGATATGATTAAAGGGGAAGATTTATCGAAATATAAACAGGTGATATCCAGGGTAAAGTGCTAAATAAAGGGCAATCTCCATGGAAACCAATAGAATGCCTCTGGATATTTAGCAATTTTAACATCGATAACGTGTGTGCAAACTCTAATGAAACGTTCTAAGCCGCCCCACGCGTCTGGAAGCACCCCTTTGGACTCCACTTTTTTTTTACAAATATTGAATAGGAAATATAAACCCTGTAATAATCTTCTCGGGAATTCAATGGGAGTTTAAAAGGAGTTTCAATTTTGTGGTCAAAGCTGAAAAGAAGGGAATTTAGAGATTTTTACCAATCCGGCTACTGTGACATTTAAAATCATTTTGTATTTAGTGAATAACTGCGTCAGTTTTCAGACAATGTGTAAAAATAGATGGTGAAACATAGAAACATAGAATGTGACAGCAGATAAGAACCATTCAGCCCATCTAGTCTGCCCAAATTTCTAAATACTTTCATTAGTCCCTGGCCTTATCTTATAGTTAGGATAGCCTTATGCCTATCCCACGCATGCTTAAACTCCTTTACTGTGTTAACCTCTACCACTTTAGCTGACAGGCTATTCCATGCATCCACTACCCTCTCAGTAAAGTAATACTTCCTGATATTATCTTTAAACCGTTGCCCCTCAAATTTAAAGGGACACTCCAGGCACCCAGACCACTTCTGCCCATTGGAGGGGTCTGGGTGCCAACTCCCACTACTCTTAACCCTGCAAGTGTAATTATTGCAGTTTTTTATAAACTGCAATAATTACCTTGCAGGGTTAACTCCACCTCTAGTGGCTGTCTGTCAAGCCACTAGAGGGCACTTCCTGGTTTCTAGGACCTCCAGCGTCGCTCATTTCCCCTTAGGAAAGCATTGAAATGCATTTTCACTGCTTTCCTATGGGGAGCACTAATGTGCATTGCCGCGCATGCGCATTAGGTCTCCCCGGCCGGTGGGCGGGATCATTCTTGCCCACCGGCCGACGCAATCAGAGGGAGGACTGGAGCGGAGGAAGAAGCAGCGACGTGGGACATCGTCGCTGCCTCGGGTAAGTCACTGAAGGGGTTTTCACCCCTTCAGCAACCGGGGATTGAGGGGTGGGAGGGAGAGGGGACCTGCAGTGCCAGGAAAACAGAAACTCCTGGCACTGGAGTTTCCCTTTAAGACAATGTTGTGTAGCCCTTCTCTGAACTCTCTCTAAAGTATCAATATCCTTCTGGAGTACAATACTCCAAGTGAGGTCTCACCAGTGTTCTGTACAATGGCATGAGCACTTCCCTCTTTCTACTGCTAATACCTCTCCCTATACAACCAAACATTCTGCTAGCATTTCCTGCTGCTCTATTACATTGTCTGCCTACCTTTAAGTCATCAGAAATAATCACCCCTAAATCCCTTTCCTCATATGTTGGGGTTAGGACTCTATCAAATATTCTGTACTCTGCCCTTGGGTTTTTACGTCCAAGATGCATTATCTTGCACTTATCCACATTAAATGTCAGTTGCCACAATTCTGACCATTTTTCTAGTTTACCTAAATCATTTGCCATTTGGCTTATCCCTCCTGGAACATCAACCCTGTTACATATCTTAGTATCATCAGCAAAAAGACATACCTTACCATCAAGACCTTCTGCAATATCACTAATAAAAATATTAAAGAGAATGGGTCCGTGACAGTGATGTCGCAACTGATAAAAAAATAGACAGAAAATGTGACCTGTAAGGAAATATACATTTATTAATATTTTACCATTGTTTCATTATTTGACTTTTGCTCAAAGGATGTTATTTTAGCTCAGATTTAGAAACCCCGTGATTTTGTGTACACCCAGCACATCATTTATTCTGTTTCTGCAGTTGAAGTATAAAGAGAAGTACCAGAACCAGATGAAAGGTCACTATGAAGGTATGGGAATGGACCGGCGCACAATGCACGCCATGAAGGCGGGGAGTCTGGCCAGCAATGTGAGTATAGCCATAGAGAGTACAACAAAGTATCTTTAAAGGGACAGCATTATAATCTCCACAGACCAGTGTTGTGGTTATGGTGCTAGCAGATTACTGGTGCTGCCTACAGTTCTGTTACAAATCCTTTCCAGTATGTTGACTCCGACCCGTCACTGATTGTATTGATAGTGCGTAAAGGATTCTGAATTAGAAATCGTGACTTTATTCTAATTTGGATCTAATCACTGATTGGCTGAAAGTCTTAGCTTACCTCCTCAGCTGGTCAGATTTGGTCAAAACTCAGATTGCTAATTCAAATATGGATTAACTGCAAGTTTTATTGCTCTATCCATAAACTTACCACACATTACTGTGAGTTTTACTGCCATGGAGCTCTGTTATACCCTCATACATACTATACATTACTGTGAGTTTTATTGCTGTAGAGCTCTGTGACGCACTCATACACACTATATATTACGGTCATTTATTGCTGTAGAGCTCTGTTACACCCATACGCACTGTATAGGATTGTGAGTTGTATTGCTGTGGAGCTCTGTAATGTGTGTAATATTCTGAAACATTTACAGGTTGCCTACAAATCAGATTATAAGAATGATGACGTAGATGCAAATTATTACTATCCGGCCACGCAAACCCCGTCCTATCAGACCACAAAGAAACTGAATCCATTGAAAGATGTAAGTCGGACACTCTGCTCACAGTAATTGCCAAAATGTCCACCTACGCAAGAAGAATGTACTTATTTACTAAATAGTGAGCTCTGCTGTATTTACTACAGACTTTAGACCAAAACAGTAAATAATCAGATATTCCCAACAATGACATACCCAACGCTGTGCGTACAATTCTTATCTCTGTCTCAACTCACTGTTTAGGGAATAACGTTTTTACTTTATTGGAGATATAATATATATTCTTTTCTTATACCCCAGATTTGTGGATCAGTATAATAATAAATATAGCAACAAGAGAAGCAGTGTAATAAAGGAAGGCTTTATTCACTAATACAGATATATATATATATATATATAATACAGATATTGATATAGTATTGTATATTATAGCATTAACATACAGTAAATTAATTCAAGTTAAAATCAATTTTAGTTTGAATCAGGAAGAATGCAATCAAAATTTGCCAAATAAAAATGATTCCCATTATGACATCATGTGATGACAACATACAAAATTAATTATTTTCATATTCGTTTCTCTATCACTGGAAAATGTTAAACCCGGCGTCCTTTTGATTTATACATCTGCCGCAGTTTACAGATCTGCTTATTCACAATGAAACACCTTTTCAGTGGAAATAATTAAACTAAATTGCAAATGGCCAAAGTATTGAAAGTTTAAATTGCTCACTGAGAAAACTAATTTATTTGCATTAAATAAAAACAAAATGTAGATTGCTCATTAACTGTGTTTAATTAGCTTTTTGTTTAACTCTCCCTCCAGGTTAACTACCGGCAGAGTATTGACAAGGTAAAATACAGCTCTGTAGCAAACACCCCAGAAATGGTTCAAGCCAAAGTGAACGCCCAGCAGCTGAGTGATGTAAGTCCCAATATGAATTTTGTCGGTCCAGCGTCCGTGTTCCCTGCTGATAACACGCTCTCTCCAAATCCCCTCGCTCTGTGCCTTGCATGAAGCTGATAACAGCAAGCTCTTGGAAAGACCAAACATTTTTTATTCTATTGTAGCACAACACACAGAAACAAATATAACCAACGACTCTTATGAATGCAGCAATAAACATGTAGACGATACAATCCAAAGCGAATAATGAACACAACAGTTAGAAACTAATTGCATCCCTAACCCTCCCTTTCAAGGAAGTTGGCTAAACTGACCTCTTGGAAGGCGTGTGGTGGTTTGCGCCAATTATCTGCCTGCTGTTTCAGTCCAGGAAGAAATGTCTTCCTTTTCCAGTAGGATTGGAGTCTATTCTCTAAACGTAAATGAATGATCTTGGGTTCAATAGCCAAACTCAACTAAATGCTGATAAAATAAAATCAGAAAAATGTGTAAAAATCTGCAGAGACTGAGATTATCAAATGCCTGTGTAATATAAATCCAATGACTAAATACTGTAATAAAAAATGTTTACAGACAATACAGGAATTGCATAGATATTGTGCGTTCTATGTAACTAAAGATTTCTTTTTTTTTGGCACTTTTGCCTAAATTTTGTACGTTTATTGGTTTTGGACTCAGAACAATTTACTCTTTAGTATCTAGAGCATTCACAGAACGGCTAATTTATAAAAGAGTGAAGAATTCCTATATTTTCCGAAAAATTTAATTTATTACATTTTTTTTCTTTTTACTGTGTTATAGTTAAATTATCGTGCGGAGTATGAAAAATCCAAGACACATTACACGCTCTCACAAGATCTTCCTGGCCTACGGAAAGCAAAATCAAATGCTGAACTGTACAGTGACGTAAGTGCATTTTATTCACACATCATGTCTGTTACGCTAAATATGTCGTTCCTGGAATGCATCACTGGTGTGCACAAAGACTAATGCCCTCCCCCAGAAAGCCAGGGGAACTTATTCTGGCTGGCAGCATGGGCTAACTGATGGGTCACCCTCACTCTGTCCGCAAGTGGCTGCATCCAAGTTGTTAGAAAGTATCCAAGTGGATGCCCCTATCAGAGACAGGCAACCTTCGCTACACAGATATTATGGGCTACATCCTCCTTAATGCTCTTACAGCCATGATGGTGGCAAAGTATCAGGGGAGATGTAATCTGAAGTGCCAAAGGTTGCCTACCTCTTGGAATTCAGTGACATTTTTAGCATAAATAACTAGATTTACCTGTGGTTAAATAATCCTGACACTTTGTATTTTCTACTCAATGGCAGAATAAGTACAGAGAAGACTGGATAAAGAACAAGGGTCGAAGCTTTGAGATGCACCTGGATTCATTGTCAATACTCTCAGCCAAAGCATCAATGAACCTAGCAAGTGATGTAAGTAGGAATCAATTCCAAAAACCCCAAAGTGGGGCTCTAAACCCTGTATCCAGAGTAGGGTCATGTCCATAGGCACCTATGATGTGCTGCTTAAATAGACCATTCTTGACCAAGGGTTGTGCTATAACTGCTGGAGAAGCTTTCTAGCTGCAGAGGTAAGTGACAATAAATAACCCTGATCCTTAGCTGGTAGTATCAGATAGCTGTCGTTTTCCAGGCAAAGCATTGCAAACATGTTAGTGTCACTTCTTAACAAATATCATTAGTTCTAAAATGACATCTGTGACGTGTCCACTAATCTCTCTTAACAGATTAAATACAAAGAACAATATGAAAAGAACAAAGGTAAAGCAGCATCAACGAGTGACTCCAGACTACTCCATTCATTACAAGTAGGAAAAAGGGACAGTGAGGTAAGTCACCAAGTCACTGTCACCAAGTCACTGTCACCGTTAAATGACAATATGTCACCAAGTCACTGTCACCATTAAACAACAATATGTCACCAAGTCACTGTCACCATTAAATGACAATATGTCACCAAGTGACTGTCACCATTAAATGATACTTTGTCACCAAGTAACTCTGTCACCAGGAACTCACCTTATTGGTCGCCGCACAGAGCACCCATCACACTCGCCACTGTTCCCTGACTGCTAACGCCATGTTCACACTGTAGCTATTACTTTTTTTATTGAGTTTATTCATTACTGATATTATTATATCCCAGGTAAATTACAAGAAAGGATTCAAGGAGAGCCAAACTCAGTTCCACTTACCGATGGATATGGTAAACCTCACTCATGCCAAGAAGGCTCAGGCTCTGGCAAGTGACCTGGACTACAGAAAGAAATTTCACGAATATACCATCCTTCCCGAGGACATGAAGGTCAAATGGGCCAAAAAAGCGTATGATCTTCAGAGTGAGGTAAGTTACAAAGCGAGCCACTAAACTGGCACAAAAAGTAGAAATGATGAGTCTATTCGCGTGACTCTGAGTTTGGAGAATTAAAAATGGAATTTGCACAATTCAGGCCAAAGTACCCGATCTAGGAATAAATCTGAGTTAAGGAGTTCCACCTGTTTAATATAAATTTAACAATTTTCAATTCAACTAATTTGCTATTAATTTTAGCAATTTATTTACCGTTTGCACCGTGTTTTTACAGTTTTGTGAATAAAACCTTATGCCTTTACCTATTTTAATGTGTTATGAAGGATACAGCAATGTTCCTGAATTCTGTGCAGACTCAGCAATTATAATTATGTTCCCACATAGTCAACACGCTATTAGTTTGCTGCAACTAACTAACCGCTACACAAATTAGGGTTTAGAAAAAAGTTCCACCACGACCTTCCAAGCGAAGAGGACAACGATAATGCGATGATGTACTTTTATCATTTCTGTGACACAGCCAGATTACCCAGGAGGCCCCCAAGCTGGCTACTTAGGGCCTGAGCTCAGACAATGAATTTAAATGTTAAGGTAAAAGTAGCCAAACCAGTAGCTGAGCTGACTGGGATAATTATTACAGTTTGTCTAAACTGGCCTTAAATTTAAAATCCCAATAATTCTCACGTTGGTAAACCCAGACGGTGTTAAAGGAGCACTATAAGGTCAGGAACACAAACATATATTTCTGACCTAATAGTGTTAAAGCCACCATCTAGCCCTCCTGGCCCTCTCTTGCTTCCCTAAATATAGTAAACTCTTACTTGTATTCAAGCCTGACTCTGCTGGCTCTGCCCCTGTCTCCCTCAGACCTACAAGCTGCCTGCTGACATCATCAGTAGTGGTGTTCTGAGCCAATAACGGTGCTTTCCATAGTATTGGCTGAGACTGACAAAGAGGCAGATCAGGGGCCGAGCCAGCATGATTCAAACACAGCCCTGGCCAATCAGCATCTCCTCATAGAGATGAATTGAATCAATGAATCTCTATGAGGAAAGTTCAGTGTCTGCAGCAGAGGGAGGAGACACTGAATGTTTGGATGCATTTTAGGCAGCCATGACCCAGGAAGGATCTCTAACAGCCATCTGAGGAGTGGCCAGTGAAGTTATCACTAGGCTGTAATGTAAACACTGCATTTTCTCTGAAAAAGACAGTGTTTACAGCAAAAAGCCTGAAGGTAATGATTCTACTCACCAGAACAAATTCAATAAGCTGTAGTTGTTCTGGTGACTATAGTGTCCCTTCAATCATATCACGCATGTGATAATGTACATATTGTGTATTTACAGATCGTTCGTACATCCGAGTATTCATTGTCCTTCCGTGTGTTTAGCACTCTGTATCTTGTGACCTGTTTTGTTCTTTTAATACGATGCTGGAAGATGAGACAGTTATATTGAAAGTCACAATGTGTGTGCTAGGCTCTGGCACGCCATTCTTTGTCACTCTATAAAATAGCGAGGGGGTCATATAATTCCCTATTTGTACGGGAGAAGGCGCTGCATTTAAGAGAATTTATTTTCTGAAAATGAACGCAGCATGTTCTTAATTTATCCTTTTATTCCAGCTCCGATACAAATCTGATCTTTCATGGATGAAAGGCGTAGGATGGGTTGCTGAAGGCAGTCTGAATGTGAAACAGGCTAAGAAAGCTGTGGATCTCATTAGTGAGGTAAATGAAGAAATAGAAATAATAGAAACTGTAACTAAACATATAAAGTAAAAATGAGAATTTGCCAATCCCACCTGATTGTACACTCACATGGATTAGGGCCATTAGTTTCTCAAATGTTGCATTGTCTCAAACGTATCGTACCTTCTTTTTACCAGCTGTACCCATGTACTGTAGCCCCATGTAGCCAGAGCGCAGCTTAGCGGAAAAGGGCCTTGACAGGGGTTAGGAGGCGGGCATAGGAGGGACCGGGCAGGACTGTGGGATTATGGGATGGGGGCTGGCTATTTAATAGGCAGCCATTTTAAAATGTGCACATTAATTTCTGCCTAGCTGTGTTTGTCCCACCCTCCCTCCCTGTAATGGGTTGTTTCTGTATTATCCCGTTTTGTCACAGCGGCGGGATAGAGAGCTAGGGAAGGCAAAAATAGGCTCCCCATGAGGAACGTGAGGAACATGAAGAATTGTGGTCACTGGTGGATGGTGGGTTTCGAGTCCTGGAGGTGGCTCAGAACCTGGTGGGGTAGGGGTATCTGGGTATACCCCTACCGTGGTTACTTATGGTTGGCATTTAAATCGGTTCATGTTGGAGTAAGGTTAAAGCGTTATTTATATATATTTATGTGTTGCTTATGTTGGGTCATTGCCCTGATATTAATGAAGGTATAGATGCGAGGGCGGAGTATGGGGGCAATGACCCATGTTTTATATATATGTTAAATTATTAGTATCGTTACTATGATTGTTAATAAAGCTGTGGACAATTTGACCCATATACCTAGTGTCAGCGTGTTATTGGGGATAGGTATGTGGGGAGGTTGTTGTCCAAGGTTCCGACTGCCCATATGGCGACTATACACCAGTCAAGAGCTGCGGTATGTGTTGGCACTTTATTAAAAAAGTATAATTATTATAGTTGACATTGTATCACACCATGATGGCTGTTTTGTTTTTGTTTGTTTTTTTACCAGGACCCACCCTGGAATGTGATTAGTGAGACGAGATATGTGGAAATCATTTCAAATTTCTAGAATTTTTTTTTATTTTTTTTTTATTAAAAGCCATTTTTTTTATTTTTAATTTTGATGTTTGTTATAGAAATAAATAGGTTTTACAAATTAAATAAAGGAGCCAGTTGGTGACTTTCGTTCTGACTTTTCTTGCAATACTGGCGATGGCAGTTACTGCATTATGGAAAATAAAGTGACCTAAAATCGGCATTACTTTCCATGTCTTTTTATGCAACAAAATCCCAAAACAGTCAGATTTCTTCTCTATCCCAGCTCCGGTGGCACCCCTTTCTGCCGAGGTTAATTTCAGAATGAAGTGCCAATTCAAATGATGTCTTGATTTTGTCTTTCCAGAAAAAGTACCGCCAGAAAGCTGACCTGTGGAAGTTTACCAGCATTGCCGACAGCCCGCAGATTAAACAAGCCAAGAAAAGCCAGGAGCTGCAGAGCGATGTGAGTCCTTCAAGGTTGTTTAATTATCTTGATGACGAACAGGAACAGGTGCAACGCAAGCCGCGTAAACCGAGACAGTGAGCGGAGCTTGAAATAGATTGAAGGGTTTACATCTCAGCTCAGGCTTTTAACTAAGAATCATTAAACTAAACCTACAGCCTTACCATCTGCTATTAGAGAAACACAAGAAGAGCGAGAGGCTGCCCAAAGCAAAAACTCGATTTCTTTAGCATTGTGCAAACAAATTATATATATATATATATATAATACTATCTCTGCTGCCACTTCAAACGTTCCTTTCCAGCATATTAGATCTGTGGTTTTGTTGAAACCTTTCGAAAGACCTGCTAATGCTGACCCTGTTGTCTTAGTAGATGTTTTTATTTTAGTTATCTGGATAAAGCTAGCATACTGAATTGATGGTGTTGGATAACCTGTTAATCCATCTCCTAGAATGTTGTGACTGTGAAAGTGTTATTTAGGGTAAAAACAAAGTGACTTCAAGATATAAGAGATGCTCTATATATAGATATTCAGAGAGATTGCAGAAGGCGCCATTGACTGATCCAAATGTTTACATGTATTGATGTTACCTCAAAATAGTTTCATTATTAGTTCCATAAAATTATTTTGCATTCATGATAATACATTCACATTATCGCAGTCATCATGATACATTCACACTATCGCACGCATCATGATACATTCCAAATATCGCAGTCATCGAAATATATTCACACTATCGCAGTCATCATGATACATTCCAAATATCGAAGTCATCGTAATATATTCACAATATCGCAGTCATCATAATATATTCACACTATCGCAGTCATCATGATACATTCCAAATATCGAAGTCATCGTAATATATTCACACTATCGCAGTCATCATGATACATTCACACTATCGCAGTCATCAAAATATATTTACACTATCGCAGTCATCATGATACATTCACACTATTGCAGTCATCGTAATATATTCACACTATTGCAGTCATCGATATATATTCACACTATCGCTGTCATCGTAATACATGCCAAATATCTAAGTCATCGTAATTTATTCACACTATCGCAGTCATCATGATACATTCACACTATCGCAGTCATCATTATACATTCCAAATATCGAAGTCATCATAATTTATTCACACTATCACAGTCATCATGATACATTCACACTATCGCAGTAATCATGATGCAGTCATCGTAATATATTCACACTATCGCAGTCATCATGATACATTCACACTATCGCAGTCATCGTAATATATTCACACTATCGCAGTCAGCATGATGCATTCACACTATCGCAGTCATCCTGGTACATTCACACTATCACAGTCATCGTAATATATTCACACTATCGCAGTCATCATGGTACATTCACACTATAACAGTCATCGTAATATATTCACACTATCGCAGTCATCATGGTACATTCACACTATCGCAGTCAGCATGATACATTCACACTATCGCAGTCATCGTAATATATTCACACTATCACAGTCATCGTAGTATATTCATATTATCACAGTCAGCATGATGCATTCACACTATCGCAGTCATCATGGTACATTCACACTATCGCAGTCAGCATGATACATTCACACTATCGCAGTCAGCATGATACATTCACACTATCGCAGTCATCGTAATATATTCACACTATCGCAGTCATCATGATACATTCACAATATCACAGTCATCGTAATATATTCACACTATTGCAGTCATCATGATACATTCACGCTATCAAATTCATCATGTTACATTCACACTATCGCAGTCATCATAATATATTCACACTATCGCAGTCATCATAATATATTCACACTATCGCAGTCATCAAGATACATTCACACTATCGCAGTCATCATAATACATTCCATATATCGCAGTCATCGTAATACATTTTCACTATCGAATTGATCATGATATATTCACTCTATTGCAGTCATCGTGGAACACTCAAAACATTGCAGTCATAATGATACGTTCCAAATATAATGTATAATAAAATATAAATATAGTAATATTTAAAATAAAAAAAAGCTTTAGTATAAAGGATCCAGTTTTAGTTTAATTTTCTAGGTTTTGGCTACCAGTATTAGGTGGTATCTGTGGTTGTATGCCTATCCTAATTAATTCAGGGGATAGCGGCACATAAGATGCTGTGTAGTAGCTGAGAGTGAGTGAAATTACACACTTGTTACAATGGATACAATACTGTACACCTTTGCAGATGTAGCTCACAAACATCTTTCACATATTTACATCAAGGCAGTGACCCACCACATAATACATTTCCAATATATAACAACCATATAATATAACATGTAACGTACCAACATTGATCAATTTCACCTGATAGGGGTATACCCAAATACCCCTACACCACCGAGGTTCTGAGCCACCAACAGACTCGAAACCTACCAAAACATGTACAAACAGTGTATTATTTTAACCAGTTAACTAACTCCCCTTACACCTCTCTTAACTAAGGCCCATTATCCTTAATGTTCCTACCCCACCCCGCCACTGTGACCAAGCCGGGGGAAAAGGCTACAAAGGGAGGGAGGGACCAACTCTGCTAGGTAAGAAATTAGAGTGAGGGATCACAAAATGGCTGACCATTTATATCAGCCAATCCCCAAGCACTGATCCACCAATCCCCTACTGTTCCCACCCCCTAGCCCACCTCCTAGCCCTGTCAGGGCCCTATTCCCTAAGCTGCGCTTTCTCCGTGGGCTTCATCACTGCCGCTGACTGCGACTACATCGGATCCACAATAACTCTTACCACCCATGTCTAATGTACTATCCTCCAGTAAAAGGTAAAAAAATATTACAACTCATCTCTGCGCACAATATTTATATATCCCTAAATACACAGCATTCACACAGTCTTCACCCCAAACGTTAGGCTCCTCCTCTGTTCTGTTTGTTTATTTTACTGTTTCTGTTATAGCTTGTTTACAAATCCGGAACCGAGCATATGCTCCATCACTACACAATCAGCAAGGATGAGCCGGTGTTCCTGCAGGCACGAATCAATGCGGCTAATCTGAGTCAGGTCAGGATGGATTGTTCTTTATTTACTATCCTATGATACCGTGCTAATCTGAGCTATTTCTCTGGTTATATATACAAAAATAACCAGATTCCACCAATGAGAAGGGATGTAGGGATAATATTATAAATTCCCGTATACACCAGATATTGTAGATATGCAAAAGATGCCTCTAAATCTTCATACAACACAACCAAAGAAATCTACAAAATAAACATAAAGAATAAGACATAGGGTGGTTCTGTATCACACACTGTATATGTGCAATACAGTATTGCATTCACTCAGAGACATATACAGCGTGTGATACACTACCACCCTGTGTCCTATTGTTTTTATGTTTTTTGCTATTTTTTTGGTTGTGTCACACAATTTGACCATGAATGGTAGCACGCAAGGCTGGGTGTTTCTCATGATGCGGAGAGATCATTTGCGCATGGCTTAGATAAATATTTCCTAACTGGGACTCGCATCGACGTTTCTGCTGACTATGTCCTCAATTTAATAGGATTTACAGATGATTCAACACGGTTAGATAAAGTTTCCAAATGACTTATCTACTGGAGTTGCCATTAAGACTATGGAAATTTCTGTAGATAAATCATTCAGAAAGTTTTTTCTAACATAACTGAATAATCTGGGCATTTTATTCAATTCAGGCCTTTATTTGAGAACCCGTTCACTGTGCCGGATAATTCACTATTGTTATTCATCAAACGGGAATTGAGGGGCATTGCATATTGCAGGGTAAACGCTGAATAGGAAAGGTTTTGGACTATAATTGTTGATTCCCTTGTTAAAACTCAATAATTCATGGTTTCGGAAGTAGACTTCAACAGGTCATGTTTGTCTAGAAATCTGGAACCAATATTTCTAGATCATGACAACAGAATTGCTTCAGTATTTCCCTTTATAGATATTTCCCCATACGGTATATCTATGGATCTGATAGAAATGGTTTCAGCAGTTAAATGACTCGCCATGATTGCCTCCAAAACCCACAGAGAATCATCTTAACCTGAAGGAGACATTTATTGAATAGAAACCATTATTACATGTGTCTCTGTTTACATTGTCCAGAAACTGTACAGGAGCAGCTGGGAGAACCAGAAAGAGAAGGGTTTTGAGCTGAGACTGGATGCTTTGAGTATACTGACCGCCAAAGCAAAGCGGGATCTAGCAAGTGATGTGAGTACGAAGCAACCTGTATCATGGCAGAAACACACTCAATTATTACAGCACGGGAACCAGCATGATCATGGGGGGCAGTAATGTTATGGGGGGGGAACCAACGCAATCATGGGGGGGCAGTAATGTTATGGGGGACACCTGAATTATGGGAAACCAGCGCGATCATGGGGGACAGTAATGTTATGGGGGGGGAACCAACGCAATCATGGGGAGCAGTAATGTTATGGGGACAGCGGAATTATGGGGAACAGTAGAATTATTTGGGGCAGCGGAATAATAATTGTAGAGTGGAATTATAGGTGGCAATGGGATTGTGGGGGACAGTAAAATTATGGGAGACATTGGAATTATTGGGGAATACTAGAATTATGGAGGATAGCGGAATTATGGGGACAATGAAATTATAAGGGATATCAGAATTATATGGGGACAGTGGAATTATTTGGGGACAGGATAATTATATCTCAGACACGTGATCATATCTGTGTTTTTAATGCTTTCTGCAGATCAAATACAAGGAAAGTTACGAAAAAACAAAGGGTCAACTTATTGGGGTCCAGGATGTTCAAGGGGATTCCCAAATCTCCCATTCACTCCAAATGAGCAAGATGCAGAGTGATTTGCAGTACAAGAAGGGGTGTGAGCTTTCCATGAAACAATATCGTGTCTCCATGGACTCCCTGGACATGTTGCATGCTACCAAAGCGCAGGGACTGGCAACTGAACAGGGATACAGGACCTTCCTTCATCGCTACAATGCCTTGCCCACCGACATGAAGCTGCAATGGGCCAAGAAGGCGTATAATCTGCAGAGTGATGTGAGTGGTAACCTAATAGATTCGAAGGATGAATGGGAGACAGCTCCAGCAGTTGAGGATTGAATATGGCTTACTAACAATCCATGTGATTCAATTTAGGGGTTTACACCCTATTTACTAACCCCTTAAGAGTCTCAAAATAGCTGTGAAACAAACCCCCAGCTCAGGTGGTTTATTTTTCCCAAATTATCTGTTTTGCCCTAAATGTTCACAGTTAACGCTGCATTTTCCACATCTCACTGGAAACGGTGGGTTTGTCAGGATTCGCTGAGAGGTTTCAGCCGCTTCCTTGTCTACAATGAGCTCACTGCAGAAGCTGCAAATCTAGAGGATGTTACTTCAACTATAAAAGGCATAACCAAGAGGAGTCCTACTACAGTATATTTCTAACACCAGTAACTAAAGATTCTTTAAAGGGTCACTTCATCTCATTGAAGTGGTGATGGTACTCTCCCCTGGTTTAGTATAAAAACAATTTTGACACTGAATGAGGCTCAACCCATCACATCATTAGTCATACCAAGTCACGTCAATGGCAGTGACAGTCTCTGCCACCCACTGCTGGTCTACCTAATGTGGAATCATTAGTCTGAGCAGTAGGGAAAGGTGGGGCTACAGGGGCCCGGGACCCCCATTTACTGTTAAACTAGTTTAACACCAAATAATGGGATGGCACCAGGGGACTCCAGGTGCCATAACCACTTCAATGTGATGAAGTGGTTATGTTTTTTTAACATGGAGAATACAAGTATCTCTGCTTGACCATTTTCTGCTTAACGTGAATCTTCTCCTATTGCAGAATCTGTACAAATCTGACCTGAAGTGGATGAAGGGTGTTGGCTGGATAACGACAGGCTCATTAGATGTACTGCAGGCCAAGAAAGCTGGAGAGCTCATCAGCGAGGTGAGATCATCAGGGCTCTTAGCAACTGATACAAAGTATCTGCTGCAATAAAATCGCTTTACATACATTAAACGTTCACACAGCTGGTGACTCTGAAACCATAAGTACTTCAGTTGGATGATGCCTTCAATGTAAAACTAGATCTTTATGTATGGTAGTTAATATTTGTATAAATAAAACAAGACCACGCAATAACCACAGAGAACATTTAATTACTTTTCAATGGGCTTGGTCGTGGTGTTTATTCAAAGCTCAAGGGGTATACAACCATAACTTTGTAACCATAACCATATAATATATGGTTCACCAACTTTCAAAACTTTAACTTTATTAACCACCAAATAGCCAGTCAGTCATAACCAACCTGACTGCCTTTTATTTAAAACCACCATATCGTTCAAAACATCTAAAGAAACCTCCTTACAACCCACCTAATGGAACCTCCTTATAACCCATCTAAAGAAACCTCCTTATAGCTCATCTAAAGTAACCTACTTATAGCCTATCTAAAGGAACCTCCTTATAGCCCATCTAAAGAAACCTCATTTTAGCCCATCTAAAGAACCTCCTTATAGCCCATCTAAAGAAGCCTCCTTGTAGCCCATCTAAAGAAACCTCCTTATAGCCCATCTAAAGAAACCTCCTTATAGCCCATCTAAAGGAACCTCCTTATAACTCATCTAAAGAAACCTAATTTTAGCCCATCTAAAGAACCTCCTTATAACCCATCTAAAGAAGCCTCCTTGTAGCCCATCTAAAGAAACCTCCTTATATCCCATCTAAAGAAACCTCCTTATAACCCATCTAAAGAAACCTCCTTATAACCGATCTAAAGAAACCTCCTTATAACCCATCTAAAGAAGCCTCCTTGTAGCCCATCTAAAGAAACCTCCTTATAGCCCATCTAAAGGAACCTCCTTATAACCCATCTAAAGAAGCCTCCTTATATCCCATCTAAAGAAACCTCCTTATAACCCATCTAAAGAAACCTCCTTATAACCCATCTAAAGAAACCTCCTTATAACCCATCTAAAGAAACCTCCTTATAGCCCATCTAAAGAAACCTCCTTATAGCCCATCTAAAGAACCTCCTTATAAGCCATCTAAAGAAACCTCCTTATAGCCCATCTAAAGGAACCTCCTTATAACCCATCTAAAGAAACCTCCTTATAGCCCATCTAAAGGAACCTCCTTATAGCCCATCTAAAGAAACATCCTTATAACCCATCTAAAGGAACCTCCTTATAACCCATCTAAAGAAACCTCCTTATAGCCCATCTAAAGAAACCTCCTTATAGCCCATCTAAAGAACCTCCTTATAAGCCATCTAAAGAAACCTCCTTATAGCCCATCTAAAGGAACCTCCTTATAACCCATCTAATGGAACCTTCTTATAGCACATCTAAAGAAACCTCCTTATAACCCATCTAAAGAAACATCCTTATAGCCCATCTAAAGAAACATCCTTATAGCCCATCTAAAGGAACCTCCTTATAACCCATCTAAAGAAATCTCCTTATAGCCCATCTAAAGAAACATCCTTATAAGCCATCTAAAGGGACCTCCTTATAACCCATCTAAAGAAACCTCCTTATAGCCCATCTAAAGGAACCTTCTTATAGCCCATCTAAAGAAACCTCCTTATAGTCCATCTAAAGAAACCTCCTTATAGCCCATCTAAAGGAACCTCCTTATAGCCCATCTAAAGAAACCTCCTTATAGCCCATCTAAAGAAACCTCCTTATAGTCCATCTAAAGAAACCTCCTTATAGTCCATCTAAAGAAACCTCTTTATAGCCCATCTAAAGAAACCTCCTTATAACCCATCTAAAGAAACCTCCTTATAGCCCATCTAAAGAAACCTCCTTATAGCCCAGCTAAAGGAACCTCCTTATAACCCATCTAAAGAAACCTCCTTATAGCCCATCTAAAGAAACCTCCTTATAGCCCATCTAAAGGAACCTCCTTATAGCCCATCTAAAGAAACCTCCTTATAACCCATCTAAAGAAACCTCCTTATAACCCATCTAAAGAAACCTCCTTATAGCCCATCTAAAGAAACCTCCTTATAACCCATCTAAAGAAACCTCCTTATAGCCCATCTCTAAGAAACCTCCTTATAGCCCATCTACCTCCTTATAGCCCATCTAAAGGAACCTCCTTATAGCCCATCTAAAGAAACCTCCTTATAGCCCATCTAAAGAAACCTCCTTATAGTCCATCTAAAGAAACCTCCTTATAGCCCATCTAAATAAACCTCCTTATAGCCCATCTAAAGGAACCTCCTTATAGCCCATCTAAAGGAACCTTCTTATAACACATCTAAACAGACACTCCACTGCTGTCTGCTCTTCACACATAAAGCTTTTCAGCAATCTAAAGTTGCTTAGGGGTCTGGAGTGACCCTTTAACATGAAATCTTCTGAAGCCATGAAGTTTCCTAGCGTCTGTCCGCACCGTTCCTGCTTCGGTCCACTCTGACAGGATTACACTTGTGCTGCTTCTTTTATACTGTTCCAGTTTCCCGCTCTTTTTCTGCTTGCAACTTTCAACCAATCCCATGCCAGCTGCAGCCCACAGAAACAGCTGTGTCATCAATTCTGCCCAGATACCGGCCTGACTGACCAATTGCCACAAGAGTTAAAATTCCTCACATTCAAATCCCAGACAAATCAGATTAACTCCTTCATTGCCACCGTACATATATAAACAGAATAACTCCTTCATTGACACTATACATATATATCACAGTGCTTAGTGCTTGTGGCTTCTTAAACCATTGGAGACAAATATTAACCACAAACAGGCTCAATCACTAAAAACTAAATTTAGAAAATTAAATCAAATTGGTGAGTTTGAGAGTAAACTAGCTAAACTGTGATTAAAGCCGCGTTGGAGAATGTTTCCAAATCTGCTGTTTTAGTCTCAGTTTTGTCACTCAGATGTAAATTAAAACAATTCAGTGTTTAGTAAATTGCCCTGTGTGTGTTCCGCTGCTGGACAATAAGGTTAGAAAACATTTTCAGCGATCCAGTCCTAGCGCTGCCCATATCATCAGCCACAGGTCAAGAGGGAACGCAAAGTGCCACCGCACATATCGACGTGGCCTCATATCTCAAACTGGAAAGTCCTTGTCACTAACATGGAAATAATTGAACCTCAATAAAATAGAAGCAGAATGAATAGACCCAACTGCACCTTTCTAATGTGTTCAGTTTGGAAACAGAGGGGCTTATTCACTAAAATGGAAACTGCAGAGAAATGACAAAGCCATACAAATTTGAGTCCTAGCTTTAAAAGAGTTTAAAAAAAATAATAAAATCTGATATTTTTGTTTGTCTGAAGTTTGGGTTTGTCGTTGAGATGCTCTTGTCAATGTAAAGCTGGTGTTTCTCTATTCTTCCTACTGCATTGAAATCTGTAAAAAAAAATTAAAAAAAATAACTGAAATGAGCAAAATTGGTTAACTTTACTTTTTCTCTTTTTTTGAATTGAACAGAAGTCATATCGACAATCGCCATCTGCGTTTAAATTTACCAGTATTCAAGATACGCCAGAGATTACGCAGGCCAGGATTAGTTACAACCAGTCTGTGGATGTAAGACGGGGTTCATTATATTTTACCGCATGCAAACACGCTTTCACATCACGTTAACATGTTTAGGATTAGTGGCAGCGTTTGCTCTTTGTATAATAATTATCTGAGCTGCCTTTATAGCAGACACACTGTATCACAATGGTATTCATTATTATCCAAGCTTGACAAAGACCCGGTTGGGTCAAAACGTTTCTGTGTGTTTGCCCCAATAAAACTGCTCTTATGCTTTCTACTTGAGTGCAAATTATCACTTTATTTTACATAATTAATGTGGGTTCTGGCCTGCCCCTGATGCCGTGCTCCGTAGTAGCCTGGTGAGTGCGGTCTCCATCTACTTACCAAGTAATTGCAGTGGGCAGATTTGGTAACAATACATACATTTATCTGTAGTGTAAACATTTTTTCAGATGTCAGATTTGATCCAGATTGGGTTTGTGAGAATCAAAATATCTGTTTCTTCTAGAGTAAATACAAAGAACATGGGGAGAATATAAAGCACCATTATACCTCCATCGCGGAGCTCCCTGAACTACTGCAAGCAAAACTAAATGCCTTAAACATTAGTGAGGTAAGTCCATCAATACAAATTGTTACAAATAAAACATAGTACATTCTGTCTGTCTAATCTACATCTGTGTGTGTGTGTGTGTGTGCCTGTAGCAGTCTGTCTGGCTAATCTACATCTGTATGTGTGTCTGTCTGTCTAGCTGTGTGTCTTTCTACATCTGTGTGTGTGTGTCTGTCTGTTTAGCTGTCTGTCTAATCTACATCAGTGTGTGTGTGTGTGTGTGTGTCTGTCTGTCTAGCTGTGTGTCTTTCTACATCTGTCTTTTTGTCTGTCTGTTTAGCTGTCTGTCTAATCTACATCTGTCTTTTTGTCTGTCTGTAGCAGTATGTTTGTCTAATCTACATATGTCTGTGTGTCTTTGTAAAATATATTATTTACTCTTTCTGTACAGACGCGTTACAAGGAATCGTGGAGCAAGTTTAAAGATGGCGGCTACAAGCTGAAACTCGATGCCATCCCCTTCCAGGCTGCTAAAGCCTCTAATGAGATAATTAGTGATGTGAGTTCCAATTCTCCATATATTGATGTACATGGGCAGGGATTGTGGACTAAACTTTGTACAGAAAGGAATTCCTAGGACAGTCAATGTTTTGTCTAAAATATATTGCATCAGCATAAAGACTTAATATATGTGACAGTTTATATATATTTTTTGTATATTATTATTATTTTATTATTTATATAGCACCATCAAATTCCATAGCGCTGTACAATGGGATCCTGTTATCTCAGAAACTGATATACAGAGATACAGGAAACCTGTAATAAAGGAACAGAAACGTGCATCGTATCACCCTGTTTAGGTGATTACACACAAAGTTCAGTAATGAATTGCACTCACAAAGGAATAATTAATATAGAATAATTAATATAGAATAATTAATATAGACGATGAAACTATCTCCAGGCTATCTGGATTAAATGTTATCTAAGTGGCAGCCAGCAATAATCAGGATGTTCTACACAATTCTGGATAAAATAAAGGAAGATGATGCAATGTTTAATAGTTATCCATTTATTGCACATAACTGAATCAGATAGATTCACAGAATATCATGTAAAACCTCCCCAGATCCAATATTTTCACCCTATGCATTTTGCTTGAGGGGATTTCTCCCGTGTAACGAAAATCACGATAAAGTACAAGTAAGCAAATAAAATTAAACCTGGACATACCAATATAACAATCTACACAGCCCACCATCTTGAAATCTCCCTCTTCTCCGTCTGATTGGCGGACACATCTGTCCTACCACCGATTGGAAATCCTTTCTGGTTGTGTCATGCCACATGATAATGTTTATCCGTTGCCTCACCAAGAAAGCCCAGATGTGCATCTCCGGAAAAGAATCTCAGAATCTTGGAGCATCTTGTGTTCCTCAGAGGAGGGCCAATTCCAGTTGCTCACCTGTGCACAAGCATGGGATTGCTGATATTGTCTTATAATCACAACTTGATTGTGCTGTGTGAAAATATCTTCAAACGTTTTATCCCACTTAGTCTAGTCTGTGTAATCACTTAATACATTCTAGCATGATTCCTTTACCAGGTTTAACTTAGTATCTGGTGACTTGTCCTGATACACTGCTGGCTCTGCATTCTCTGCTCAGTCCTTTAAATTGTGTTTTTTTTCCAGCACAAATATAAAGAGGAGTTTGAGAAAACGAAAGGAAGGATGATTGGTTTACGTTGCCTGGAGGACGACATCAGCATCTCGCATTCTGTTCATTCAGCCTCCCTCTCCAGTGATGTAAGTTTCCAAACTGTATCAGGATTAAGAGAAAACACTAGACAAGGGGCCGGCAACATTTAGCACTCCAGGTGTTGTGGACTACATCTCCTATAATGCTCCTACAGTCATATTGTTGGCAAGGCATCAGGGGGGATGTAGTCCACAACATCTGGAGTGCCGAAGTTAGACAATACTCTTCTAACTCAGAATATTTGTGAATTCTGTGTCAGCGTGTTTGTGTTCTGCACTACTATGTCCACCTGGCAACATTTCATTTATGTAATAAAATATCTCGAATTTGATGTAAAAATATCCCAGCAGGATGCAGTGAGGATATGAGGGAAATTGAGTAAGGTGATAGACATAACAGAGTGTCACCGGATGTATATCACTACAGGTTAATATAGCGTTTATGGTGCAAGGAAGCTATGGGTCAAGTCCACCTGGCTATTTGTCAGATAATTTAATAATGGTATCACAAAACCACATGATTTCCTGGCACAGTAAGCAAATCCGGCTGGAAACAAGTCAGTTAAGAAAATCTTAACACTGATTGTGCGGCCAGTTCCTCCTGTACCTGTTAGAGGAGCTCACAGCCTCTCCTCGCATCGCATTGCATCGCACATGGGTACTCATTCCAGTTCCTCCCATACCTGTTACAGGAACTCACAGCCTCACCTCGCATCGCACATGGGTACTCATTCCAGTTCCTCCCATACCTGTTACAGGAACTCACAGCCTCACCTCGCATCGCACATTACTCATTCCAGTTCCTCCTGTACCTATTAGAGGAGCTCACAGCCTCTCCTCGTAACGAGTATGGGTACTCATTCCAGTTCCTCCTGTACCTGCTACAGGAACTTACAGCCTTGCATCATGCATGGGTACTTATTTTAGCTCCTCCTCTACCTACAAGAGGAGCTCACAGGCTTGCTCCTTCCAGATGTTGGATAGAATTTCCTTATTACTTTGATCTCTAGCTGTACTGGTTGGCTTTGTATACTGGCAATTTTTTTAAAACCGGTTGAGATGGAAGGGCAGCTCTTATAGCCTCCCAGTATCATAATCCGTATAGTACATTGCAGTGGTTATGGTGTGTGGAGTGTGTCTTTAATATTTTCTGTTAATCCTGAATATTTTTTCATTATATGAGATTAAAGTGCTCAGAGCTTTCTAATGGTTTCTAACTAAGAGATTTACTTCTATCCCCAAACAGGTACATTACAAGAAAGGGTTTGAAAAGATTAAAACTCAATTCAAATTACCAATGGATATGGTAAACCTGGTGCATGCTAAGAAAGCCCAGTCGCTGGTTAGTGACCAGAATTACAGACACCTTCTCCATCATTACACTTTCCTCTCAGACGACCTCAGAATGCTGTCTGCCAAGAAAGCCTACGAACTGCAGAGCGAGGTAACAAGTGGTAAAATATTACAAACACGTTAAAAGAAACTCAACCCAACTCAACAAGCACATCCCAACCCCCGTTGTAAAATTATTGGTATGACCCTGTCTCTAGGGACCTCAAAGAAGCTCAGAGGAGGGTCAATATTGTGAAAAAGGAAGTATGATAAATAGATTTTATTGACAAGTCTTTCGCACCTTGGTCCAATAGTTTTTATCGGTCGTTGTAGTTCTAATCTAAAAGCTTCTTGTTTGGAGATTCTTTTTCTTATGCGTTTGATACAATTTGAAAACAAACCAGAAGAATCCTTCACAAGTCAATCAAATCCTTCATAGCAGTGAAAGGGTTAAATGTTGAAAGTATCAAGCTCTACGAAAAGGCCGAACCCATTCTTCTACAATAAGTAACCTTCCCTGTAAGTGAAATAGGTACCTGGTGGTTCTGTTTACTGACACTTTCTCTTATTATCCCATAATATTCGCTCTAGAACCTGTACAGGTCCGATCTGAACTTTATGAGAGGCGTCGGCTGCATTGTCCCGGGTTCACTGGACATTGAAGAAAGGAAGAAAGCCTCAGATCTTGCTAGTGAGGTAATAAAACAATGGTTAATATTATTATTTTATTGATAATATACCTTGCAGCATGGCACTATCAACTGTTACAGCTGCAGATCTCAGATTCAGAAATAAAACACAGGCTCATACTGGACCATCCAGGCTCCACTAATATTGGCACCCTGGAGAAACATGAGAAAAGAAGGCTGTGAAAATGTGTTTACTGTTTAACCTTTTGATATGTTGTTACAAAAAATGCTTAAACATACTCTGCTCCCATTGACATCAAAAAGTTGCAAACATCCCAGGTTTATCGAAGAAAATATTTGTTAAATATATGTGTGGAACAATTATTGGCAAATTTTTAGTCAATACTTTGTGATACCTCCTAATGCCAAGATAGTAGCTTCTCCTATAAAGCCTAAAAAACGGTCGATAACGACTGCGGACGTACCTGGTACATCATTTACTAAATCACCACTTACCTGATTGCTGGAGATCCCCCGCCAGTGATCGGGATCCTGGGGTCTGCCTGGGAGCTCTAAACGCTGCCGGGCGTAATAGTAATAGTTCGCCCTCCGTTTTTTTTTTTACTTACCCGGTCACCGGCGATCCCACGCCGGCGATTGCGGTTGGGGGGACTCCCAGGGAGCCCCCCCGCGGCACATCTGACCTCCTGCAGCCCCCCCACGGCCATGTGAGAGTGAGGTCCTTATAAAATTACAAATAAATAATTAAAAAATATATAAATGTGTGTTATTTCGTTCTAATTGTATTGTGATATTAATATATATATTTATATCAAAATACACGTAGAACGAAATAATATATATATCTATATACATAAATATATACGTATATATCACTATATATATATATATATATATATATATACCTATATATAAATTAAAATATTTAAATTTTTATATATATATATATATATATATATATATATATATATATATATATATATATATATATATATATATATATATATATATATATATATATATATATATATATATATATATATATATATATATATACACATATATTAATTCTACATATATATTTATGTAATATTTTTACATAATTAGGAATCTTAATTAATTACAATAACCGGGACCTGCCTGAAAACCCATGCCGAAAGTAAAGGGAATTTAATTTGCTAGCACTATATTTAACCCTATAACTTTCCAAGACACCATAAAACTTGTACATGGGGGGTACTGTTCTACTCGGGAGACTTCGCTGAACACAAATATTAGTGTTTCAAAACAGTAAAATGTATTACAACGATGATATTTTCACGCACAAACAGCACTTACACGGACGATATTATTGCTGCGATACTTTTTACTGTTTTGAAACACTAATCACTGTACTCAGGAGATGTTACTGAACACATATTGGGGTGTGTTTTGGCAGTAACTCTTATAGTTTTCAGTACATTATTTTATTTTTTTTACATTTGGCATATAGTTGTGGTAAAATGGTTGCATGAAAAGAGTCAAAGTACCGCACATTTATTACCTTAGGTTGTCTTCTTTTTAAAAAAAATATATATACATGTGAAGGGTTATTCAGGGATTCCTGACAGATATCAGTGTTACAATGTAACTTTCATTTTGAAAAAAAAAAGGCTTGGAAATAGCAAAGTGCTACTTGTAATTATTGCCCTATAACTTTCCAAAAAAGCTAAGAACATGTTAACATTGGGTATTTCTAAACTTAGGACAAAATGTAGAAACTATTTAGCATGTTTTTTTTTGGCGGTTGTAGATGTAGATTTTGGAGCTCAAAGTTAGAAAAAGTGTGTATTTTAAAAATATTTTTATAGTAAATTATATGATATGATGAAAATAATGGTATCTTTAGAAAGACAATTTAATGGCGAGATAAACGGTATATAATAAATGACAGCCCTGGTCCTTAACAGTAAGAAACTTGAAAAATGGTCTGATCACTAAGGGGTTAAACAAGAAAGAGTTGTATTTACAGCCAGGCCCGGACTGGCCATCGGGAAAACCGGGCAGATGCCCGGTTGGCCGCGATGGCCACGGGCCGAGGCCGGGGAGATCCAGCTGGTCTATGCAGGGCCGGCGCTATCCGATGGGGCGTGCTTGTCAATGGGGATAACAAAACACACCCTATCTGGCCCCGCCCCCTTTTCAGGTGGCCGCTGTGAATAAAAAATGCCCGGGCCAATTTTTTCCCCCAGTCCGGCCCTGTTTACAGCGTTATTTGCTCACATTTTCTAAGGGTGCCAATATTAGTGGAGTGCATTGTACCTAGTTGAGGTTGTCATGTACTGCGATTAGATTTCACATAGATAAAGAATGCAAAACTTTAGAATCATGAGAATCAATTTGGGTCATTTTTTAAATGATTTAATATAACTTTTCAAAGGATTTAATATTTTTTTTAAAAAGGTCTTAATATTTTCACAATTTTAACAGTTTATCCAGAAATATGAATTCATTTGAAAAGTGTATCCAAAAATTATAAATCAAGGTCATTGTTTGAGTAATGGATTTATTAATTGTCCATCATTATCATTATCCAGACTAGATTTTTTTTGTGGATAAAGCTTTGCTTACTACAGTGATTGTTTGAATAACAAAAACAGACTTCCTGCTGACAGTTTCTGTTTATTGTGGATCTCTGAATATTTGATATTCTTACAATCCCATCTTTTTCTTGGTGATAATTTGTAACATGTCCTCGAGGCTCTACCAATGTGATCAAGGGATTGTTTATATTTTGGTTATTGTCACAAATAACTCTGAACTGGCAATGTCCATTTTTACTCCTCTTACAAACCTTTCTGGACATATTTTATAAACATAACAAAAAAAGTGTTTGTTTTTGTTTTCTCACAATATATTAAATAGGAGGAGAATGATACTAATTATTAAATTTTTCACTTTTTTGCAGAAAATGTCCTTAGTAACCAACTGTAACTAATCAGATCGGTAGTATAAAACCTTCTCTTGACTTCTGTGAATTTTAAGTGATTTTAATATTTTAGACCAAAAAGGCCGAACTGATGACCAAAAATGACTTTATCCATTACAGCTTTTTTTGTCTGAAATGTTGCATTTATTGCGAATTTACTTTAAATTCTTGATAATTCACACTGGTGGCAAATCCTGTTAATTATATTCAGTAACATATTTATCAATGTTTCTAGTCCATCTTCCAGTGAAATCTAATGGTGTGATGATAATAATTTCAACATAATGGCAAATGGTGTCACGAGGGAGGTTGACGGTTTGCATTTGTTCATGTATTGAGAAAAGCATATGTTGTGCAGGTAACAGACAATATGTATTTTTATTGTGTTTAAATCCTTTTATTATAGCACAAATACCGACAGCAGCCACATACGTTCAAGCACACGACTGTTACAGATTCCCTGGACCTTCTCCATGCAAAATTCAGTAACAAGATAACCAACGAGGTGAGATATTTGTGGGACTGTGTGACAAGTCGTGGCCAAACTGGGCTTCTCCACATGACGTGTGGAGTGTTGGTTAATGACCATTCATTTTCAAATGAATTGAGATTTGTCTGAAATCCCGAACTCCAAAACACTATATGGACGAATCATGAAACAAACGAAGCAGGACGAAGGATGAAGCTGTTTAAATTGGTTAATGATTCAGACTTTGGTCCGTGGTGCCAAATAAAATACCATGGACTGTGAGAAGGGGCTGCTGGTTGCTTTAGACTGATGTTTGCCACTGCTGGGATTTCATTGGCCATATATGGTGGACGAGGACAATGACAACTATAGACCAGTAATGGTTAGTCCTGCCATCTTTATGAAAGAGGTTGCTGTTGGCAAACATCAGACATTTTCCCAATTTTTAAAAGTTTCTCTAGTCTGGAAGGAACGTGAACTAGGTTTTGACAAATTGTTGTCTGAGGTTTATGCAAGTTACTGTATAGTTTAGTAAAAGTTCCATACATTTCTAGAATTCTATGGTATTCCTAACCTCAAAACAGTTACCAGTAACTCAACATTTAATTGTCTTTTTGACTAGCGTTTGTACAAAGCTGCGGCAGAAGAGTCCCTTCACCATTACACCACTATTCTTGGACTGCCGGAACATATCAGAGCCAAATTAAATGCAGTGAACTTCAGTGATGTGAGTGTCCCATATATGTCTACACGTAGCAATCGCAATAATGCTTAATTATTTACATGATTTTTTACATGATTTTTGCAGATTAAATATAGGGAGTCTTGGCTGAACGCACGTGCTCAGGGTCACAAGCTGACTATGGAAGCCATGCAATTTCAAGCCGCTAAGTCTTCTGGGAACATTGCCAGCGATGTGAGTATTATATGGGTAAAAACAAATTCTCTAAGTCCGTTATTCATCGAGTATAATTTAATTGTCCTTGAATTTGAATTCTCACTTTGGTGAATATCCCTGCAAACAATTGTCTACATTGAACAAGATTGCTGAAATTCCTGCAGGAATTGCTATTTACCATTTACTCCCGAGTGCTCTGGGTACTGGATAAGAGCTGTGTCTGTTTGCTGTGTGTCCCACCTATTATGGTGGCCCAAACCACCCTTGTATCGGCCCACGCTACTGATTGTTTGGTTATCCTAGGTCGACACAGTGCAGTATAAATACATCTTTATAGAGAGCATATGTTGTGTAAATATAAACACCTGACATGTTCCACCACAAGCATGTACCTCACTCCTCGACTCTTCGTTGTGTATTAATTTGTGGATAAATGTAGAATAATATGGATTATGGTTGAGTTGTGTCGGCCACGTGTTTGTGTGACCGTTTCTTTTTTTATATCCAGTGCAAATACAAACACAACTATCTATCGGAGAAAGGGAAGCACATTGGGGCCAGGAGTATTTTAGATGACCCGAAGATGCTGCACTGTCTGCGCATGGCCAAGTTACAGAGTGAGCAGCAGTACAGAAAGGAATCCCACCACCTTCACTCTCATTATCACCTGCCGATGGACATGGTCAATCTAGTCCATGCTAAGAGGGCCCAAGCGCTAGCCAGCGACCAAGACTACAAAATAAAGCTGCACGAGTACACTGCGGAGCCCGAGGATGTGAAACTGCTGTGCGCCAAGAGAGCTCATCTGCTGCAGAGTGAGGTGGGTGAATGATGATGAATGGGGTTATATTTAAAGAACACTGCGCCAAAGTTCCACACATGCAACAAATAGTGCATTGGTTTCCATGGTGACTGCTTCACTTTTCAGCCCTTAATCCAGAAGCGCTCTTCTCCACTGGAAATGGAAGTGCTACCAGGAACACGCAGATTTGATTATAATGAGATCCCCATGTGGTATAAATTCATACTTTACAGAAAAGTGAAAAATCCTATTTTAGAGGTAAAATATGGAGATTGAGGTATATATCAGGATCATGCTGACATCAATTAGTAGAATCTCTGCAATAAAACCTGACGCAGATAATGTTTATAAAAATCCAAAAAGCCCTGGTTTAATTTGTCCCACAGCATTCACTCACACTGCACTTATTGGGGAACCTCACTTTTATTGGGGAACCTCACTTCTAGGGGCACCAGAGAGCAAACCCAATCACAAGGTGGGGTGGTGGACTGAGCGTATAGCAATATTAGCAAATCATCCGATAGGGACCATGAGTGGTTCTGGGTTTCAATATTCCCGTTCAATCTAATCTAAATCTTATTATTCTCTGTACTAGTAACTAATTCACTTTTATAAAGAGTATTATTGGTTGGTAATTGCTAAAAGCAGCTGTAACGTTACAATCCCGCCTGTTGTATATTGTTACCGTCGGATGTTACTATTATTGAAGGAAATGAGGTCACATGACAGTTTGTATGTTCCTTTACGTGAAATAAAGACAGAACGATCAGAATTCTTATTATTAATTAAGAACCTTCAAAATAATAAAACAAAAAGAATTCTTGATGCCCGGCAGAAACAAGGCCGTCTTGTACTGTGATTCATGTTAATTCACCAGAGGAGCTGCTCTCATATCAGACACGATGCATTATTCACCGTCGTGTACTGCCAACAAATGCAAACACTTCCACTTGACAGCTTGATGTGCATAGAAAATGAATAAGATTGAATTCAATTATTAATTCAGATCAAAGAGACTCTTTATAGCTCTAATCATCTTAGATTGAAATCTATAATGCAGAAAGTGCATATCACACGCTTTAAATATGGTTGAAAACTGTAGCGTGTGGCGTGTTTTTCATTGTACTGAGAGCCTGACCCTTACATCCACTGAGGGCGGCTTCAATAAAGATAAATTAGGAAAGGGAAACGAACAAAAACAGAAATTAACTTAGAACTTGTATTTACTTCCTTTTTACCTCGTTTTTATGTTTTCATCATATTTAAATGGATCTGTCTGCCTGTTTAATAATATATCTAATGTCTCGAATCTTTGTAACCTATCTAGTCTGTCTGTCTCTATGTCTGACTATATGTCTGTCTATCAATCTATTAATGTATTCATCTAAATATCCATCTAATCTCTCAAATCTTTGCAATCTATCTAGTCTGTCTGTCTGACTGTCTATACGTCTATCGATCTATTAATGTATTCACCTTACCTTCCATCTAATGTCTTTGCAAATAAATCTATCACACAGACAGCTGCTTAAACCTCCATTCAAGTTAGGAAAAGTCTGACCCTGACATGCAGGATACTTAGAACAGTCGCCTATTACCAGACATTAGAGGCGGTTGCTGGACGCCATACCTAGATTCAGGTAAAGAGTAAACCAGAATGAGCCAAGGTCTTAGGGATCCATAAAAATTATAGAACAAGCTCAAGGGATAAGGGAAAACGAGTACTAGCAGGGTCACAATACCAAAAGACAAAAAGTACACGATGACTCGCTCTGAGGTACACAAAGGTAACCACCACAAGACCACAATCTGTGGTGAGAGTTAAAAAGACCTCATCAGCCAGTGTCTTTCCTGCAAAAATGAAATGAGCAGGTATGGAGTCACTTGGATGAAGCACATGTCCAACATCAGTCATGATGCCACAAAGCAGGGGACACAAAGCAGGGACATCAGGAGATATCATGAGAATCAACAGTCAGTGTCTGCATTTTTCCAAAGTTACCTAAATTAGCGGATTTCTGAGGAAAACTGTACTATTACACTGCATCACAATGAACACCGTAGTATTCATCTGTAACCCCTAGGAGGCAGACTAATAGTTCTCAAGGCAGAGCGATGGTCTAGCGTTTTGCCACTAACTACATTGGCGCAGAACTGAGAAATATCTATATCCTGACCTGTTGATATACCTTGAGGACGAGCTAAGGATCCCTGTGGTCTAACACACACACACAGGGTCATTCCATAAAATATGAAATGTCAGGATTGAAAGTGAATTTCAAATTTTAGGTCAAAGTATGTAAACTGAAGACGTGCCTGAAAGTTCAATTGCTACTTCAACTAACAACTCTTACACGTATACAACGTGTGTGTGTATGATGGTGTATGTATACGTTTATAAATGTATATACTGTTTTGGACTACAATGAGATGTATTTTTTATCCATTCATGTTCCCAGTAAATATGTCACTGAAGGTTGTTTTGCTGTCATTTGAAGATGAATATTCATCCCCCTTCGCGTTTCATTTTCTCTAGAGTATAGAGCAGATTCTAGGCTCTCTATTATTAAACAATACTGATTGTCTTACCTGTAAGAACAGATTTATCACTTGTTTGATGGATTCTCCACAGGGAGCTGTAAAAATACAAAGCTGTGATTAATTATCAATAAAGATTTTTTTCTCTTTCACAGTCACGGTACAAATCGGACTTAAACTTCATGAGGGGAGTGGGCTGGCAGGCAGCTGGATCCCCTCACATCGAAAGCGTGAAGAAGGCTGGCGAGCTTATTAGCGAGGTATTTCTGTAGAGGATATAAACGTGTGGCATATCGTCATTGTGTCACTTGATGTGAACTCTGACCCCAAGCAGCAGTTTAAAGTCAAACTAATATTAAAAATACATGTAGATTTATTGTAGCAGGTGTTGGGGAGCCATTCGGTTTAAGAGATGGTGAGGTTTATTTATGGTGTTGGGGGCCATTCGGTTTAGGAGATCGTGAGGTTTATTTATGGTGTTAGGAAGCCATTCGGTTTAAGAAATGATGAGGTTTATTTATGGTGTTGGGGAACCATTTGGTTTAGGAGGTGGTAAGGTTTATTTATGGTGTTGGAGAGCCTTTTGGTTTAGGAGGTGGTAAGGTTTATTTATGGTGTTGGAGAGCCATTCGGTTTAGGAGATGGTGAGGTTTATTTATGGTGTTGGAGAGCCATTCGGTTTAGGAGATGGTGAGGTTTATTTATGGTGTTGGGGGCCATTCGGTTTAGGAGATGGATGAGATTTATTTATGGGGTTAGGGAGCCATTTGGTTTAGGAGGTGGTGAGGTTTATTAATGGTGTTGGAAAGCCATTTGGTTTAGGAGATGGTGAGGTTTATTTATGGTGTTGGGGGGCCATTCGGTTTATGAGATGGTGAGGTTTATTTATGGTGTTGGGGGGCCATTCGGTTTAGGAGATGGTGAGGTTTATTTATGGTGTTGGGAAGCCATTTGTTTTAGGAGATGGTAAGGTTTATTTATGGTGTTGGGGAACCATTTGGTTTAGGGGGTGGTAAGGTTTATTTATGGTGTTGGGGGGCAATTCGGTTTAGGAAATGGTGAGGTTTATTTATGATGTTGGGAAGCTATTTGGTTTAGGAGATGGTGAGGTTTATTTATGATGTTGGGAAGCTATTTGGTTTAGGAGATGGTGAGGTTTATTTATGGTGTTCGGAAGCCATTTGGTTTAGGAGATGGTGAGGTTTATTTATGGTGTTGGGAAGCTATTTGGTTTAGGAGATGGTGAGGTTTATTTATGGTGTTGGGGAGCCATTTGGTTTTGGAGATGGTGAGGTTTATTTATGGTGTTGGGAAGCTATTTGGTTTAGGAGATGGTGAGGTTTATTTATGGTGTTCGGAAGCCATTTGGTTTAAGAGATGGTGAGGTTTATTTATGGTGTTCGGAAGCCATTTGGTTTAAGAGATGGTGAGGTTTATTTATGGTGTTCGGAAGCCATTTGGTTTAAGAGATGGTGAGGTTTATTTATGGTGTTGGGAAGCCATTTGGTTTAGGAGATGGTGAGGTTTATTTATGGTGTTTGGGTGGCCATTCGGTTTAGTAGGTGGTGAGGTTTATTTATGGTGTTGGGGGGCCATTCGGTTTAGTAGGTGGTGAGGTTTATTTATGGTGTTGGGAAGCCATTTGGTTTAGGAGATGGTGAGGTTTATTTATGGTGTTGGGTGGCCATTTGGTTTAGGAGATGGTGAGGTTTATTTATGGTGTTGGGAAGCTATTTGGTTTAGGAGATGGTGAGGTTTATTTATGGTTGTTGTATAGTTCCATCCATCTCCTCTGCAATCAGTGTGTAAGTTAAGGATAACTGGAAATAATAAAAGGAAATAATTAACATGTAGCTGCTCTGTAAATGGGACAAAACCTGTCTACGTTGGGAAGAGCTATTACAATACTTGTATTTTCACTGTTTTCTTATATTGCATGGAAAGTTAACTGTTGGAACCACTGTACTATTCCATGGGAAAATAAAATAGAAATAAAAAAAACATAGAAGAAAGTAAAAGGCCCATCACATCAACACAATTAATTTGGAAATATTATATGTCCCTGTCCCAAAGGGCTTACGATCTAGACCTATGCTCTACTGTGCGCTTTTAAGTTGATTCAGCATGCAGTTTATGGATCTGTGTCTTCCATTGTCTGTTTGCTAAAGATAATGTGTTTGAATTATTATATTCCAAACAGATAGCAGGATAAATACAGAAAATATAACATATATGACTGTGGACTGTAGAAGCCGAATGTCTCAAATATTGTTGTGTGTCCTTGTTCTGTCTTGCTTTATAAAGTGTTGGGTGTGTTGCAAAGTGTTTTGTGATCCATCAATGCCAGAGAATTAGGGTAAATCTAATAAAACAGGCTTGATAATAAAATGACGAATATCTGAGTTTAATGTGATTTTATTATATGTGTAGACCAAATATCGTCAGAATCCTGGCTCAATGACTTTCACCACAGTGGTAGATTCTCCAGATCTCCTCCACGCAAAGAACAGCTACCTCCAGTGCAATGAGGTAAGAAAAAGATCATTCACATTAGCTAGATTATTTTACCCATAACATTTAACCCATCCTGTAGAGCCTGGACACCCGAGGAGTTGGTCCTCTGAGCAGCCAGGCTCCATACAATAACAGTGTTGGCTGGTCATTTTTCATGTGTCTTGTGTGTAAAAGCAATTAACTATTACAATTATTTATAGCACCAACATATTCCGTTGCCCCGTACATAAAAAACAAGACAAACATTTAATTCTAACAAAGTGTGTTACAGCATTGCGTGTCCAACCTTTTGGCTTCCCTGGGCCGCAATGAAGAAGAATTTACTTGGTCCACCCTTCAGATATATAATATAGTTTATTTAAATAAGTAATAAAACATTAAAGCCCTTTTAGTATATTTGTATCTTTGTATAATTTGTATATTTCAATTGTTCTCCCTGGTGGCCAGTGGTTGCTGCTATGATGGGATCGCTGTGCTCTTCCTGCACAGGTTCTTTGCGTGCCTACTACTACAACATTTCAAATAAACTACGCACTACCGATTCTTGTTCTTGGCCTGGTCCTCTTGTCCTATGAGATAATTCTGTTAACATCAATCAGCAATTATTTTGGTCAGTTGATGTGTGACCCCTTCCTCTAATTACATATTTCCTGTAAAAAAAAAAAAAAAACACCTGGCCATTGCACATTATATGTGGCACTTTTTAAAAGACACGTTAAGATTCCGTAGTTTCCTAGTTCAGAAAATGCTCCGTCTATGTGTTTAGTTGTGACATGTTGTACGGAAGTGCTGGCTTTGCTGAAGTCCATCCATAGACGTTCTGTTTTCTGTCTGTCTATTTGCAGAGATTGTACAAATTGGGAGACTCCGATGCAATTCACAGGTCGTCATTGCCTCCTGATCACCCAGACTTTATAAGAGCTCGCATCAATGCATCTCAGATAAGTGACGTACGTGGAATTAACCATTTCTGTAGTGCTATTCGTGATAGATGTGACAAGTCAGTTTCTCTTCTTCTTTTGCTACTGTCTGGGACCTTGATTTAAGCTTAGCTCATACCATGGATAATAATCTGGTAATTAACACGCGAGGTAGCACTGCAGTAGAAACCATGGTTGGCTGCTGGCACTGTTATGCATGATGTGGTTGCTGGCTATTAAATACATGTTGTGGTTGGTTGGTGGCTATGTTATACATGTTGTGGTTGGTTGGTGGCAATGGTATACATTGTAACGGATCACCTGGCACCCCGACTGGGTACCTCCGTTGAAGGATGCTCCTAGCGTTTCCTGAGGACTCCAAGCACTCTGGCAGACACCACAATCACCGAACCAGAGAAGCGTATACCTTCTCTCAAGCATATGAATGCTATAAACAGCTGAATAGGCAGGGGTTTAGACTCCTAGCAGTCAAACTGGACCAGCATACAATAAATCCTTCCCCAATAATGAGATGACACTTCACTTTGAGGGTTAAGCAGGAACTCCACTGTAATGGCCACACACTGGCTTTTATGCAAGTCCCCATGCAAGGGGACATCCCACAGGGTGGGACACAGTACAACCAATCATTTACAGGAGAACCGTAAAACACACCCAGCACAAACATACATCCCTCCCCTCTGCCTGTGATATAATTACTGAACACAATGGGTTAATGTAATTTATCACAGGCAGGAAAAATACGCTTTTTATACATACACTGTAACTTTAAAAATATGCACCATATTCACATAAAACATACATATTCAGAATCAGCATACTTTAAATATATACACCAACATTCAGCCAATTCCATCTAGGGGTTAAAAAGTTAAGGGAAAGTCCTATTTGACAAAATGAAGCATGGCTTTTCTGCCTAAAACCAGTTCCACAGAGTCTTCTATCCTGGAGATAATTGGGAAGTAATCCAATTATCTCCAAGGACAGAGGCAAAACTCCATTAGCCACATGGCAGACAAAGGAGAATAAAAGACATAAAAATACATACTGTTACATTTATCACATAGAACATACACATTCTACCTATCCCCAGATAGCTTAGATCTGAGCGCACATTATTACCGGATGGTGCTCAGATCACATACATACCGTTCAATCGCCATGGAGCCAAAGTCTTTCATACAGTCTTTCAGTATACGGCTGGGCTCCATGGCATAGCTATCTGGGGTAGCATGGCTTTAACAGTCCGCAGAAAGGCACGAATAAACCTTTCTGCAGGGAAAATAAAAGATTAAAATGCAGGACCATAGTTTAAAGGGAGCAGGTGAGCAACCAGGCCTCTCCAGTGGACAGTGGCGAGGTTGGTTCCGCCACATACATCATCACTGCTTTCCTACAATTTCTGTTCTAATGGTATTCACATTGTGGTTGGTGGCAATGTTATACACCCAGATCTTCTCCTGATCTTCTCCAATTCTAGAAAGCTTACAGAACGTTGTGGGAACAGTCCCGGGCGGCTGGCTATGACCTGAGATTGGATGCCATCCCGTTCCAGACTGCCAAGGCTTCCAGAGAGATTGCTAGTGATGTAAGTTTGTATATCCTTGATGAATGTGTGTAACTTTAATTCCAAACTTGAAATATTTGAGCAATGTTTGACCATATGAACGTATGTCTAAAACTTGGGCAACACATGCTCCGTTTGTTTCTGAAACATGGCTAAAGCTAACTGTATTTCTGCAATATTGGGTATATTTTCCATCATTTGTTTCCTCCTTTCCACTGGGGAATGAAAGCAGGATCAACCCAGGAACTAAACCAGAGAAAAACAGTGAAAACTATTACATCATTCAAGTTCTTCTGTGTTAACCCAGTTGCGAAGCTGCCAATGGACACCACGGGGCTCTTGCTGCAGGGTGACCTTATTGAGTTTAAAGAAATGATGTAAACTCAATACAAAGAGATCATCCCTTAAACATCCACATCTTTTGCATCTAATCCCCACAACAGCTGCAGTTTCTCTTGATTTTTTTGACTACATTTGCTAATGGCCCTCAACTCTAGGGAATCTATAAAGCATGCTTCCAACTCAATTGATTGAGAACTCAATGTACATTGCTAAACGATACAAGTAAGGCCAGTAAGGTTTGTCATGTATAAATAGGGGCAGAAATTCTCGGGATGAAAATATAATTTTGCCTCTATAAATCGCTGGTAAGACCACACCTGGAGAAAGTGCAGAGACAAGCTACAAAATTGCCTTTTTTTGGATCAGCAGCGAAACCATTTTAGTTATGAAAAAAGGTTAAAAAATGTAAATCTCTTTAGTTTGGAAAAACGGCGCCTGAGAGGGGATATGATAACATTATACAAATATATTCGGGGCCAGTACAAACCATTATCTGGAAATCTATTCATAAACAGGGCTATACATAGGACACAAGGTCACACATTTAGGCTGGAAGAAAGGAGATTTCATCTAAGGCAAAGAAAAGGTTTTTTTGGTTTTGTTTTTTACCATAAGAGTAATAAGGATATGGAATTCTCTGCCTGAAGAGGTGGTTTTGTCAGAGTCCATACAGATGTTTAAACTGCAATTGGATAAATACTTACAAAAACATAACATACAGGGATATAATTTCTAATTAGTGGGGTAATAGCTGCTTGATCCAAGGAGACATCTGACTGCTATTTTGGGGTCAAGAAGGATTTTTTTCCTAGTTTGTTGCAAAATTGGAAGCGCATCAGACTAGGTTTTTTGCCTTCTTTTGGATCAAAAGCAAAAACATATGTGAGGAAGGCTGAACTTGATGGATGCCTGAAGTCTCTTTTCAACTATGTAACTATGTAACTATGTAACAAGATTTCTGTACTTTTCAAGAGGAAGGGATAACACACAACAGTGGAGAAATTGTGCCAGTGAGTTTTGCAGTTTTTGTTTCTGCTTGATATTTTTTGTCACTATCATTACCTACCCTGGGTGAGGCTCTTCACAACTTAACTCATTGATCTCATTCATTTTATAGATTCCCATCATTTTCTTGGCTTTCATTTTCCTCTTTCTTTATTTGAATTTTCCATGGATGTAGTCAAGTCAGTTGTCTTATTATTCCTTTCTCTTTTTTAGTTCCGCTACAAAGAAGCCTTTGTTAAGGATAAGGGTCATCAGATTGGATTCCGCAGCATTTCTGATGACCTTAAGGCCATGCACGCTATGAGGGTCAGCAAAATGCAGAGTGACAAAGAATACAAAAGACTTTCTGAACAGGGCAGAGCAAACGTCAGGACCCACCTTGACCAACCCAGGTTCGTCCAGGCCAAAAAGAGTCAACAGCAAGCCAGTAATGTCAACTATCGTCAGCACCTTCACCAGTACACATGTGACCCTCAACAACTCAATCTGAAGCATGCCAAACAAGCGCACAGTCTGCAGAGCGATGTGAGTATACACAATGTAACGAGACATTAAACAATGTCACTGCATGCCACTTCCTAATGACTTCTCAATTAACTAATTATTCAAAGGTTGAGCTTAGATCAACCAGCTTAAAAGCACAGGTGCCACATCATTCCATATAAGACAAAAATGGTGTGTGAAACATGAACGGTATAGTGGAGAGCAAGCTTGCAAATAATTTATCACGGAACCATTCCCCACGTGCCACATAAATTGATGGTAGATGGTTCTCTTTGCAAGTCTTGGTTATTGGTAATTAAGTCACACAAATTTACCAACGCGCTCTTTATAATCAGTTTCCCGTTTTTTTTTATTTCAAATTGATCAAAAATACACATGGTCTGTGTATTTTGTATCAATTTCTGCTCAGCTCGAGTTCTTTTTCATATCAGATCTTCATTTCAGATATTCTTTTGTGATCATTAAAGTCAGCAGGACTGACAGAGCACCCAAAGGCCTTATTAGTACAGACGTCTCTTGTCAACCACTAAAATATGATTTAGCCAAAATGAGCTAGATCATGGCTAGTACTGGTCAGTAAGTATTCAGCTGGCCACCCTGCCCCTATTTTGGAGTGTTTCTAATTCTAGTGCCCTAAGAGTGGCAAACGATTAGTCTCATTATTGAATATCTGGTAATGACTGATGGCAGTTAATTAGAACAGGTGCAATTTCATGTCTGAGTGACCTAATGGAAGGCTAATAAATGAATATCTGCAGCCTACTTATCTTTCCATAGTTATCTTATTATCAGGTCAGAGAATAGACCTCCAAGGTCTTTGTCAAGCTTGACAAAGACCGTGTAGGTCGAAACGTTGTGTGAAATTGGGCTCCAATAAATTGCAGTTTCTGAACCTTGGAGTGCCTAAACCTTTTTGTACTTTCTACATACTGTTATTGGGACGTGGTGCTGAGTCACGGTTTGGTTGCACCCTGGCTCAGAGTGATGGGATAGAGTGCAGTTCCATATTGTTTCTTGAAGAGAATAGACCCCTGACCCAATAACTATTTGTATCCATTATTATTATCCATTATAGCGACCAGAATGTGATGCCCCTTGTCTTATCTTTTACTCCAGGTGAAATACAAATCAGATCTGAACTGGATGAAGGGCATTGGTTGGACCCCACCTGGCTACTACAAGGTGGAACTGGCACGTAGGGCAGCGGAATTGGCAAACACAGAAGAAGAGCCAGATTTTAGCGAGGAATCTGAACATTTCATAGTATGTATTATGTGACTTGGATAGCGGATGTTCTAGGTCTGTCTACGTCTTGTTGTCTACGTATCAGGGTGAGCTATAGGGGTGGATTTACTTTATCTGCAACTTCCACGGATTCTCTTTAAAGTCGCCCACCCAACTAGTTTGTTAACAGTGTGCATGTCCATAATGGGATCTCACCCTGTCAATCAGCCACTCACCCAGTCACAAACCGCACAAGTCACTTTCAGCCACACACCCAGTCACATTCATTTAGCCACACACCCGTGTTGCATACACACACACTCACGCTCAGCCACACATCAAGTCAGATTCATTTAGCCACACACCATGTTGCATACACACACACAGTCACACTCAGCCACACACCCAGTCACATTCATTTAGCCACACACCCAGTCGCTGTGCTCTTCCTGCACAGGTTCTTTGCGCGCCTACTACTACAACATTTCAAATAAACTGCGCACTACCGATTCTTGTTCTTGGCCTGGTCCTCTTGTCCTATGAGATAATTCTGTTAACATCAATCAGCAATTATTTTGGTCAGTTGATGTGTGACCTCCTCTAATTACATATTTCCTGTAGAAAAAAAAAAACACCTGGCCATTGCACATTACATGTGGCACTTTTTAAAAGACACGTTAAGATTCCGTAGTTTCCTAGTTCAGAAAATGCTCCGTCTATGTGTTTAGTTGTGACATGTTGTACGGAAGTGCTGGCTTTGCTGAAGTCCATCCATAGACGTTCTGTTTCTATCTGTCTATTTGCAGAGATTGTACAAGTTGGGAGACCTCAGTAGCACACCCAGTCACATACCTCGATACAGTCACACTCAGTAACACACCCAGTCACATACCTCGATACAGTCACACTCAGTAACACACCCAGTCACATACCTCGATACAGTCACACTCAGTAGCACACCCAGTCACATACCTCGATACAGTCACACTCAGTAGCACACCCAGTCACATACCTCGATACAGTCACACTCAGTAGCACACCCAGTCACATACCTCCTTACAGTTACACTCAGTAACACACCCAGTCACATACCTCGATACAGTCACACTCAGTAACACACCCAGTCACATACCTCGATACAGTCACACTCAGTAGCACACCCAGTCACATACCTCGATACAGTCACACTCAGTAGCACACCCAGTCACATACCTTGATACAGTCACACTCAGTAGCACACCCAGTCACATACCCAGTCACATACCTCAATACAGTCACACTCAGTAGCACATCCAGTCACATACCTCGATACAGTCACACTCAGTAACACACCCAGTCACATACCTCGATACAGTCACACTCAGTAACACACCCAGTCACATACCTCGATACAGTCACACTCAGTAACACACCCAGTCACATACCTCCTTACAGTCACACTCAGTAACACACCCAGTCACATACCTCGATACAGTCACACTCAGTAACACACCCAGTCACATACCTCGATACAGTCACACTCAGTAACACACCCAGTCACATACATCCTTACAGTCACATACCCCCTTTTTGTTACATACAAGCACGCACCTAGTCACATTCACGCCACCCACTGACTTGCATAGATTTACCAAACAATGAAGACAATTTCACCTACCAGCCCACCAACTGTTATGCACAATCTCACAGACACAGTTCATATAATCTGTCTGGGTTTAGTGTATTTTGAGCCCAGACTGTGCAATATGTTAAACATATTGATTGATTTTTTTTTTCTCTCCAAGAACCAGAGGGCGTCTGACTCTTTACAGCAGAGCGGGGTGAATCTGGATGCTTCAGAGATCCTGCAAGTCAAACGGAAGAAAATGCTACCTGTGAGGAAATAAATGTGGGCGGCACCAGTGCAATAAATATTTCTAATCAATGAAAACCGTATTAAAAGTTACAACATATTGCTTTAACCCTTTACTGGATGTGACATATAACACGAATATAGACAATGCGCGATTTAACCCTTTACTGGATGTGACATTTAACACGAATATTGACAATACGCGATTTAACTCTTTACTGGATGTGACATAGAACACGAATAGTAACATATAACACGAAGATTGACAATAAGGGATTTAACCCTTTACTGGATGTGACATATAACACGAATATCGACAATATGCCATTTAACCCTTTACTGGATGTGACATATAACACGAATATCGACAATATGCCATTTAACCCTTTACTGGATGTGACATATAACACGAATATCAACAATATGCCATTTAACCCTTTACTGGATGTGACATATAACATGAATATTGACAATACGCGATTTAACCCTTTACTGGATGTGTCATATAGCACGAATATTGACAATACGTGATTTAACCGTTTACTGGATGTGACATAGAACACGAATATTGACAATACATGATTTAACCCTTTACTGGATGTGACGTATAACACGAATATCAACAATACGCGATGTGACATTTAACACGAATATCGACAATACGCGATTTAACCCTTTACTGGATGTGACATATAACACGAATATTGACAATACGCGATTTAACCCTTTACTGGATGTGTCATATAACACGAATATCGACAATACGTGATTTAACCGTTTACTGGATGTGACATAGAACACGAATATTGACAATACATGATTTAACCCTTTACTGGATGTGACGTATAACACGAATATCAACAATACGCGGTGTGACATTTAACACGAATATCGACAATACGCGATTTAACCCTTTACTGGATGTGATGTGTTTCAGAGCTAATGGCTCACTGCAAGCTGATAGAATTCTATTTGTTTACTTGTTAAATGCAGATTTCTCTGCACTTTATTAGCCTCTTCCTTGCAGCCATGTTTAGAATATTCCAGATCTCCTGCGTCCCATGCACCATTAGTTCTGACACTTTTAGCAAAAATGCTACGTGTCTGCACAGTCTGCTATTTCTTGCACCTAAAATGTGTAATCAGTTTTTCTAAATAGCAAATGGATTTTAGAAAGCTTAATACAATGGTTTAATGTATCTCTTTAGTAACGTTATCTGCTCACAATTAACATATTACCAACAGCGCAGTATGTGGTCCGTTATATCCAAATACGGCCGAAAATCACAGAAAGACCTTAATTGTCAGGGTATTCACTGGTCTCTTTCACTGGAGATCTTACGGCTTGCGGACATTCTGTGCGTTATCTCTTTATACCTTATAGTCTGTTGCTGTTCTTTATGACACACAATAATCAATAGAGAATCTGCAGCCAAGGCTTTCATTAATTAACATCTCCCCGTATTTCAATGGTCACTTATATTTATTGGTGTGCCAGAACGTACGGCAACATTTACAACATTTTAAATAATGTAATGACCTACTAGAAGCAATAAGAAATGTAATTTAGTTCAAAATAGGGACGATTGGCTCTGCTCCTACAGAGGGACTGATCCCTAAAATGAGGGGAGCTTAGGGAGTATGATTATAATATATCTATGCCATGGCTTGGAAAATGATTAAATAGCACTTTGTAGATCAGGTTGTGTAGTTATCTTGTTTTCTTATAAAAAAATAAATATATTATTATGCCCCTGTAATCCGTATCAGAACATGATCAAATGATTCTGTCTTTGGGGATTCAAGCATATATAATGTTTACTTTATCTGTTACTTTGTTGTATAGAGCATTAACACAGAGAGACTGGCTGGTTCAGTTTTGTACCAGAACAAATCATTTAATTTCTAAACTGTGGATGTGTTTGTACTGAATATAATAAATGGATATAGATTTCTGTTGTTTTCTGTTTGTTCAGACCAAAGTCCTTCGTTTACTGAAACCTCAGCGTTAACTTCCCCATGTTCCTTCTCATACTAATCCCTCCATTCATTGTACACTCGGTGATAACTGCCCGACATTCCTTCACATACTTATCCCTCCATTCATTGTACACTCAGTGATAACTGCCCCACATTCCTTCACATACTTATCCCTCCATTCATTGTACACTCAGTGATAACTGCCCGATATTCTTTCACATACTTATCCCTCCATTCATTGTACACTCAGTGATAACTGCCCGACATTCCTTCACATACTAATCCCTCCATTCATTGTACACTCAGTGATAACTGCCCGACATTCCTTCACATACTTATCCTTCCATTCATTGTACACTCAGTGATAACTGCCCGACATTCCTTCACATACTTATCCCTCCATTCATTGTACACTCAGTGATAACTGCCCGATATTCCTTCACATACTTATCCCTCCATTCATTGTACACTCGGTGATAACTGCCCGACATTCCTTCACATACTAATCCCTCCATTCATTGTACACTCAGTGATAACTGCCCAACATTCCTTCACATACTTATCCCTCCATTCATTGTACACTCAGTGATAACTGCCCCACATTCCTTCACATACTAATCCTTCCATTCGTTGTACACTCAGTGAAAACTGGCCTACATTCCTTCACATACTAATCCTTCAATTCATCGTATGCTCAGTGCTAATTTCCTCACATTCCTTCACATACTAATTCTTCCATTCACTGTACACTCGGTGATAACTGCCCCACATTCCTTCACATACTAATCCCTCCATTCATTGTACACTCAGTGATAACTGCCCGATATTCCTTCACATACTAATCCTTCCATTCGTTGTACACTCAGTGATAACTGCCCCACATTCCTTCACATACTAATCCTTCCATTCGTTGTACACTCAGTGATAACTGCCCCACATTCCTTCACATACTAATCCTTCCATTCATCATATGCTCAGTGCTAATTTCCTCACATTCCTTCACGTACTAAGCCTTCCATTCATTGTACACTCGGTGATAACTGCCCCACATTCCTTCACATACTAATCCCTCTATTCATTGTACACTCGGTGATAACTGCCCCACATTCCTTCACATACTAATCCTTCCATTTGTTGTACACTCAGTGATAACTGCCCCACATTCCTTCACATACTAATCCTTCCATTCGTTGTACACTCAGTGATAACTGCCCCACATTCCTTCACATACTAATCCCTCCATTCATTGTACACTCAGTGATAACTGGCCTACATTCCTTCACATACTAATCCCTCCATTCATTGTATGCTCAGTAATAACTGGCCTACATTCCTTCAAATACTAATCCTTCCATTCGTTGTACACTCGGTGAAAACTGGCCTACATTCCTTCACATACTAATCCTTCAATTCATCGTATGCTCAGTGCTAATTTCCTCACATTCCTTCACATACTAATCCTTCAATTCATCGTATGCTCAGTGCTAATTTCCTCACATTCCTTCACGTACTAAGCCTTCCATTCGTTGAACGCACAGTGATAACTGGCCTACATTCCTTCACATACTAATCCCTTCATTCATTGTATGCTCAGTGATAACTGGCCTACATTCCTTCACACACTAATCCTTCCATTCGTTGTACACTCGGTGAAAACTGGTCTACATTCCTTCACATACTAATCCTTCAATTCATCATATGCTCAGTGCTAATTTCCTTACATTCCTTCACATACTAATCCTTCAATTCATCGTATGCTCAGTGCTAATTTCCTCACATTCCTTCACGTACTAAGCCTTCCATTCGTTGAACGCACAGTGATAACTGGCCCACATTCCTTCACATACTAATCCTTCAATTCATCGTATGCTCAGTGCTAATTTCCTCACATTCCTTCACGTACTAATCCTTCCATTCGTTGAACGCACAGTGATAACTGTCTCACATTTCTTCACACACCAATTCTTTCATTCATTGTGTACTCAATAACTGCCCCACATTCCTTCACATACTAATCCTTCCATTTATTTTACACTAGCTGACAACTGCCCCCTCATTCCTACATTCACTGTACACTCGGTGATAACTACCCCACATTCCTTAACATACTAATCCTTCCATTCATTGTACACTCGGTGATAACTGGCCAACAGTCCTATATATACTAATCTTTCCATTCACTCTACACTTGGTGATAACTACCCCACATTCCTTCACATACCAATTCTTCCATTCACTGTATACTGAGTGACAACTTCTGCACACATACAAATTCTTTCATTCATGTACTAATCTGTGGAAAACTCAGGGTATCAGGGTATCGGGAGCTAGAGAATAGTTAAAAAATAAGCAAGCTTAAGTGTTTTCTGTCATTTTTGTTTTGTTGATAGCTGGTATTTGGGGATGGGGGGGATATTCACTAAGCATTGGGTTTTTAGTGTATTACAATTGTAAATGTTACCCCAGGACAGTGGAGCTGAAAATGAAGCTCGTTTGTGGACTATTTGTCCATCCTCACTAACTCAGCTTACATTCGTCAGTTTTCTGCAATTCCAGTTTAGAGCACAGGGAGTATAGAATATGCAATCACTGTGAGGAGTACCAATAATAAAATATTTATTATAACAAACCTTAGAAACATCATTGAATTTCACAATTTATTTCTATCAACTCTGTGTTTTTTTAATCCTTTAATTTCGACACGTGTTCCAAAGCGGGTAAAGTTACAATGTCATTATTGATTAAATCACATTTAGCGGTTTCAATAACTCAGCTTATTAATAAACTCAATTTTTACTTAATTCTCATGACGAAAAATTATAATTATAATTAATAATTTATTATTTCCCATTGGTTGTTAGAAATACTTCACTTTATTACAGTGAGAACAGAAAATATATATATCTAGAAAATACAGCCTTGTCAAGTGAAGTCAGTTTCCTTTAATTTTTGATTCAATCCACTGGGCAAATTTAAACACGTGGGTATAGACTCCTGGCTTGTCTTTAACGCCACAAAGCTCGCCCCAGCTCACTACCCCAGCAACCTGAGAGACGGCGCTACGTTCGCAGATCAGAGGCCCCCCCGAATCGCCCTGTGAGAAAAAACAAAAATAACAAAATTTTAATGGAACCCATACTATAAGATCAGAGGGCCCCCCAAATCACCCTGTGAGAAAAAACAAAAATATCAACATTTTAATGGAACCCATACAATAAGAATTAAAAATATATAACTGTCAAAAAAATCAATTATTCTGTTTCGAAACTCTGCCAGTTTGAGTTTTGGCAGGGGGTCTTGACTCCAAGTTGGGCCTAGCAAGAGGTTGGAGCAAATCAGTTGGGAGTGAACTAATAAACCTCTTACCCCATAGTTTTTTGGTTTTTTTTAGAACATAACGCTCACATTCCAATTATTTGGCCTTTTGGCAAAACAATTGTAATTTGGAATGAAATCTCCAATTATTTGCATTGAAATGTTCTAATTTGAGATACATGCTGACAGCTTTGGGTCCATTCAATGTATGATACAAAGTTACAGAAATGCAGGATGAGAATAAATTAAACATGTAAATGGTTCTTCACTAAGTTTCTAATTGATACTTTTTGGGTAAGGAAACGTGGGTTGAGATTTGAATTTTATTTGCATTCTCCCTGCTGCATGCCAATTCAATTAGTTAATGAACCAAGTGACATGCCAGCTTTCCTTGTATATCGCTAACATGCTGACACATTGCAATGTTTGAATAGACCAGCTTGCAGACACTTTATGGCATCACCCCTACTGAGAAACGCAGGTTCCAGGCGTGCCCCCAATTCCCCTTTTTTTCTGTGGAGAGTTGGAATTCCTATTGGGCTGAGCAGCCTACCCATGTAAATGTCCCTTTGGTGGTGATCACATGAGGGCATAGATTGAGGAGGGTCTCTGGAAGCAGTAAATATTTCAGTTAGCATGTTAAAATAATTGTAGGACCCACCGATATTGGGGTACTGTGACATAATATTTGTTCTTGAACCTACCTGGCATGCATCTACACCTCCTTCCGGGACCCCAGCGCAAAGCATGCTTTCATCAATCAGTTTCCCGTATCTCTTCGGATCTGAGCATGCAGAGTGTGAAATTAGCTGTACCGTTGCATCGAGCAGCTGTGATGGGAACCCTTAAATAACAAAGTAACAAGCACGTCTGAGCAGATAGTAAAACAATTACTGGAAATTTACCTCAAAATTGGTAAGATCAACATTTCTATACTCAAATCTCAGGCTTGGGCAAAGTGCCCACCAGACATGTCCTACCGAGCCACTAGGCAAGGTCCAGTCTGGTGACGCTGCTTCCAAGAAATGAACTAATTCTGGTAATGGCTCCAATCACTGGACAAATGTAACTGGTTAAATATAAGGTCTATAGGTTTCTGGGGAGAAATGAGAAGTCAGAGATCCATGAATTGTGCAGCTCTCACCTAATGGTGAAAGGAAATAAGATCATTAACTTTGTCCTATGTGGTAAACGATTTCTCATACAACCACAGTAAAAGTGTGCAGCATGTGAGAATTCTCAATCACAGCTGCCCAGTGAGAAGGGGGCACGGTCATAAAGAGGATGTCACATATACAAATACATAATTGTTTTGTTTTTTTAATTACTAAAATAAACTGTATATTCTTCCTCTCTTCTTACCTTTTGTCCGGGGGAAAGGGAACATTACAAGCCCTGGTGGTGCGTGAACTCATACCTTCCGCTCTTCCAGCTTGAGCTCACTCTCGCAAGACTTGAGCGTTGCCATGTAAACCATGGCAACACTCCAATCTCGCTAGAGGGAGCAGCTATTTGATCTCCCTAATGGGCCAGCATGGCACACAGCAGGGCCGCGGTTGGGTAGTGCCGGCTCTGCATGTGCCAGCAGAGGAGATTTTTTGATCCTCCCTGTTGGGTTCGGCCCAAGGCCATGGCGACCCACCAGCCATTTTTCCAGTTTGCCCAATGGTCAGTCCAGGTCTGCTGACAGTTCACCCATTGTCTCAGTTTGTTAGGATAATGCGTGTGGTTAGGTAGAATAATGATTCATTAATGATACTCTGTTCAATACTCTGACTTCCAGTGCATCTGTGGACATTCTCTTTGCTCAGCGGTGAGCTGGGATAAAGTCCATGAGCCACCGTTTTCAATCTCTTTATGTGACAATAACCAACCTGTTTCCATCCGACCCCAGCCAGCGATCGTACAGGCTTTGCCAACGGCAAATTCACGGTTAGCTATGCAAGCTTTCTTCACAAACTTTGATTCTTTGGCGCAGGTTTTATTAATTTTCTTTAACTCCATGAGTGCTGGAAGAAAAAGTATTAGAAGCGTCATGAGCTGCCATATTGAACCCACATACACTATAGCTGTTCTCATTTAGCGCATGGCAACTTATTGTAATGGATTGTTCGGTGTCTGTTTTAGGTTGACAAGCAACAGCGGGTTTCAAAAAAACTTTTAAACAAATTTTGGAATGTGTGAAGGATTACACAATGCTTTCTGTCCAAAACAATGATTGAGACACACTGTGGACAATGCTTGTGTTTGTGGGGCCCCGTGCAGGAGAAATGCAGGAGATGCAGGAGAAAACCAAAATGCAGGGGCCACTTTATTATTTTTATTTTCTTTAAAACCATTTTCAATACCAGTTTTTACCAAATGCATCCAATTGCATTCCTATCAATGCAAGTATAGTCAGAGAAGTGGATGCAGAGAAGGGATAGGGCCTGTAGTGAACGATATGGGTTCTAGTGTAACAAAACAATACAGTCACAGAAGTGAAAAATACACATCAACACACTGTATCAGGACATACAGCCACAGCTGGGGAACATACACACTGTATCAGGACATACAGCCACAGCTGGGGAACATACACACACTGTATCAGGACATGCAGCCACAGCTGGGGAACATACACACACTGTATCAGGATATACAGCCATATATGTGGAACATACACACTGTATCAGGACATACAGCCACATTTGTGGAACATACACACTGTATCAGGACATACAGCCACAGCTGGGGAACATACACACTGTATTAGGACATACAGCCACAGCTGGGGAACATACACACTGTATCAGGACATACAGCCACAGCTGGGGAACATATACACACTGTATCAGGACATACAGCCACAGCTGGGGAACATACACACTGTATCAGGACATACTGCCACAGCTGGGGAACATACACACACTGTATCAGGATATACAGCCACATATGTGGAACATACACACTGTATCAGGACATACAGCCACATCTGTGGAACATACACACTGTATCAGGACATACAGCCACAGCTGGGGAACATATACACACTGTATCAGGACATACAGCCACAGCTGGGGAACATACACACTGTATCAGGACATACAGCCACAGCTGGGGAACATATACACACTGTATCAGGACATACAGCCACAGCTACACACACTGTATCAGGATATACAGCCACATATGTGGAACATACACACTGTATCAGGACATACAGCCACATCTGTGGAACATACACACTGTATCAGGACATACAGCCACAGCTGGGGAACATATACACACTGTATCAGGACATACAGCCACAGCTGGGGAACATACACACTGTATCAGGACATACAGCCACAGCTGGGGAACATATACACACTGTATCAGGACATACAGCCACAGCTGGGGAACATAAACACTGTATCAGGATATACAGCCACAGTGTTGGATCTTGAATTAAAATTGGATTGGATTTGGGATTTAAATTGGATTGTATCTGGGATTTAGGTTGGGTTGGATTTGGGATGTAGATGGGATTGGATCTTGGATATAGATGAGGTTGGATCTGGGATTTAGATCGGGTTGGATATGAGATTTCGATCGGGTTGGATATGAGATTTCGATCGGGTTGGATCTGGGATTTAGATCGGGTTGGATATGAGATTTCGATCGGGTTGGATATGAGATTTCGATCGGGTTGGATATGAGATTTCGATCGGGTTGGATATGAGATTTAGATTAGGAAGGGCTGAATAAAACATTGACTCGGCTACTGGAGCTCATGCACTCAGAAAGAAGTTCTTCAAACCCAACAGCCATCAGTTCTCTTTAAATTTCCAAGATGCACTGCAGTAAATTGATATATCACTGGTATATTTCACTTCATGAAAGGGCATATGTTATGTCAAATTCACATATTTGAAATATTCCTTGTAATTTTCCCTTTTTTAAACTCTAGAACCTGGCTTTTGTCATGGTCTCAGCTTTGTGGAATTGCGATCTACCTACCAATGTCATAGTGCAGACTCCTGGGTTCCTCCCGATAGAATTCATGAATGATTATTCTTCTAACATCAAAAGACTGCTGATAAGTCTCATTCTTTATCAAATCCGTTTTACCCAGAAATACTCTCCAGATCTGTGGTTCTGACCTGCATGTCAAAGAACACATTAAGAAAAGATTTTCAGAAGCTTATTCACAGATAGTTTTTACAGAACTTTTTTCATTAGATCCTAGTCAAGATTTCTGTACTTTTTCAGCAATTTTTTCTACATTTCTTCCAGTGAAAGAAAAGATGAAGCAGGTTATTTTCTGTAATGTTGGCCTATGTTTCTGTTATATCGGATTATATGAAAGTAAATGTCTTTAAAGTAGCAGAATCTCTCTCCATAATTTTATGGACCAATACTTCCTTCACTACCAAGCTCTTTTCATGTTACAAAAAATAGGGTCACTATTATTTGAAACATGGAGCTTATAGGCAGCGCAATAATGAAATAAAGCAATTCCATATACAGACTGCTGTCCAAGAAAATCTAAAATAATAATAAAGTAATAATACACATTTTTGGCACAGAGACGGTTGTGATATGTATCCACATTTACCAAAGTCGTGAATTTGCCATAGAAAACTCTTTGAGTTTTCCTCACGTCCTGAGTTTAGTGAAAGAACTTGCTCAGAACATGTCTGCACAGCTCCGGTGGTTTCTTGAACATGTATGTGGACCAAACGTGGAGTGTTTTTACGATTACCCTAGCAGTAAATTTTACGATTCATAATGGTATTCACGTAGGCTTTGTGGCTTCAGTTAGTCCAATAGGATTACTGGAACCACCAAGGTCTGTAGACACATTTTTCAAACATTAGGCCGTGTTCATTTATGGGAAACCCTGGAACTCAAGATAATCGTAAGCTACGTTAATACTCGAAATGTTTCTTATTTCCTTGTCCTTTCATCTTACACGGGTCAGCAGTGTTAAAAGTGTATTTTACACCATTGACAGCTCTGTTTGTTCCTCATGGGGAACATCTCCAGTGGTGAACTATCAGCCAAATGTATATTGAGTATTTTATTCAATGTAAAAATGGAAAATAGTGATTGCTCTGTATTTATTAAGGTGGCTCTGTGACTACTGAATAATAGTATCTTTATAATTATAGCATTTTTATGGAAAGCTTTCTTTCACTGTGTTGGCATTTTTTGACATTCCAGAGAACTGAGAACATATAGAACAGACAAAGGAAGAACTACTTGACAACAGCTCCTGGCAGACAAAATTGCCATTAATTGAAAAAGTATCATGGCAGATGGCAGCACCAAGAAGTGACACACGAAGGCAAGATTGCCCCTTTGTCCACACTGCCACCTCACAGAAGTAGATGTGTCACCTTGAGGTGTTTATTGCAAAAAATGCAACAGGGCAACATTTCCTGCTGTTTTCTGCACATCTTGCAGCATTTTTTGTATGTATTGCTATTAAGTACGTTCCAGAATTGTATAACAGTATAATCATTGTACAATGTAAACATAACCCACAGTCTGGCACTTACAGAGTTTTTACGCAATGAGCTGCAGTCAAGATCCAGCATGGAGCAATCAATGTGCCACCACAAATGTGTCCTGCGTTGTGCAGTGGCACGCTGACCTTCAGTTGCAATGATGCCAACCAAGGATGTTGACCAGGCTGTGTCCTTTTCCCACCAAATATTCTTCCACGGATGCTTGTAGGAATATCTTTCAATCCACAAGTGGAAAATGTAGTGTTGCTTTGCGGGGGGAACGTGGTGTTACGTTTTGTGATATTGCCTTTGACGTCCGTGGCAATGATCGGTTTATCCGTGGTCCTGTTCACTGATCGGACTACTGGAACACTGTAAATTATATCTGGGTGGAAGATGGGTTACAGCTAAATGCCAAATGGTTCACTCAAACTGTACAATCCATATATAGATACGATAGAAGATGATATCATTGAATTTGAAATAAGTTAAAAATAATGATTTTTCAGATAATTACATACATTTTATACAGCACAAGGTTAACAACCTTATCACCAAATGTTACACCCACTGATAGCGCCCCTCACTCTTACACAGGAAGAGATAGAGAGGCTAACTGGAGAGACCACCAGGAAAGCAAGACCACAACTGCAGGAGACTGAATAGAATCTGATGAACTAAATCCCCCGGCTGCCGGAACCTATTACATAGAATAGACTAAACAAGCCCGGAACGTTTCCTATAGTTATGTTCCTTGCGGCGTGAAGTGTTATTAATATTAATATTGTTTTCCCTTGAATCACCCTGGTTTCCATTTAGGAAATAAACTGCAATCTGCGAAATGTGGATTAAGGAATATATTTCAGATATAAAGATACAAAGGACAGGAAATAAAAGCAGATAGAATTAACATATTGTCCAGTCATTCCGAGATGACCAGACCTGGATACATCTAGAGTGATACTCACTGTCCGTGCAAACTGTAACATTACACAAGCCCCAGCTCAGTTTTCCTGAGCCATCTTGAAAGTAACACCAAGGTTTGACTTCCCCATCTGGGTTTCTGTTTGGAAAACAATGAAAACACAGTATTAATAGGAATGAACCTATTATTAATATTGTCTGTACTGTACTCAGGACTTCACAATGTCATTGTTTTAATAACCTTTTCCAATATATTCATATTTTTGGATAAACCTTTAAAATCACTGAATATTTTGATATTTATTTTTCAATATTTTCATATTTTGAAAACTAATATTTTGGAAATGTATCCAATATTATTAAATCATTTGAAAAGCGTATCCCAAAATATTAAATTGAGACCATAATTAGAGCGATGATGCTCACAAAAAAAACCCAACGACAAACATTATAAGGTGGTTAAAAACTTTGGTTGTACAATTCCAATCACCTATCCTTTGCTTATTGGCTAACTATACACACATATCTTGATGGTAATCTGAATCCCAGGGAGTGTGTGGGGGGGGGGGTGTAGTGATGATAGTGATGTGAAGCTCGGGGAGTGGGGGTTTATGTGATGGTAATATGAATCCCGGGGAGTAGGGGATAGAGATGATGGTGATATGAAGCCTAGGGAGTGGGAAGTAGAGGTGATGGTAATATGAGGCCCAGAGAGTGGGGGGTAGAGGTGATGGTAATATGAAGCATGTGGAGTTTGGGGGTGTGATGGTTATATGAAGCAAACAGACTCAGGGGGAGTGATGTGAGGGTGATATGAGGCTTGAAAAGTGGGGGGTTTAAGCGATGATGATCTGAAGCCCTGGAATGGGGGTAGAGGTGATGGTGATATGAAGCATTGTGAGTAGGGTGGTGTGGGGTTGAAGTGATGGTGCAATTAAGCATGGAGAGTGTGGCGAGATATAAAGCCAGTCATTCCTGCCATCTTTGTGGAAAGTCATGAGTGCAGTGGCAGTTTGAGTTTGATACCCCACTTCCTCTAGCATGTAAACTCATCGAGCAGAGCCCTCAACCCCCTCTGTTCCTGTACGTCAGTGGTCTGATCTCAATTATGTGTCTTTTAGTCCACCCATTGTACAGCGCTACGGAATTTGTTGGCGCTATATAAATAATAAAATAATAATAATAATAATAATAAGGGCGTTGTTCCATCTTTAGGGGGCAAGAATGGAGAGTGAGTGGGAGTGCAGAAGAGAGGGAGTGAGGTACAGGTAGAAGATATGAGAGAATGGGTAGGGGAGATTGTGAAGTAAAAGATTGGACCTTTAAACTCTTGGTACCCAATAGTCCTTGTCTTTGATTGGACTACACTAGCTACCAAGCACAAACTGTCTTGATCACACAATGGCTCCCTCTTTGGCTGCTTCCTCAGTGCAGTGGGAGGTATATCTGTATGGAACCCATTTTACTACAATGAAAGAAAATCCTTCTCTACTCCGATCATACCAATCATGTATTTTCACTTGATATACATTGTAAATACTATAATTAACATAATTCCGCATAACCTTTTATTGTAGAAACTGGTGCGTGTATCATCTAACACAGAGCAGAGAATTCCACATATTTCCTGACCTTGCTTTAAAGAGCTCTTGCGATCAATATAGATGAGAGCTTTTTCACCATCAACAAAGAAACAGGTGAAAAGACTGCTTTCTGCTGGTCTCATTGGAGCTCAATGGATGACCTTGTTATATTTCAGCAGGTGGGATGAAGCATCTTATCGGGAATATTTGTACTGAACATGAATATACATCTGCACTGAGCAATCACATGCCCTTGAAGGCAACTCTTTTGTAGTGTAAGCAAATCAAATGTGTCCACTGTTTCTTTGTAAGAGAAATGTTTTGTGCTCTTTATTAAAAACACAGGCCTTGTTTGGTCTCATAATGGATCTATTTAAAGTGAAACTATCACCGTTTAACAATAACCTGTGTTTCTGGGAAGAGTAATATAAAGACAGCATGGTGGAATAGCCTTCCAGCTGAAATGGTAGAGTTTAACACAGTAAATGAGTTTAAGCATGCGTGGGATAGGCATAAGGCTATCCTAACTATAAGATAAGGCCAGGGACTAATTAAATATTTTAAAAATTGGACAGACTAGATTGGCCGAATGGTTCTTATCTGCCGTCACATTCTACGTTTCTATGTTTCTATGGACAAGTTTCGAAAACTCTTGCCCACGTGAAGGGATAAAGTTCGGCATTCCTGGTTTAAATTTCTTTGGTAATATTCTCTTTTAAAAGTTACAAAGTTTAGGGTATTTTTTTAAATCAACGATTCTAATCTGTCTGCAGTGTTATTGATTATTACCAAAATACATAGGATATTTGTTTAACTCTCTCCCAGCCTGAAATATGTGCCAATTACACAACTCGCTACAAATGGTTAAAGAGACACATTAAAATAGTTATGATGTTAGGACTCTATTGGCATCATTCTACTGCTCAGTCTTAAATTGTTTTCAATCTGTTTGACAAAGAATAAAAGGCTAGCTTCCTGAGGGAGGTTATCTAATGCAAAGTATAACTCTATGTTAGCCATTTTACACAGCAATGCGTGGCGGTGATAGATGGGCGGTGAGAGTGTCCATCGTTAGTCTGGTTAATGTGTATTAGCCTGAGCAGCAGCCATGGGCTGGCACTGGGCAGACACTGGGGACCATCATTCTCAGCTAAACTATTTTAACCCCTTAAGGACACATGACATGTCATGATTCCCTTTTATTCCAGAAGTTTGGTCCTTAAGGGGTTAAACTGATTTAATATCAAATGAGAGACAGCACAAAGGGACTCCAGACACCATATCCACTGCAGTGAGCTAAAACAGTTATAGCGCCTGGAGTGTCTTTTGAAGACACCCGCAAATCATTAAATCAGGAAAAGATAGCAAAGTGCAGTCTGGAAAATATATTCTAAGCATTAAAAACCAGCAATGTAATGTTTATATTCCAACTTTAACAGAACCAATAGAATACAGGTCACACATGAGCTAAAAGTCAAGGATTTCATCTTTACCTGCAGTAATTATGCTCCCCAATTCCATACATGTAAATTCCACTGACAAATGAATTCATGTTCTCTTTAGCCAGCAGGAAGGAGTCCCACGGCAGGCAGGAGAAGCCACGTTCCGTGTAGCTGACATGGCCTCGGTACTGAAGACCATCATTCCTGTAACAGTCATTTGGCCCTGGAAGAAGAGAGAATAATGGGGTACAACCCGTGTATTGATTGGAAGTGTTTATTCTGCAAGCTTGTTCTAAGTCACAGTTCCTTCTGGATAAGGAATTTGTTTTATACCTTTCCTGTTAGTAAATCAGACCACAACGCACGGCCTGAGCAAGCAATGAGAGATGTCTTAACCAAATGGAGGTGCAGACCACCACCAGGGATCATGACACCTTCATGCACAAAACACAGACAGGGTTATTTACTAAAGTTAGAATTCAAAGTGAAACCAAAATGAATTTCAAATGAAAGACCACAGCAGCCAAACCGAAAGCAGTGCTGGCCAAAATGTGAAACTCAAAATTGTGGAAGGAGGAAGAGAACCGTTGGAGAAAGGGGACAGAGACACATATCTGGGAGAGAGAGAGAGAATAAATGCACACCCAGCAAACACAGCCAATGCTACTCACAGAGAAACAAAGATTAAATTCTTCTCTGTAAGAATCAAGGTTTCAGTGCGTCTAATAGAGAAACAAGGGTTTAATGCTTCTCTGTAAGAAAGAAAGATCTGATGTTTCTCTATAACAATCAATGATTCAGTGCTTCTCTGTGAGAAACATGGAATCAATGCTTCTAATAGAGAAACAATGATTCAATGCTTCTAATAGAGAAAGAAGGATTACATGTTTCTCACAGAGAAACAGAAATTCAGTGCTTCTCTGTGATAATCAATTATTCAATGCTTCTCTCTGAGAAAATGATTACATGCTTCTCTGTGATAATCTACGGTCATATAGTTCTCTCTGATAATCAAGGATTCAATGATTAACTGTGAGAAATGAGAATTAAATGCTACTCATAGAGTAACAAGGATTCAATGCTTCTCTGTAAGAAGCAATAATTCAATGCTTCTCTGAGAGAAATAAGTATTCTGTGATTTTCTGTGGGAAACAAGGATTTAATGCTTCTTTGTTAAAAACAAAGATTCACTACTTCTCTGTGAGAAACAATGATTCAGTGCAACTCTGTGAGAAGAAATTATTCAATGCTTCTGTGTAAGGAAACACTGATTCAATGCTCCTCATAGAGACACAATGATTCAATGTGTCTCTGTGAGAATCAAAGATTTAGTGTGTCTCTGTGAGAAACAAAGATTCAATCCTGCTTGGTAAGAGTCAATGATTCAATGCTTCTCATATAAAAAGAAGGATTCAGAACTTCTCTGTGAGAATCAATGATTCAATGCTTCTCTGTAAGAATCAAGGATTAATTGCTTCACTGTGAGAAACAAGGAATTGATCCTTCAAATAGAGAAACAAGGGTTCAAGGCTTCCCTGTAAGAACCAAAGAGTCAATGCTTCTCTGTGAGAAACTAAGATGCAATGCTATGTCTGAGAGAAACACAGATTCTAGGCACCTCATAGAGACATTGTGCTTTAATGCTTTTAGAGAGAAACAATGATTCAATGTTCCTCATAGAGAAACAAACATTCAATGCTTCTCTGTGAGAATCAATGATTCAGTCCTTCTCTGTGAGAATTAAAAATCCAATGCTTCTCATAGAGCAATAAGGGTTCAATCGTACTCACAGATAAATAATGATTATGTGATTTTCTGTGAGAAACAAGGATTCATTATTTCTAATAGAGAAACAATGAATTAATGTTTTTCTGTGATAAGATCCAATGTTTCTCTTTGAGAAATAAGGATTCAATGCTTTGCATAGATAAACAAAGATGCAATGCTTCTCATAGAGAAACAATGATTTAATGCTTGTAATAGAGAAACAAGGATTTAGTCGCTTTGCACAGAGAAATATGAATACAATGCGTCTAATAGAGAAAAGATAATTCAATGCTTCTAATAAAGAATCAATGATTCAATGGTTCTAACAGAAAAACAAGGATTTAATGCTTTGCACAGAGAAACAAGAATTTAATGCTTCTAACAGAGAAACGAGGATTCAATGCTTCTAATAGAAAAACAAGGATTTAATGCTTTGTATAGAGAAATATGAATACAATGCTTCTAATAGAGAAATGAGGATTAATTACTTCTAATAGAAAAACAAGGATTTAATGCTTTGTATAGAAAAACAAGGATTCAATGCTTCGAAACAACAAATAAGGATTCAATGCTTCGAAACAAGAAACAAGGATTCAATGATTCTAAACAAGAAACAAGGATTCAATGCTTCGAAACAAGAAACAAGGATTCAATGCTTCGAAACAACAAATAAGGATTCAATGATTCTAATAGAGAAACAATGATTTAATGCTTTGCATAGAGAAATAAGGATCCGATGCCTCTAACAAAGAAATACGGATTCAATGCATCTAATAGAGGAACAAGGATTCGATGCTTCTATTAGAGAAACAAGGATTCAATGCTTCACATAGAGAAATATGAATACAATGTTTCACATAGAGAAACCAGGATTCAGTGCTTCTAATAGAGAAAAAGGATTTCAATGCTTCTCATAGAGAAACAAGGATTCTAACAAAGAAATAAGGATTCAATTCTTCTAGCAAAGAAAGACGATTGCAGTGCTTCTTATTGAGAAATGAGAATTCAATGCTTCTAATAGAGAAAAAAGGATTCAGTGCTTCTCATTGAGAAACAAGGGTTAATTACTTCTAGGAGAGAAACAAGCATGCAATGCAATTCTTTGAGAAGTATAGGATTGACTGAACATGCCGATTGTTGGGCTTGTGACATAGGTTTCAAATATTTATCTTAAGAAGAATAGAGACCAGCACAACTGATATTTCAGGAGAAGCAGCATGGCTGCACTGAGGAGATGGTCGTGGGACTGGATTAACGGTTAATTTAACATTTTCTTCAGAAGGAAAGCACTTTGGGTGTATTATTTGAGCTGTGTATTAAAGGGACACTATAGTCACCTGAACAACTTTAGCTTAATGAAGCAGTTTTGGTGTATAGAACATGCCCCTGCAGCCTCACTGATCAATCCTCTGCCATTTAGGAGTTAAATCCCTTTGTTTATGAACTCTAGTCACACCTCCCTGCATGCGACTTGCACAGCCTTCCATAAGCACTTCCTGTAAAGAGAGCCCTATTTAGGCTTTCTTTATTGCAAGTTCTGCTTAATTAAGATTTTCTTATCCCCTGCTATGTTAATAGCTTGCTAGATCCTGCAAGAGCCTCCTGTATGTGATTAAAGTTCAATTTAGAGATTGAGATACAATTATTTAAGGTAAATTACATCTGTTTGAAAGTGAAACCAGTTTTTTTTTCATGCAGGCTCTGTCAGTCATAGCCAGGGGAGGTGTGGCTAGGGCTGCATAAACAGAAACAAAGAGATTTAACTCCTAAATGACAGTGAATTGAGCAGTGAAATTACAGGGGAATGATCTATACACTAAAACTGCTTTATTTAGCTAAAGTAATTTAGGTGACTATAGTGTTCCTTTAAGGAGACTTTTTTTTTGCCATATGTCAGAGATATTTCACGAGTCTTTATTATTTCTTGTATATTAAAAAAAATGTACTTGTAGTAGTCCTTTAATGAATAAACCTACAGGGTCAGTTCCCAGGATTTTCTGCGTAGGGCGACAAGTTCACCTTGAACCAACTCTTAACAAACAGAACTCACCAGATGAAATGGGCAATCACAGATAAAAGAATTTGTAGAAAGAGCAGAGATCTCAGAAACACCCACCCACTTCACAGAACGTCCCTTTATAATGTAGAGGACAGATGCATCTGAACCGATTATTGTCTCGAACGGCGCAGATCCCACCATTTTTACAGGGATTCGGAGAACAAACGTCTGCGGCTGAAAAGGAAGAGAATTTATTCAGCAAATCTAACAACAACCTCCGATAATATAAGACACTACTCAATGCTGCTCCTTTGTTATACAAATAATTAGATCACGATGTTTATTATTACACGGCTGCTTTATTTACAAGATAATTTGTTTTTGCTATGGACATATATTCCTTTGGCGTCTGTAATAAATGAAATATTTATTGTTTTTTTTCCACTACATTTTTCTTCTATATTCATGTTGTGATAATAAACAGCATTTTTTAAAAAGAGAATTTTAAATATTTTACCAAGATTAAAACCATCGCTATGTTATAGCAGCATTTCTGGGGAGTTGATGCATCTCTGGTTCAAAATGTGAAAACCCTTAAACTGCATATTTTTGGAAAATTAAAATAAATATATATTCATCATCTCTGTAAATTAAAGCAGTGTTCCCTCTAAGAGGACAACTCAGCAGTGAGTGACGTTTCGGATATGGTGCTATAGAGTTCCCTATGTTTATTATGTTTTTTTAGCCATGAACTCCTCAGAGCTCCGGTGTTTGAGTCTGATGGGGTGAGCCAGCTTGTGTGCAGTTATAGGTCAGTTTGGTATCACTGATGCACTTCCAACCCCCAACACCCCAAGTTTTAGCAGCCCCTGTAACTATATATATATATTAACCAGCCAAATCAGCAACAATGACATTAAGAAGGGAAAACACAGTCAATAGAAATCCAGGATGCCATGAATATATGTCTTTGTGTCTCTGATTGGGTGTTTGTCTGTGTGAGTATGTACAAGTGTGAGTATGTCTCTGAGTGTGAGTAAGCTTGTATGTGGCTTTGTGTGTCAGTATGTCCACCTCTGCATGTAACTGGGTGTGCCTGCATGTGTGCCTGTATGCAGATGTGTGTGTCTGCATGTAACTGTGTGTGTCAGCATGTTCTGTTCTGTATATAGCTGTGTGTGTCAGCATGTCCACCTTTGCACGTAACTGTGTGTGTCAGCATGTTCTGTTCTGTATATAGCTGTGTGTGTTAGCATGTCCACCTCTGCATGTAACTGTGTGTGTCAGCATGTTCTGTTCTGTATATAGCTGTGTGTGTCAGCATGTCCACCTTTGCATGTAACTGTGTGTGTCAGCATGTTCTGTTCTGTATATAGCTGTGTGTGCCAACATGTCTAACTCTTTATATAGCGCTGTGTGCCTGCATGTGTGCCTCTGTACGTAACTGTGTGTGTGCCAGAATTTAGCTGGGTGTATCTGCATGTAACTTTGTGTGCCTCTATGTATTGTGTCTGGGTCAGAGAGGCTTTCTATGTTAGTAACAGATTGCAGTGCTCTCTATTCCCAGCATGATAGGGTTAATTGGTGAAAGTCAGCCCTTTCAGGTGAATGTAATTAACCTGCACTAATGTTTTAAAAGGTCAGCCTCTGAAGGCATCAGGGAGTCTAACAGCTGGGAGAGAGGAGGCTGTTAAGCCTGAGACCCTCAGACTCTAATGGAAAAAGTACTGTGGAAAAGCCTGTGTGTTTAAAGTGCTGTGTTTAAACTGTTTAACCCCTTAACGCCGTTACAGCGTTCTATGCCGTCCCCATTTAAATGGGCTTTAAAGCCGTTGCGGCGGCATTGAACGCTGTAACGGCTTTCTATCCCTGGAGGTCCGCGGTACTCCGCCGCGATCCTCTTCGGGAGAACTGCCTGACAGCCCAGGCAGCCCTCCCATGGAAAATCAGGCCCCCGCGGGCCATGTGATTGCTCTCAAAGAGCGATCACATGGCCCCCTATAGCTGGCTGTGGATCTGCCAGCAGGGGGACTGTCTGAAATGTCAGACAGTCCCCCTGCTGGTGGGAAGTATTACAAAAAAAAATTATTAAACATGTTTAAAATAAATTAAATGTGTGTGTGTGTGTATATATATATGTATATAATATTTGGTATGGTATTTTATCCTGAGGAAGGTCCCTGCGCGGACCGAAACGTTGATCTCTTTCATTTTATGGAATAAAGAAGTTTTTTCATTATCAAGACCGTGAGTGCAGCCCTGGAATTAATTTTTTCCTTTGGTGTTTATATATATATATATATATATGTAAGGTCATATGTAGTGTATTTTAATATTAATATAAGTACATATATTAGTATTAACATACACTTAGAATGACGTTACATATATACACGTATAATTACAAGAATAAATAAATACAATAAATAAATAAAATATTTAAAAAAAAATAATAAATTATATATACATATGTAATTTCATTCTAACTGTATTTTGTTATTAATATATATATATATTGGTAACAAAATACACTTAGAATGACATTCTATATATATATCTATCTATATATAAAATACAAATAACCGCAAATATATTTATATAGATAAATACATATAATTACATAAATGATTACATAAGTATACACGTAGAATTTAAATACATATATATGTATATATATATAAAATTCTACGTGTATATTTAAGTAATCTTTTAGCATACTTATGTGATTTTATTAATTAAAAACACTGGCCAAATATTAGTTTTTTGCTTATTTTCACACAAAAACAATTATGAATGCTAACTTTGGCCAGTGTTTGTGACTAAGTGGCTACTAAAAAAGACTGGACATACCCCACTTGCAATACCTTGGGTTGTCTACTTTTGCAAATGGTATCCCGTCATGGGGGTAATTCTCATTCCTGAGCTACCACACCGTCTCAAAGGTAACATTACTAATCTGGCAAATTTCAATGTGAAAAAAAAATGAAAAATTTAACTGTGTGTCAGCATGTAACAGTGTGTGCCTTTATGTAACTGTGTGTCAGCATGTAACGGTGTGTGCCTTTATGTAACTGTGTGTCAGCATGTAACGGTGTGTGTCAGCATGTGCTATATTTGACCCTGTAACTTTCCAAAACACCATAAAACCTGTACATAGCGGGTTCTGTTTTACACGTGAGACTTTGCTGAACACAAAAATGTGTATTTTATTGCAGTAAAAGCAAACAGTATCATGACATTTACAGCTAAAATGTCAGGCAGAACTACAATTTTTTTTTTTTAAATCTTAATTTCTCACATTTTTATTTTATTCATAATAAAGGTATATAATAAGTGTGGGTGCACTTAATATGAAAGAGGTGAACTACGGGTGAACAGACATAGCGCAAATTCCAGGTTTTGTTTACATTTTGTTTTGATCAGAACGTGCACTATTGACTCTGTCCTGAAGGGGTTAAAACTGGGAACTGGATTAGCTGGCCAGTTGGATAGTTAGGAATACTATTGTTTAGTTAGTCTCCAAGATGGAGTAGAATTTATTTATTTTTGTTTTATTTATTTATGTGAAGCACAGCATTGGATGCCTTGTGGAAAGTGCAAAAAAACCGCATCTCGCCATCCTGCCGCAGTGTGTACTGACTCCAGAAACAGACACAAAATCTTGGTATGTCACTTACCTGTATTACACCTGGGCCCATGATATGGGTAGTCACATCTGCACTGGAATTTTGGAGGGATCTTTTTTAGAACACAGATTCCATGGTTGCACAGATCTTCAGTACAAGTTGTAATTGCTATAGTGAAACAAAACAAAAACGGTCTAAAAATCAATTAAAAGTAAATATGCTGCATTGTGCAGATTGCTTACTATGGGGGCATATTGTTTAGAAACTTCAATGTTAAATGGTTAAATATTCATCAACCAAAATTTGATGTATGTTTCTGGAATCAGTCCACACTTTCAGACACACACCGTTACATGCTGACACACAGTTACATAAAGGCACACACCGTTACATGCTGACACACACCGTTACATAAAGGCACACACCGTTACATGCTGACACACACCGTTACATGCTGGCACACAGTTACATAAAGGCACACACCGTTACATGCTGACACACAGTTACATAAAGGCACACACTGTTACATGCTGACACACAGTTACATAAAGGCACACACCGTTACATGCTGACACACACCGTTACATGCTGACACACAGTTACATAAAGGCACACACCCAGTGGTGTATCCTGGTTTTGTGCTGCCCTAGGCAGGACAAAACTCAGGCATCCCCTTCCCCCCGCACCACCCCCACCCAACCCTTTCCCCCCGCCCCACCTTCTAAATACACACACAGTCAGACACACACACAGTCAGACACACACACACACACAGTCAGACACACACACACAGACACAAACACACACAGTCAGACACAAACACACACAGTCAGAAACAAACACACACACACACAGTTAGCCACAAACAAACAGTCAGACACACACACACACACACACAGTCAGACACACACACACACAGTCAGACACAGTAAGACACACACACAGTCAGACTTGTCAGTAAAAGCAAAAAATTCAAGAAACCACTGTGGTACTCCACAGATGTGGCAAAAATAGTTAAAAACAAAAAGTTAGCATTTAGGAATTATAAAAAAAAAAACCCAGAATGAGGAAGACAACATGATCTATAAGATTAGGCAGAAAGAGGCTAAGCTTCCAAATCACACACAGAAGAGAAAATATCACAGTCAGTAAAAAAAGGGAATAAAACATTTTTTAGATGCATAAATGAGAAAAGAAAAGTAAAACAAGGATTAGTTAGATTAAAAACAAAAGAAGGAAGGTATGTAGAAGAGGATAAAGGTCTAGCTGACTGCCTCAATGAACATTTTTGTTCTGTATTTACAGATGAAAATGAAGGAAAGGGACCTCAGTTGAGAAAAAGGATAAATGAGTCATTTATTACACGTGAGTTTACAGAGGAAGAGGTTCTATTTCAACTGTCAAAAGTAAAGACAAATAAGTCAATGGGACCTGATGGAATACACCCAAAGCTATTAAAAGAGCTTAGTGGTGTACTAGCAAAATCATTAACAGATTTATTTAACCAATCATTGTTAACAGGAGTAGTCCCAGAAGATTGGAAGTTAGCGAATGTTGTGCCCATTTACAAGAAAGGTAATAGGGAGGAGTCAGGCAACTATAGGCCAGTAAGCCTTACTTCAGTAGTGGGGAAAGTGATGGAAACCATGTTAAAGGATAGGATTGTTGAACATCTAAAAACACATGGATTTCAAGATCAGAGACAACATGGGTTTACTTCAGGGAGATCATGCCAAACTAATCTTATTGATTTTTTTGATTGGGTAACTAAAATTATAGATCAGGGTGGTGCAGTAGACATTGCTTACCTAGATTTCAGTAAGGCTTTTGACACTGTTGCACATAGAAGGCTTATCAATAAACTGCAATCTTTAAGTTTGGATTCCAATATTGTTGAATGGGTAAGGCAGTGGCTGAGTGACAGGCAACAGAGGGTTGTAGTTAATGGAATATATTCGAAGCTTGGACTTGTCACCAGTGGGGTACCTCAGGGATCTGTACTTGGACCCATTCTCTTTAATATTTTTATTAGTGATATTGCAGAAGGTCTTGATGGTAAGGTATGTCTTTTTGCTGATGATACTAAGATATGTAACAGGGTTGATGTTCCAGGAGGGATAAGCCAAATGGCAAATGATTTAGGTAAACTAGAAAAATGGTCAGAATTGTGGCAACTGACATTTAATGTGGATAAGTGCAAGATAATGCATCTTGGACGTAAAAACCCAAGGGCAGAGTACAGAATATTTGATAGAGTCCTAACCTCAACATATGAGGAAAGGGATTTAGGGGTGATTATTTCTGATGACTTAAAGGTAGGCAGACAATGTAATAGAGCAGCAGGAAATGCTAGCAGAATGCTTGGTTGTATAGGGAGAGGTATTAGCAGTAGAAAGAAGTGCTCATGCCATTGTACAGAACACTGGTGAGACCTCACTTGGAGTATTGTACACAGTACTGGAGACCGTATCTTCAGAAGGATATTGATACCTTAGAGTGGGTTCAGAGAAGGGCTACTAAACTGGTTCATGGATTGCGGGATAAAACTTACCAGGAAAGGTTAAAGGATCTTAACATGTATAGCTTGGAGGAAAGGCGAGACAGGGGGGATATGATAGAAACATTTAAATATATAAAGGGAATCAACACAGTAAAGGAGGAGACTATATTTAAAGAAGAAAAACTACCACAACAAGAGGACATAGTCTTAAATTAGAGGGACAAAGGTTTAAAAATAATATCAGGAAGTATTACTTTACTGAGAGGGTAGTGGATGCATGGAATAGCCTTCCAGCTGAAGTGGTAGAGGTTAACACAGTAAAGGAGTTTAAGCATGCGTGGGATAGGCATAAGGCTATCCTAACTATAAGATAAGACTAGGGACTAATTAAAGTATTTAGAAAATTGGGCAGACTAGATGGGCCGAATGGTTCTTATCTGCCGTCACATTCTATGTTTCTATGTTTCTATGTTTCAGACACAGTCAGACACACACACACACACACAGTCAGACACAAACACACACACACAGTCAGACACACACACACACATACACACACAGTCAGACACAAACACACACAGTCAGACACAAACACACAGTCAGACAAACACACACACATACAGTCAGACACAAACACACACAGTCAGACACAAACACACACACACAGTCAGACACACACACACACACACACAGTCAGACACACACACATACACACAGTCAGACACACACACCCACACAGTCAGACACACACACCCACACAGTCAGACACACACACAGTCAGACACACACACACACAGTCACTCACATTAACACTTTTTTTTATTCCCCAGCCTCCTTACCTTTGGGAGTGCTGGGGGGGGAAGGGGTTCATTATCTCCCTGGTGGTCCAGTGGCTGCTGGTCGGGCTGATGGGCTGGCTGCTGGGCGGGCGGCTGGCGAGGGAGCACTTCCTCTGAGCACTTTGCTCAGCTCCCTCGCGCGCCGCAGAGTGAGGCTGGGAGCCGGGTTGATTACGTCATATTCCGGCTCCCAGCCTCACTCTGCGGCGCGCGAGGGAGCTGAGCAGACCGCTCAGAGGAAGAGCTCCCTCGCCAGCCGCCCGCCCGACCATCAGCCAGCGCCGCCTGCCAGCCCAGCATGTCAGTTAGCCGCAAGGCTAACAAGGCATTTGCCCTGGGCATTTGGGGGCGGCGTTTTTTGCCTCTCGCTAATACGTCCCTGCACACACCGCTACATACAGAGTTACAGATGAAGACATTAGGGATGTGTAACAAAATATGGTGCGTCACCTCTGAAATTTGGGACATTGGCACTTCGGTTTGGCACTTCCGAAATTCTGCAATTTGGTTCGGTTCGGCACTTGAGCAATTCGTCAATTTCGAATGTTTGAATTGCCGAAATTTGTCCGAATTTAAATTCAGACCGTAATGAATGCAAATGTCTAGAAGACATACACATTTGTATAAAGAGTTGGACATGCTTATACACACAGCTACATACAGACACATACAGGAGTACACGTGCAGACATATGCAGCTACATGCAGAGGTGGACATACAGACACATACAGTTACATGCAGACGCACGCTGCTACATATAGGAGTACACTTGCAGGCACACACAGTTATCTACAGATCACATCCCTATGGTGAACACATTGTCATAACTATGGTACGCACATTGCCATCACTATTATATACACATTGCCATCAGTATGGTACGCAGATTGCCATCACTATGATACACATACAGTTGCATAGAGACGAACATGCTGACACATGTGGTTACATGCTGACACACACAGCTACATACAGAAGCACACAAGCTGACACACATAGCTACATACAAGGCAAAGAAGCTGACATACACAGCTACATACAGAGGCACACATGCTGACATACACAGCTACATACAGAGGCACGCATGCTGACACACACAGCTACATACAGAGGCACGCATGCTGACACACACAGCTACATACAGAGGCACGCATGCTGACACACACAGTTACATTCAGAGGCACGCATGCTGCAACACTGCAACATATAGGAGTACACTTGCAGACACACGCAGTTATCTACAGAGCACATAACTATGGTACGCACATTGCCATAACTATGGTACACACATTGCCATCGCTATGGTATGCACATCGCCATCACTATTATATACACATTGCCATCACTATTATATACACATTGCCATCACTATGGTACGCACATTGCCATCACTATTATATACACATTGCCATCACTATTATAATTCAGGTTTGTCCTTTAACCTTTTTTTTTCGAGAGAGAGATGTTCTGTTTTAAGTAAAATGTAACTCCACCTCCAGCAGGGTCATCAGAGCAAAGTTTAGAGCTGGATCATGCTATCTCTATGCAAAATTGGTGTCTGATACATACAGGGCTGCCATCAGAAATTTTAGGGCCCCTGACACAGCTCAAGATCTGAGCCCCCGGTGCCAGCCCCGAGTCCGCCGACAAGGATGAAGTGTGTGTGTATAGTGGATGTGGAATGTTTGTTATGGATGCAGTGTGTACAGTGGATGCAGTGTGTACAGTGGATGCAGATTGTACGTTTTGTGTAATGTATGTAATGTTTGTATGCATGCATTAGATGCAGAGTGTGTGTGTAGTGAATGTAGGTGTGTATAGTGAATGCAGAGTGTGTGTTTTTGTAGTGGATGTAGTGTGTGTACAGTGAATGGAGAGTTAGTTTTTGTAGTGGATGTAGTGTGTGTACAGTGAATGGAGAGTGTGTGTTTTTGTAGTGGATGTAGTGTGTGTACAGTAAATGCAGAGTGTGTGTTTTTGTAGTGGCTGTAGTGTGTATAGTGAATGTAGTGTGTTTGAAGTGAGTGCAAAGTGTGTATAGTGCATGTAGTGTGATTGTGGTGAATGTAGTGTATATAGTGCGTGTAGTGAATGTAGTGTGTTTGAAGTGAGTGCAAAGAATGTATAGTGCATGTAGTTTGAGTGTGGTGAATGCAGAGTGTTTCTATAGTGAATGCAGTGTGTTTGTAGTGAGTGCAAAGTGTGCTTAGTAAATGTAGTGTGTTTGTAGTGAGTGCAACGTGTGTGTGTGTGGTGCAAAGTGTGTTTAGTGAATGTAATGTGTGTGTGTGTGTGTGTGTGTGCAGTGCAGAGTGTGTTTAGCAACGGTAGTGTGTTTGTAGTGAGTGCAGAGTGTGTTTAGTGAATGTAGTGTGTGTGTGTGTTTAGTGAATGTAGTGCAGAGTGTGTGCTTGTAAGGATGCAGTGGGTGTGTAAAAAGCGGGGGGGGGAGGGGGGGGAGTATTTTTCTTTTAAATCTATTTATGTATGTTTAAATTTTATTCCCCCCTCCCTGCTTCTTATCGTGCCAGGGAGGGGCGAGATCGCATTGTGGAGGGAGCCAGCCACGGTACATGGCAGAGACGGGGCCCAGCAGCACACACTGTCTTCCTTTCCAGCTCCTCTCTGATTAACTCTCGCGAGACCAGCGTGCGTGCTGTGCGGAGCATTGCCATGGTACCCCGTGACAACGCTCTGGCAGCCGCAGCGCGCAGGAAAGTTAGAGAGAATCTAGAAAGGAAGACAGAGTGTGCTGCTGGGCTCCCTCTGCAATGTACAGGTAGCAGGGGGCCCGGATTGCACATATGGAATGTGGGGCCCAGACTGCCAGAGTAGTCCGGGCCCCCCAGGACCGCCGGGCCCATGACAACCGTTATGGTTTTCATGCCCTGATGGCGGCCCTGGATACATAAACATAACATTTTCTGTGGTTCCCAAGCCAGTCTACAAGGTATAGCAACAGTCTGTCTCCCCACTGGAAGAGAATATTGGACTGAGGGAACTGAGGAAGGCGGTGGAAGCCACTGGTTTAATTTACCTTATAACAGAGTTATAATAACAATTCCAGATTTCTGTATTCTGTTACACATTGTACCTGATCAGGAATTATTGGTTTGGTAACATTTATTGCCCTATGGCACCATATGAGCCGAGTCCCATGGAATGAGATGAAATGGGTTAATGCTTGCAGAAGTGTTTTGGGGGTTTACTGCACATCCCCACTGATAAAAGTTCTCATTTGTCTTGAAATCTGCATTTGTATTAATCTATGGCTGAACAGCCGGGATATGCTTCTCATAGAGACTGGTTGGAGTCAACATGACATCATATATGGGGAATCCGCAGTGAGAAGACTCGTGGTGCTGGAATCAAAGTGAGTTTACATGATTTTCAACCTTTTCAATGGGGAGAAGGACAACGATGGCAACGTGTGTATAATAGTGATGGCAACGTGTGTACCATAGTGATGGCAATGTGTGTACCATAGTGATGGCATTGAGTGGCTATTCTATAGAAATGCATTGACTCACGTTTCTCACAGTGGTCTCCCGTGAAGAATTCATTACACTGGCACTGGTACCCAGGGGCTGTCGATACACATTTCCCATGATTCCGACACGGGTTTAAAGAACATGGATCTAGGACTTGACAGAGCAATGGTTATTATAAGGGCTTGTTTCTCATTAATTTGCCAATGCTGGCTGTAATCACTAAATCAGATTATCTAATTAGTTTACTAATGATTAATAATAATAATAATAATAATAACATTTGCTAATTATTGTGTGAATTGTGATTATTACTTTTTTAGGCTCCTGGTGTTCATTTTCAGGGAACCGTTTTCTCGATGGCAGAAACATGCCTTTGTAATTTGTATTCAAATAATAATTTGGTTCTTTAATTTTATTTATGTTTTGTGTTGTAAAAGCATAGCAGATGTTAATATTTTACTTATCTATCATCATACAACAAAATACCTCCCAAGTGTCCCTATTTAGGAAGGACAGTCACTATTTTGGGCCCAAATCCCTCTTTTCTATCCTAATGTCCCGTTTCTAGGAGCCCCATATTGTTGGTCTGTCTGAGTGTATAACAGAGCTCCACAGCAATAATACTCCCAGTAATGTGACTGAGTGTATAACAGAGCCCCACAGCAATTATACTCCCAGTAATGTGACTGAGTGTATAACAGAGCTCCACAGTAATAATACTCCCAGTAATGTGACTGAGTGTATAACAGAGCGCCACAGTAATAATACTCCCAGTAATGTGACTGAGTGTATAACAGAGCCCCACAGCAATAATACTCCCAGTAATGTGACTGAGTGTATAACAAAGCTCCACAGCAATAATACTCCCAGTAATGTGACTGAGTGTATAACAGAGCTCCACAGCAATAATACTCCCAGTAATGTGTCTGAGTGTATAACAGAGCTCCACAGTAATAATACTCCCAGTAATGTGTCTGAGTGTATAACAGAGACCCACAGCAATAATACTCCCAGTAATGTGTCTGAGTGTATAACAGAGCTCCACAGCAATAATACTCCCAGTAATGTGTCTGAGTGTATAACAGAGCTCCACAGCAATAATACTCCCAGCAATGTGTCTGAGTGTATAACAGAGCTCCACAGCAATAATACTCCCAGTAATGTGTCTGAGTGTATAACAGAGCTCCACAGTAATAATACTCCCAGTAATGTGTCGAGTGTATAACAGAGCTCCACAGCAATAATACTCCCAGTAATGTGTCTGAGTGTATAACAGAGCTCCACAGCAATAATACTCCCAGTAATGTGTCTGAGTGTATAACGGAGCTTCACAGCAATAATTCTCAATAGTTATAGGAGTAATGCTTTGTCTCAATGGCACAATCCAAGACATCTCTCTATAGTAAGTAAATATTTTATGTGATTCCATAAACTGTCCCTACGTACCATCGCTGTATTCGTAATAGTTAAGGGCCAGGGAAAATTCTTGTTCTTTCCGATGTTTTTCAATCTTCTCATGAAGTTTCTCTGTAAATGCAAAGATATCATCTAAAAATGAGGAATAAGAAGGGCCCCGCCATGTGTACAGAATTAGTGTGTTACACCATTGTGTTTTATAAATGTGCTTTACATAAACACTTCGATACACAGAAACACAGCGATACACAGAAACACTGCGATACATAGAAACACTGCGATACACACGAACACTGTGATACACAGAAACACTGCGATACACACAAACACTGCGATACACATAAACAAACACTGCGATACACAGAAACACTGCGATACACAGAAACACTGCGATACACACAAACACTGCGATACACAGAAACACTGCGATACATAGAAACACTGCGATACACACAAACACTGCGATACACATAAACACTGCGATACACACAAACACTGCGATACACATAAACAAACACTGCGATACACATAAACACTGCGATACACATAAACACTGCGATACACATAAACACTGCGATACACAGAAACACTGCGATACACAGAAACACTGCGATACACACAAACACTGCGATACACATAAACAAACACTGCGATACAAAGATACACTGCGATACACAGAAACACTGCGGTACACAGAAACACTGCGATACACACAAACACTGCGATACACATAAACAAACACTGTGATACACAGAAACACTGCGATACACATAAACACTGCGATACACAGAAACCCTGCGATACATAGAAACACTGCGATAGAGAGAAACACTGAGATACACAGAAACACTGCGATACACAAACACTGCGATACACAGAAACACTGCGATACACAGAAACACTGCGATACACATAAACACTGCGAGACACACAAACACTGCGTTACACACAAACACTGCGATACACATAAACACTGAGATACATAGAAACACTGCGATACACACAAACACTGCGATACACACAAACACTGCGATACACACAAACACTGCGATACACATAAACAAACACTGCGATACACATAAACACTGCGATACATAGAAACACTGCGATACACATAAACACTGCAATACACAGAAACACTGCGATACACATAAACAAACACTGCGATACACATAAATAGTGCAGTACACAGAAACACTGCGATACATAGAAACACTGCGATACACAGAAACACTGCAATACATAGAAACACTGCGATACACAGAAACACTGTGATACATAGAAACACTGCGATACACAGAAACACTGCGATACACATAAACAAACACTGAGATACACAGAAACACTGCGATACATAGATACGTGGTCACCAGCTGGGACCATATAAACTCTGCCCTTCTCTCTGCCAGCTATTATAGTAACTGTTGGCCTCCATCTTCCCCAGAGTTGCTCCACCGTGGGCTGGGATTATGTGTAACTGGGTTTGCTGTTGGGAGCTATGGAACTGTCTGTTTTTTTGGAATGTCTGACACCTCTTGTGGTTTCCTAGATGTCTCTCTTATGTCTAAGTCACACTGTGCCCATTATAGGTGCTGGGTGTGTATTATTGTTAAATGTTTATGTGTTCTCCTATCCTGCTGATACTTTCTACCAACCAGTTGGATTTCACTGTGGAGCCGGTACAGTGCCACCTGTTGGTAGCAACTGTTACGTGCACTACCTGATGGCAAGACTCTGTAATTTGCATATTTAGGTAGATTTGCATATTGTGGTGTGGCGAAACCAACCTCGCCACTGTGAACTGGAGAAGCCTGGTTGCTCGCCTGCTCCCTTTGGACTATGGCCCTGCAGGTTAAACCGTTTATTTCCCCTGCAGAAAGGCTTATTTGTGTGATCTGAGTGCCATTCATCTAATAATGTGCACTCAGATCCCAGCTATCTGGGGATATGTGAAATGTCTGTGTGTTATGTGTAAATGTGACTTTATGTATTTTAAAGTGTTTTGTGTCTTTTTACAACCATGTGCTTAATGGAGTCTTGTGTCTATCCTGGGAGATAATTGAATTACTCTCCAGGATAGAAGACTCTGAAACTGGTTTGGGCCAGAAAGCCATACTTCATTTAGTCACAAAGGACTTTCCCTTAACTTTTGAACCCCTGGTCTGATTCGTGCCATTTTTTAATATGTTGTTCCCCTGAATGGATTGATTGTGAATATGTAATTTTATGTGAATGTGATGTATGGTTTTAAAGTTATGAAAGTTGGGTAGAAAGTATGTTTTAACTGTATGTGTAATTGAGTTTCCTCTCAGGAAAAGGGGAGGGAATATGTGGGATGTAACTGATATGTGATTGGTTGTTTTATACCTCCCTGTGGGCGGTCCTGTATGTGAAAGGCTGTAATAAAAACCAGGCTAGGTGTGCCAGCACAGGAGTTCCTGTTTTAACCCTCAAACTGAAGTGTTGTCTCATAATTGGGGAAAGGATTTATTGTATGCTGTTCCAGTTTGACTGCTAGGAGGGTAAACCTATTCGTATGGTTTCCTATTCAACTGTCTACAGCATTCAAATGCTTGGGAGAATTTATTTGTTTCTCCGGTTCGGTGATTGTGGTGTCTGCCAGAGTGCTTGGAGTCCTCAGGAAGCGCTAGGAGCATCTTTCAACGGAGGTACCCAGTCGGGGTGCCAGGCGATCCGTTACATTGGTGGCAGCGGTGGGATGGCGTCCTAGTGCGAGGTAAAGCAGCTCAGAGACACAGTTCGTTTGGAGTTACAATTTGAGGGCAACGCTAGTATTCGTACAGCGCCTCTGGTCACAGCAAACATGACCTATCGCTTTGAGGGCGATGCATACCGGGATGAGGTCATGAGACGGTTAACCAGATATGGCCCGAATCCTTCAACAGAGGCAGTTATGGCAACCGTGCGCAAGTTGGATGCGGAGAATCGAGCGGCATGGGAATGTGAGTGCCGATTGCGGAGATTGGGGCTGTGGCCAATTGGTCTCTCTGCCCAGCGGCAGTGTGAGTTACAGGGAGCTGAAGGTGCCGTCCTTGCTCCCCAGCGGCAGTGTGTGTTACAGGGAGCTGAAGGTGCAGTCCTTCCTCCCCAGCGGCAGTGTGTACCCCAGGGAGCTGAAGGTGCAGTCCTTGCTCCCCAGGGGCAGTGTGTGTTACAGGGAGCTGAAGGTGCAGTCCTTCCTCCCCAGCGGCAGAGTGTCCTGCAGGGAGCAGAGACCGTCAGTCTCGCACCCCAACCACAGGACAAAATAATGAAAGGGGAGACAGCTGGTCCCCCTCTCCACCAGCAGAGAGAGTGTCAGGGAGAGGAGCCTGATACCCCCTCTCCCCAGCGGCAGTTTACAGTTCAGAGAGAGGAGCTTGTTACACCCTCTCTCCAGCGGCAGCCTAACCCAGCAAGGGGAGATGTTACACCCCCCAACAGTGCAGATGTCTCTGCACTTACAGCACAAGGGGTAGGGACAGTCGGTCCTGTTCCCCAGCCACAGAGCGGTGTATCCAGAGGGGAGACAGTCGGTCTCTCCCTCCCACAACCAGGCTCCCACCAGGCTACTTCCGTGGTAGCACTGGCATCAGGGCAGAGTACCGCTGGTCTCTGCCCACTCAGCAACCCACCAAGGCAGCCTAACAGTTGCCCACACAGTCGTGGTGAGGCACCTGGACATGGACAAAGTTCTCCTCTACCCAGGTGTAGTAACCAGTTATTGTGGGTGGGCTGTACTGCTGTTTCTGTTTTGTGGGTGGGTTGCTGGACTAACCAGGGCACTGACCGGCAGGAGGTCAGATACCCTGTTAGTCTAGTTGGTAAAGGGGAGAAGTGTGGCGAAACCAACCTCGCCACTGTGAACTGGAGAAGCCTGGTTGCTCGCCTGCTCCCTTTGGACTATGGCCCTGCAGGTTAAACTGTTTATTTCCCCTGCAGAAAGGCTTATTTGTGTGATCTGAGTGCCATTCATCTAATAATGTGCACTCAGATCCCAGCTATCTGGGGATATGTGAAATGTCTGTGTGTTATGTGTAAATGTGACTTTATGTATTTTAAAGTGTTTTGTGTCTTTTTGCAACCATGTGCTTAATGGAGTCTTGTGTCTGTCCTGGGAGATAATTGAATTACTTATCTCCAGGATAGAAGACTCTGAAACTGGTTTGGGCCAGAAAGCCATGCTTCATTTAGTCACAAAGGACTTTTTACTAACTTTTGAACCCCTTGTCTGATTTGTGCCATTTTTGAATATGTTGTTCCCCTGAATGGATTGATTGTGAATATGTAATTTTATGTGAATGTGATGTATGGTTTTAGAGTTATGAAAGTTGGGTAGAAAGTATGTTTTAACTGTATGTATAATTGAGTTTCCTCTCAGGATAAGGGGAGGGAATATGTGGGATGTAACTGTGATGTGATTGGTTGTTTTGTAACGCCCTGTGGGCTGTACTATGTTTGTGGATTGGGAATAAAAGAGTTCTATTTTTACCCTCAACTTGAGTCCTGTCTCTTATTGGGGGAATCTGCTACAAGGGATTGCTATGCTAGGCATATTCCCTTGCTATAATCACTGAGCTCTTGTAAGAGCTTGTTCCTGCTTCGTTCTGAAGGGAGATAGCTGCAGCCTGCGGTGCTTATGGTGTCTGGTGGAGTGCTTGGAGTCCTCTGGAAGCGCTAGGAGCATCTTTCAACGGAGGTACCCAGTCGGGGTGCCAGGCGATCCGTTACATGTGGTTTCTGCAAGCAGCGGGTATATTTCTTACTAGCTATTTTCTTCCACACCTCTTTATCAATATGTTAATGTGTTATTATCAGTTCCTGTACCTTTCCCCACATGATTTCATTATTTGTGTTCGATTGAGCTTGTTACAGTAAGTTTCATGTAATAAGCATAAGTTCTAGTCTGAGTAATAAATAAAGCTGAGTATGTTTGTTACTCTTGGAATAGTGTGTCCTGGTTGTATTATTGGGGGATCCCAGTAACAGTCTTTGGACCTATTGGTTGCTTGATTGGTCCCTGGATCTTGGGGAAAGTCAAAGGAGATAGACATGGGAACCCTTTTTTAAAGGTAGCAGCAGATCACAGTGTAGGCTTCGCTGACTGGCTGGAATATTCCAGGGTCCCTGATCGCAGCTAGGGAGCAGCAGTATTGAAGCTCAATAACACACTGCATCGCACACAAACACTGCACCACACATAAACACTGCATTTTGTATAAACACTGCCCAATCCATAAACACTGCATCATGCATAAACAATGAGTCATACATAGACACTGCATCATACACAAATAGTGAGCCACACTTAGACACGGCATCATGCATGAACACTGCACCACACAAACACACCGCAACATACAAAAACATTGAGCCACATCTAAACATTGCATGATGCATAAACACTGCCCAACCCATAGACTCTGCATCATGCATAAACACAGCACCGCACATAAACACCACGGCATGAATAAACACAGCACCGCACATAAACACCACGGCATGCATAAACACAGCACTGCACATAAACACCACGGCATGCATTAACACAGCACTGCACATAAACACCACGGCATGCATTAACACAGCATAATATATATATCAAAGCTCCATGTATCAGGTTAATCTATACAAACTATAAAAGGATTGCAAGTCTAGGTTTAGTACATAGACATTGCAGGACACCATTTGAACTGGAGAGATCTTTGTTGCTGTTAAGAGAAAGAAAAAAATATATATATAAAAAATATTTACCAAAGACTGGAGTACGATGAGGATGCTGTTAAAATAAAATAAAATTTTAAACGTGAAAATGATATAAAATAAAACATTTAAAGGAAACACTTCTAGTGGAAGAGAATATCAAATTTTAATTATTATTGTGTACACCAGTTAGCGTTATAAAATTAAAATATACATACACTGTATACTTACTGCACTTACTGTACCTCCCTCTACTGTAATGTAATCTGTAAAGTGCTGAGTACACCTGTTAGTGCTATATAAATATAATATACATACACTGTATACCTACTGCACTTACTGTACCTCCCTCTACTGTAATGTAACCTGTAAAGTGCTGAGTACACCTGTTAGTGCTATATAAATATAATATACATACACTGTATACCTACTGCACTTACTGTACCTCCCTCTACTGTAATGTAACCTGTAAAGTGCTGAGTACACCTGTTAGCGCTATATAAATAAAATATACATACACTGTATACCTACTGCACTTACTGTACCTCCCTCTACTGTAATGTAACCTGTAAAGTACTGAGTACACCTGTTAGCGCTATAAATATAATATACATACACTGTATACCTACTGCACTTACTGTACCTCCCTCTACTGTAATGTAACCTGTAAAGTACTGAGTACACCTGTTAGGGCTATATAAATAAAATATACATACACTGTATACCTACTGCACTTACTGTACCGCCCTCTACTGTAATGTAGCCTGTAAAGTGCTGAGTACACCTGTTAGCGCTATATAAATAAAATATACATACACTGTATACCTACTGCACTTACTGTACCTCCCTCTACTGTAATGTAACCTGTAAAGTGCTGAGTACACCTGTTAGCGCTATATAAATAAAATATACATACACTGTATACCTACTGCACTTACTGTACCTACCTCTACTGTAATGTAACCTGTAAAGTGCTGAGTACACCTGTTAGCGCTATATAAATATAATATACATACACTGTATACCTACTGCACTTACTGTACCTCCCTCTACTGTAATGTAACCTGTAAAGTGCTGAGTACACCTGTTAGTGCTATATAAATAAAATATACACACACTGTATACCTACTGCACTTACTGTACCTCCCTCTACTGTAATGTAACCTGTAAAGTGCTGAGTACACCTGTTAGTGCTATATAAATATAATATACATACACTGTATACCTACTGCACTTACTGTACCTCCCTCTACTGTAATGTAACCTGTAAAGTGCTGAGTACACCTGTTAGCTCTATATAAATATAATATACACACACTGTATACCTACTGCACTTACTGTACCTCTCTCTCTACTGTAATGTAACCTGTAAAGTGCTGAGTACACCTGTTAGCACTATATGAATAAAATCTATAAATAAAATGTTAGTGATTTAAGACCAGAATTGCAAACTCCAAACTAAAACAATTTTCCTCCAATTAGTTATTATAACCTAGATTTTGTTTTTCCATTTTGAATTCACTCTTTACTGTGGTGTCTGAGCGTTTTGTGACATGAGCGTTCATATCGTCTCGCGTTGCTGACGTCTACATTTAATACGAAAGCCATCAGCGAACACGCATTTTTCCATTCAGATTGCATTTCACTAAAACCTTAAAAAGCCGAAACCGTACTTTCACTAATGTATCCTTTAAAGAAAGTGACTGCTGGCTTAACGATGTGCACTTGCTGAGCGGTCATTCTATGTATCCACTACCCTTTATTTAACATGCAGCCTGTGTCTTCAAGTCTTTTTCAGTAATGATGGACCCAGGAATGATTTTTTTACTAAAATAGTTTCTGTGGCATAAAATGAAATCGTAAGAGATATATTAGCAAGAGCCCAGTCTTGTCTCTATTAATGTCCTTTTAACATTGTACTCACAGGCTGGAGGACGGGCGTGTAGAATAGGAGGTAAAACATCCCAATCAGGAGCAGTGTCTCCCAGGTAGACATTGTTGTGTAGGTTGTGTAATGGTGGAGCCGGACTCTGACACTAAGATACAAACTGCACAGGACAGAGTCTCTGTTAGCTGACCAATACAAATTAACCATACTCTCCCCCTTTACATTAACAATCAGGGATAACAAACATGTCACATTGTCCTTGTGTTTACACTTCCCTCCGTACACTAACAGCATAGCCGCGAGAACTTTACAAACACGTCCTAGAATTCCAGGGAACAGATCGTCTTTTTATCAACACAATGTCATCCAGGAAGCGGCTGAGGTCTCAGTCAATCCTTGTCCACTAAAAGATTTCGAAGGGAGTAACCGGCATACTTTTTTCCTCCCACTTGGTTCATCCCACTAATTCCTTTATATTCTCCTATTGATTAAGAAAAATGTTACATACTGGTTATCGCATAAATATATAGTAATATAGGCTCAAAAAGACACACTTCAAGTTCAGAAACCTCTGTTTCTGCTGTTGATCCAAATTAAATAAAAAACACAATTTATCGCCACTTAATAGGTGAAAATTTCAACCTGGAAGCTACTTTTTAGTGGCCAGCTGCTTCCTGATCCCATGCAGTCACTGCTTATAGTGAGTGGGGGCTGTTTACCAACTGAAACATTTCACAAGCCGTTACTAAAACTCAGTAACCAAGTGGCGACCATTGGCTTGTATCATACTCTATGGGAGCCACTATTCTCAACAAAACGTTTCACCCCAACCCTGTCCCTAAATTGTGTGTAACCCTATGGAGAAGCGCGGCTTAGTGGAATGGGGCTTGACAGAGCTAGAAAGCCCCCTGGGATTGGGAGCTGGAGTGTTAAGGGGTTGGCCCAGTATAAATAGGCAGCCATTTTAGAATTAGGCACCTTTGATTTGCTTACCTGGCCTAATTTGTGTGCAACTCCTGTCTGCAGATTGGGCCTGGTAGTTTTTTATTTTTTTCTGTTTTCTCTTGCTGCAGGTTCAAGGCCCAATGGATGGACCCGGTGGAGCAGCTGCTGGCGGAGGTGAGAGTGGCAGCGTGGGATTGTGGAGTGGCATGGGTGCAGGAGCACCTGGGACCGGCCCTGACGGCACAGATGAGACGTGCTGGGTGCAGGCCCTGCTGCGGTCGGCAGTGGGAGCCCAGAACTGCGGATCACGGGGACGTCTGCCGGGAGGGCGGCACCTGGCGGCGGGAGACAGAACGGCGGGCCTGCTGTTTCCAGGAGGACCAGGAGCAGTGTTGCTTGAGGAGCATCCCACAGGCAGGCAAGTGACCTTGGTGTAAATTGGGCAATTGGTCCCCCTGGGAGGGTTGATGCAGCTCAGGGGGGGTCCCGGGTCTTCGGGGACTGTCACAGGGCTTGGGGAAAAAAGCTTTGTCCGGGGTTGCTGCAGTGGGCCCCTCCTCAACTAGGGGTGTCACTGGGACTGGGGCCCTTTGGGAGTCAAGCAAGGGACCTGGCTTGTGGCCTAGGGTCAGGAGGGAGGACTGCCCTTGGAGTAGTGCTGGTTTGACACGGCATGGATGTCGCATGACTGCGTCGTGGCCTGGTGGTGCTGCGCAAGGGCAGTGCATGGGTGGGGTTGGTGCCAGTGAGGGGGTGGCGCAGGATCAGAGTCACCCCTTGCGTTGTCTGCATCCCCTCAGGGCATCTCAGGGAGGGCTGCATTGAAGTCGACCGCGCCACGCAAGAGTAGGCGCACAGGGCAGGACTGGGCGGCGCTACCCCTTGAGGCCATTGAAGATGGACGGTTCAGGTCTGGTCGGCAGGCACGTGCTGCAGGCCGCACTTCGGATGTCCACAATGGCAGAGGTGGGTTCATGGTGAAGCAGGTGGGCCAGGCTGGTTGCACTTTGGTTGGCAGCAGGGAATGGTGCGGGAGGAGAGAACATGCGGGAGGTGCCGGTCTCGGGGAAAGGCTAGCTTGCCCAAGGAGGTACAGCCCCCCCAGCAGATCCAGGAGTGGGAGGGGGAGCCCAGCGAGCTCTGAGGTTGACAGCATGGGGTCAGCTGGCAACGGTGCCCCACGTGATTCCCGCTTGAGGTCTGGGCACTGGTTGGACGCGGCTAAATCTTTTGGATCCATCTTCCGGATTCCGGCCATTTGGTAATATCCGGGTCAGAATCCCATGGGAGTTCCCCTGTTTATCATGACAGGAGTCATAGTCCCAGGGGTGAAGTCAGCAGGGTGTCCGCTGAGGGAGCAGAACTGTCCGGGAGCATGCGTATGTGTCAGCACAAGGAACTGGAGGACAGGTTGCCTGGGTATTTTCGGCAGGACGGGGTCCACCTCACGGACAAGGGGTAGGATCTCTTGAATCTGGGGCTGCAAGAAGGGCCTTGTTCCTTAGTGGAGATAAGACGGCTTAAGGGATCAAGGTCTGAGCTTGTGGCAGGGCTAGAGAGAAAAAAGTTAGTGGACAAACTGGCTCTGGGTTAGTTTAAATAGAATGGGGCAGTTAGGCTGCTGGTTAAGAGCTTAGTTAAATGGTTCGTTGGCAGTTTGTTGGCAACTTTGACAGGTTTTCGAGCTCGGTGGTGGCTCAGAACCTGGTGGGCGGTGGGGGTATTCGGGTATACCTCTACCATGGTCGTTTATCAAAGTTTATTATTATTGTTATTTATGTTATTTATATTTACGGAAAAATATGGGTCATTGCCTTTTGTTTTGGGGACATATGATGTTATATGGTGGGCTGGGCAATGACTTTCATTTCATTGTTGTTAACATTAATAAAGCTGATGACATATTGATCCATACATTAGTGTCGGTGTGTTATTGGGTGTAAATTTGGGGGGTTAATTCCACCTGCCATTATGGTGACTATGCACCTGTCATGTTAGCACTCAATCAGATTATAGGTGCCGGTATCTTGGCCGACCCCACAGACCAAAAAAATTAAATATTCAAAATACAAAAATTGATACTGCACTCAATGTGAGATTTATAAAGATTTATTAGCAGAACTTACCTAAATACAGCTCCAATTTCTATCTCACGAGAGCGAAGATATATAAGATATCTTAAAGTGACAAGTGCAAAGAAATTACCATATGCTTAATATGTGCTTAAAATGCTAATATTAATAAAATACACTATAAACGTTCCTATATGTACAAATCTGTATACAGGAAGATCAATCACAAGATAATAAGTGAATATTCCTACGGAAATCTCATCCAGTATACAGTAATTCATGCAGGGAAATAATCTTATTTGTAGTTCATTAGTTGCTTTGTGTATAGTTCATTCCATCAGGAATTCATATTTGATGTAACATACATTGGTTGTACTGTATTCTATAGTAAAAAAATGTTGCAGCACAATAATTCCATGTAGCAAAGAAATGAGAACAAACAGGGAATATCTGCCTATATTGCAAAAAATGTGTATAGATCCAGATTATTATTATATATATAAAAGGAAATTGAAAAAAAAAAAGAGAAAAACAGTCCGAATGTATATATCCTGACAGGAATGTGGATCAGATCTCACCCCTGATGTACTGTATCTTTGACTCCTGAATATAGGAAAATATGGAGATGGGTGTAAAGTTCAATTCCTATGGCTGCATACAGTTCCAGTTGTGTTTGGCTGAGCGTGATACGTAACATCCTTCATGTTGAGTGCAGTATCAGTTTTTGTATTTTGGTAATTTGTAGCTGTAGCGGAGCTCCCTGTACCCTGGCTGGGTACCTCCACCAAGGACCACTTCCTAGCTGGAACAGGGGACAAACCGCAGAACTTCTTCCCACAGTCACCATGGCTCCTTCCTGGAGCTTGATGGAGAATTCGCTCTAGACAACCCTGGACGACACTCAGTCCTGGGAGCTCTAGTCCTCACAAGGACTTTCCCCATTGAATCCCCTGCAAGCTGGAACAGCAGACACAGGGGTACATCATCCTTTCCTCCAATAACAGGAGACACACAGTTTTGGAGTGCTAGCTTGAATAGATTTTAATGGTGCCACACTTGGTCTTATATGACAATCCCCATGCAAGGGGTATGCCCACATGGACCTGATGGTGGACCGATTTACAACGTCACAGACCAATAACAATAGAGTTCAAATGCACGACACTCCCATATACAACATACAATCTTTCCCCTTTGCCTGAGATAATTGAGTCAGACACTGTATTAACCCAATTATCTCCAGGCAAAAAAAACACACATTTCTGTAAAGTCCCAAAAGTACCCCAAAACACAAAATATACCCACATCCCCTGATAGCCCTAATCTGGGTGACCAACATATCCAAAAATCACCCAGATCAGTTCAGGGGTTCAGGAATTTCCTGGAAGTCACATTTTGACCAACTGCACGCATGGTTCCATGCCCAAAACAGTTACAGAGAATTAGGCTGTCAGGTCGGTCTACTTCTGGGATTCGAAGTAACAATATAAGTACCGAACGTAGAGTTTGTATGGCACTTATTCTATGTCTCTCCTTCGGAAGTTTGTTCTTACCGAACGCTGTTCGACTAGCCGAACATCCATGGAAGGTAAGAGTTTAGCGGTGTTCATGCTGTTGAGTGTCCAATTTGGTCGTCGAGTTCCATGCACTCAACGACCAAACACCGCTCATTTTACTCACGCCTAAAGATGGCCGCCGCCACATGTTCGAATTCCACTTCGAATGGCTTCGACAGTTCGGGAGTTCGAAGTGCTACTGTCCAAGTCCAAAAAGGCACAAACAGTGGTTGCCACCAGGGTTTAACACAGGGGCCATAGTCACAGGTTAGGAGGCTGGCAAACAGGCCCCTCCAAGAACCAGTGGCAGGGTTACATTCGCCACAGTAGCCACTCCAAGTTACCGGCTGTTAATAGCTTGTTACTGCTTCTCATAAGCTTCAAAATGGCAGCCAGACTTCTCCTTGGATCGGTAAACTGCTGATCATTCATAGAGACAAAATTAAAATCAAAGTTATTAAATTCGACCTCAGTTGTAAGAATGTATATCTTTGATAAGTATCTTACTTTTGTGGTAAAAAACAATCATACAGTTATTGGTAGGATCTCATTAATATATAATTTTCCACTCTTCTTGGACAAGGCTTTTTATTGTGTCATTGGCTCCCGTGCTTTGCTGGCGCAGGGGGAGGAGCCTGTCCTGGGAGACAGCTGTTATTGCTTTATTTTCCCAATACAAGATTTATTAGGTCCTTAAACACCAGGTATCCAACACGCAGGACACACAGACATGGTCAGATACATAAAATTTACTAGTACATTTGTGGCTGCAAGAATAGTCCCAGAATAAAGTGATTTGGAATGAGACATGCAGTTCCTGTATTTACATCCTAGTAATGGGGGTGGGCTATTATCAGGAGTGGCGTATTCATTCAGGATATCAGCCCCTCGCTTGCATACCACATAAGATTGTATAAAACTGAAACAATTTATCTCATTACTGACAAACTGCAAAGCCCTCATTACATATCAAACCTCCTCCACTACCATAGAGGGATATGGCTTGTACAAAAGGGGTGCAAACAATCCAAATTGGTTTCTAACTGCTTGCCATAAAGGCTTGCAATCTACCTCACACAAACTTGGATATTGTCCAAGTACTGGAATGTGTCTCAATTTCATGCAAATATAATTACTTCCGAGCTCTATATTAGCGTGTAATTAGGTAGCTTGGAAGGGGCATTAACCTTGTAAATTTTCTTTGAATGTACCAAAGCCATTTACGATGTGATATAAAGTATAAAGAAGATATTATTTAAAATTCACACAAAATAATGATGTATTTATTACACTCAGCTTTTAATTTCTTGAAGAAGATAACATGAAAGTCTGTGCAGTGCAATTTCATCTTTTAAGAGTTGTCTGATAATGAATCTTAATGCTGAAACAATTTCCTGGGACTTGAAGGTACTAACTACAGGTTTCACATCTCTTCAGGCAAATGGACAGATTCTCAGGGCGCATGGACAGATTCTCAGGGCGAACAGGCAGATTCTCAGGGCGAACGGGCAGATTCTCAGGGCACATTTTCAGGGTGAATGAGCAGATTTTTAGGGTCACAGATTAAATGTACAGATTCTCAGGGTAAATGGGCAGATTAGATGTAAGCCCACCTGCCACGTCAAGGCAAACCTCTTAGGTGGGTCCTACACTGACTATTCACCTTGCTTGCTTCAGCTTCTGGCAAAATAAAATCTCTAATAAGACAGAGAGGGGTATTCGTTTTTAAACCCTAAGGGTTAATAAGTATGCAGGGGTTTAAAAAATATACCCCTTTCTGTCTCGTTAGAAATTTCTTTGCCTTATGCTGAAGCAAGCAAGGTGAATGGTTAGTGTAGGACCCACCTGAGAGGTTTGCCTTGACGGGGCAGGTGGACTTGCATCTAATGGCCATTGGAGTAACTAAAAAGCTCCATTTATTTAAATATGCACAGCGATTTGGAACAGAGCGCAAGTAACATTTTTATTTGGGTTTTATTGTATGGTTTGGGGTTCATGTGTACTATGGTCATTGGTACCGCCCAGGAGTAGTGGGAGTTTGAGCGCATTACTTTTTTGTGTATTTGAATGGGCAGATTCTCAGGGCTAACGGGCAGATTCTCAGGGCTAACGGGCAGATTCTCAGGTTCACAGGGTGAATGGGTTCATTCTTAGGGTCACGTGATGAATGGGCAGATTTTCAGAGTGAATGGATAGATTCATTCTTAGGATGAATCTGCAGATTCTCAGTGACATAAAAATACAAAATAAATAAATGGATTAAAAATACAAGTTTCTTCAAATAAAATAAAGTCTCTCGAATATAGTCCACAATATATGTAGCAATAGATCTATTGGCAACTAAGGTGAAAATGTTGCTATTACTGAAATAATGAAGTCCTTGTTATTTGAATCAAAGAAGTCCAGTAATCGTGAAACATATCTGGGAAAATGGCCATTTCAACCAAGACTGGATTCCATATCTCGTGGACTGTATTTTAATTGAAGAGAATTATATTCTTCATCCATTTGCTTATTAATTATTTTTATTGTAACTTTTTTGTTAGTTTTAGTTTTATTTATCCTTTTTTCTGTTTACATATTTGTAAATACTTGTTTTTCTGTTTTTTTTTATGGTTTTGTCAGTATTCCCACCCTTGGCTTTACTTTACTTTGTATTCTACGTGCTGCTGTATTAAACACATTTAGATTTATCTACAGTTTACCTGCTTCTGTATTCTCTACATATTAGTTCCTGGCCCTTCTCCTAGTTGATAGTTGATTTATTCTGTGTGTTTTCATTCAGCCTGACCCAGTTTGAGCAATATTTAGTACACATTCCCCTTCTCCCTCCACCCCATGTAACCAACCATATTGTTTCTGTGTCTCTCCTGTTTTTCCACATTCCATTCTTTAAAAAGTGTTACTTTCATTATCTTCAGACTGAGTTTACTTATAAAGTTCCCATGGTTGCAGATTAAGACTCGTGTTTACTCAATATAAAGACAGGTTTTGGGGAATCGAACATTGAAAGTCTGAGTCGAAGCCATTTGGAAACAGCTTGTGCTGAAATCTTATTTTACTTCTTGAAAGTCATTGGGACAGGTTTCTTCCAAATGCTTTGTTATTTCGTGTGCTGTGTGTTAATGCCCCTGTCTGTTTATTAAATGTATTCCACACATATTACCCTGGTAAGAGCCTGAAGAAGACACAAGGAGCATCGAAACGTGCTATGCTGTGTTCTATTACTGTGGACTTATATTCTATGGCTCTCCAGTTACTTGAATGTAAGATTTTTATATTTTTTAATAAATATTGTTTGTCTTACCTTAACTGGTGTTGCCTTCTCCTGTTTCTATTTCTACTATTGAGATAAAAGCTGCCACTTACCCTGTCTGGAACTATCATACCTATGCTGTATTACCTGAGCCAGTTATTCGAACAGGCTCAGAAAAATGTGAGTGTGATACCTGTGATTACTATACTACCAAGGAGATTGTTTCTATTTTCTCCTTTTCTGCAGGGATAATTAGACTTTGGGGTATATGTGTGTTTTTATTATATTTTATAATACATATGTAGACACATTTTAAGAGGGTTGCGTGTCATTGCACTTACGGATTAAGTAAGATATAATCCACTATTACCATATTTTATTGTGCGCTGTTCACTTTATTTGTTTGCTGTGTTTTTTGTTGTGTGGAACTATTGGGATCGGCTCCACAGTGATAACGAGTTGCACTTCAGTATTTATTGCACTTTGCACTTCGGGATCAGTTCCACAGTGATAACGAGTTGCACTTCAGTATTTATTGCACTTTGCAAAAGAGCCACGTATTGTACTTAAGCTGTTTGTATACTGATATTACCCTGGTAAATTACCATCTGGGTATAATTTTGTGGACGGTGTTGTACCCCTGTTACCAGAGGGACACGACTGCAGTGGTTTGGCTCTCTGATGATCAGTCCTATCCACTCCTTTCTGTGGCTCTTCTAGTGACAAAGGACACCAAGTTATGGAATAAAAAAACATCACCATTGGTGTCACCAGTAAAGCAGAGTAGATCTTGGCTAGCTCCCATAAGACCACGAGTAATATCAGGAAGTATTACTTTACTGAGAGGGTAGTGGATGCATGGAATAGCCTTCCAGCTGAAGTGGTAGAGGTTAACACAGTAAAGGAGTTTAAGCATGCGTGGGATACATCTCTAACTATAAGATAAGACTAGGGACTAATGAAAGTATTTAGAAAATTGGGCAGACTAGATGGGCCGAATGGTTCTTATCTGCCGTCACATTCTATGTTTCTATGTAGGCTGGCTGATATCAACCCTTGGAGTTAGGCCCAGCATGAACAAAGTCACTTGAGACATTTGACCTCTATTGGTGTCTGTATTGTAACTGCGAAATCTCCACCAATGTCCCTGGGTTTGACCTCACGGTCTATATGTTGAGGGTCAATAGACAGTGGCGCATAACTTGCTGGTGAGTAATATTGGATCACCCATGCCAAGTGTCAAGCAATGCCTTCTCAAGGGCAGTTCTCTACGCAGGCCCCCCTTCAGGGGCACTCTTTACTGACTAAACAGCTAAGCCCTTATGTACTAACCTTAGGTATAATGTGAATTCTGCATGGCCAGGTTTATATGGGAACTGTCAATACACTAAAAGTCAAGAGAATAATACAATAAACCAGCAATTATCACATCGCACAAACAACTCAACAAAAATATTATAATAAATTAACAAATAAATATTATCATTCTAAATCTTATCATTTCATGTTAAACAAAGGATATTCTGCATCTAATCTTCCTATGACACAAAACCACAATCTCCAAATATTTGTAAGATTTGAAAGTCCATGAACTATGTTTCAAAAGTGACTTTCTTCTACAACACAATTCAATTATTTAAGCAACAATTACAAAACATTTTTAGAAGTTTAGGGTTTTCATTATTGCTGATGAGGGTTATTTAATAAAGTTAAAATTGTGGGGAATTCAAAATGAATATCATAAGGCCATAGTACCCAATCTAAAAGCATAGCGGATTTAGGGAAAGCTATTTTGACATAAAATTTAGAATTTATCTTTAAGTCCATTATGAATTGTCACATTAGTAATAACCCTTAAATAAGAACATTTCGTGCAAGCATGAAGCACAGATAAGGTGAATAAGACTGTCCGATAATTAAAGGGACATTATAGGCACCCAGGCCACGTCATCTCATTGAAGTGTATTGGCTGTTCTGTACCTGTCCCCTTAACCCTGCAATGTAAATATTGTTTTAGAGAAACTGCAATGTTTATATTACAGGGTTAAGCCAGCCTCTAGTGCTTGTTTACCAGACAGTCACTAGAGGCGCTTTCTGCAGTTCCATGGAGATTAACACTTTACATTGATGTTGGTGTGAGGTGCAGGGGCACAGAAACACTTTAGGAATAGGAATACCACTAAAAACAGAGTTGCAATGAAATTAAACTAGAATTGTAAAATTCTTACCAAAATATCCAATTTTTATTTTAAATTAAAGGCCAAAAGAGACAAACTAGGGCTGACCTAAAATTTGAATTCACTAATTCACTCTAAACTCTCATTTTAATAAATAACTCTGTATTTGTTAGAGAATGTTTCCAAATTGCTTTGTATCGATTTTCGAAAATTTGCTATTTATTGAATAAACCACACACGCATATGGATACAATTATCTGTCTGACTCCCTGTAAATAATACTGTACTATGTGGCTGACTCCCTATATATATTATCTGTCTAACTCTGTATATAATATTATGTGGCTGACTCTCTGTATATAATATTATGTGGCTGACTCTCTGTATATAATATTATCTGTCTAACTCCCTGTATATAATATTTTGTGGCTGACTCCCTGTATATAATATTATGTGTCTGACTCCCTGGATATAATATTATGTGTCTAACTCCCTGTATATAATATTATGTTTCTAACTCCCTGTATATAATATAATGTGTCTGACTCCCTGTATATAATATTATCTGTCTAACTCTCTGTATATAATATTATGTGTCTGACTCCCTGTGTATAATATTATGTGTCTGACTCCCTGGATATAATATTATGTGTCTGACTCTCTGTATATAATATTATGTGTCTGACTCCCTGTATATAATATTATCTGTCTGACTCCCTGTATATAATATTATCTGTCTGACTCCCTGTATATAATATTATCTGTCTAACTCTCTGTATATAATATTATGTGTCTGACTCCCTGTATATAATATTATGTGTCTAACTCCCTGTATATAATATTATGTGTCTAACTCCCTGTATATAATATTATGTGTCTGACTCCCTGTATATAATATAATGTGGCTGACTCCCTGTATATAATATTATCTGTCTAACTCCCTGTATATAATATTATGTGTCTAACTCTCTGTATATAATATTATGTGTCTAACTCCCTGTATATAATATTATGTGTCTAACTCCCTGTATATAATATTATGTGTCTGACTCCCTGTATATAATATTATGTGTCTAACACCCTGTATATAATATTATCTGTCTGACTCCCTGTATATAATATTATCTGTCTAACTCTCTGTATATAATATTATGTGTCTGACTCCCTGTATATAATATTATCTGTCTAACTCTCTGTATATAATATTATGTGTCTGACTCCCTGTATATAATATTATGTGTCTAACTCCCTGTATATAATATTATGTGTCTGACTCCCTGTATATAATATTATGTGTCTGACTCCCTGTATATAATATTATGTGTCTGACTCCCTGTATATAATATTATGTGTCTGACTCCCTGTATATAATATTATGTTTCTAACTCCCTGTATATAATATAATGTGTCTGACTCCCTGTATATAATATTATCTGTCTAACTCTCTGTATATAATATTATCTGTCTAACTCCCTGTGTATAATATTATGTGTCTGACTCCCTGGATATAATATTATGTGTCTGACTCTCTGTATATAATATTATGTGTCTGACTCCCTGTATATAATATTATCTGTCTGACTCCCTGTATATAATATTATCTGTCTGACTCCCTGTATATAATATTATCTGTCTAACTCTCTGTATATAATATTATGTGTCTGACTCCCTGTATATAATATTATGTGTCTAACTCCCTGTATATAATATTATGTGTCTAACTCTCTGTATATAATATTATGTGTCTAACTCCCTGTATATAATATTATGTGTCTGACTCCCTGTATATAATATTATCTGTCTAACTCCCTGTATATAATATTATGTGTCTGACTCTCTGTATATAATATTATGTGGCTGACTCCCTGTATATAATATTATGTGGCTGACTCTCTGTATATAATATTAAGTGGCTGACTCTCTGAATATAATATTATGTGGCAGACTCTGTGTATATAATATGTGTCTGACTCTCTGTATATAATATTATGTGGCAGACTCTCTGAATATAATATGATGTGTCTGACTCTCTGAATATAATATGATGTGTCTAACTCTCTGAATATAATATGATGTGTCTAACTCCCTCTATATAATATGATGGGGCGGACTCTCTGTATATAATACAACGTGTCTTTTTTTTTTTTTTAAGTGTAAATATAAACATCCTCACCAATCATTGATAAGTGAAAAAGATGAAAAATAACCAACTTATCTTATTTAGAGTAAAAGCAGCTTTCTTTATAACAGCAAATATATAGAGAGAATACAGCTGCTGATGTAATGTAATACAGTAGTGATGTAGTGTAATATAGTGTAATACAGTTTTAAATATAAAGTATGCACTAATTTGATTGCCCTCACAAGATAGAGACTGGTATGCATCGCCTTGGGGTGCCTCCCCTTGGAATAATGGGGAAGTTATCCTAAACCTCTTTTCTCTGAAGTTAGCCATCACCCCAATATAGAAGAGAGAACTTCAAATAAAATTCAAATAAAAATCTGCTTTATTTTCTTTTTACAACTAATATAAAAATAACATAAAATAAATAAATTGTAAAGCTACAGGCCAACACATATCACTTCCTCAGGGACCAGAATTAAAATAATTATAAAACATGTAATAAAGTAAGTAGCAGCAATATGGAAAATCACTTTGTAGGGAAACGCAGCATCCTATTTATTATGGAATAATAGAAGTTGTAGTTATTACATAGTAAAGTAGCAATCTAGCTGTCTAATACCTGGATACAG